TGTGCAAACTATGTGATGTGCGTAAGCAACAGACGTGCAGTTGCGCAGATAAACAGGGCAACAAATTTCGAGTTTATACTATTGTGCAACTCAATATCGAAGCAGCAGACTATGATTAACGGAGTTATCGTCTTCAAAGCGATAAGCAGGAGCAAGGTTAAAGTACGCCGAGCAGATCCACCGCTCGCACGAGAGCTGCTGGCTGGCAAGGTTTCGGATCAGACCGCGTTTTAGTTCTATAAAATCATGATTTATCTTACGGGAAGGCAGTTTCAACTTCTAAAGATGAAATATTAAAAGGAATCTTTTGCTCATTCGTTTTAAACTGTCTGACGTCCGGATCTCGGGCTGCAGAGCCTCAGGCAATCTGACGCGTAACGACTCGACCTCACCTCGGCAGATTTGCTTAGCTGCTTACGGTTAAAGAATAACAATCCAGTCGCAGGTAGTGTAGCGCTTGGAATCCGACCCCCGAGTTTTTTCGCCACTTCCAACTCAGGATTCTAATAAAGTTTTAACAAAACCAGCTGCGCCGACAGTGGAGCCTAAAGGAATCCGTATGGCCGCATTCGTCCAAGCCCTCTCAATAACAGTTTGCTTTATTGAATACACTAAATATTCCTGAAACCTTGGACAAATATTGTAACTTGGCTAATCATATCACAGCCAAACCCAAGTACTGTAAACAACTTATTTTTCGCGGGCTCAATATTTCGTGATTTGGGTCAAAGATTAAGTTTTTTAATAATTCGCGGGTTCTAATTTTCGCGAAGGCCGTGGGATCTCAATATAGATTCCAATGTGTTTACATTTTAATGGAATTAATCGTGGGACCCATTTTTCGCGACTTGTAAGCGATTTGCGAAATTCGCAAAAATTGGGTCCTCGTGAAAATTAAGTTGTTTACAATACAGTATAGACCACTTACAACATAACCACTTATAGTGCGGGACCGGGTATAACGCGGCTTTTTTAAACCACCGGTTCGCCTCCCATAGAACTGCACGTAATTACATACCGCTTAAAATGCAGGCGCGCGAAGGGAAATACCGGTTATAGTGCGGTTTCTGAAGCAGCGCGCCGACTGGGCAGACCGACCAAGGAAGCGAGCACGCTTCCCTGTGTGACACCAGATAACGGCGCGACAGCGCTAGCCGCAAGCGGCACTCGCGGGCACAAGGGTGGCAAGGAGGTTGCTCGAAGAAGCGGGAAGAAGCAAAGGGAGAGGCTTCAGTTGCCATAGCAACGGAGGGACGCATGCACGTGTCGTTCACGGCGCAAGGCGTTGGTGAGCCCAACCAGCCGTTCGCTCGCGTTGCATGCCGGTCGCGGGCCGGCCAGGCTGGCTTCATCTATCCGCAAACATGGCGTCGGTGGTGATCGTCGACGTCGACGGCGTAGTGGAATCTCATCGTTCCGCGTAAAAGCGCTATCCTTGACTGTGAATTTTCGTTGTGTGTCGCTATGATAACCCAGCACGTATTAAAAGGGAAGATCGACCAACTCGTGCAGCAATGTCGTGGCGGCACTCTCAAGACAGCAGAAACGCTCAAGTCGTCGTGTTTGTTTACTTCGACTACAGTAGTGCTTTCTAAGCATTTGCGTTTGCGAACATCGCCCGGATTTCTTATTTGGAGCATTTCATGCCTATTTTGGAGCATTTCATGCGCGTACCATATAAAGGATGCGAATTTTCACGCGTTTTCATCACCGGAGAATAGTGATTAGGGTTAGCAATCCTGAATGCTCGCAACATCCGTCCGCAACCCGCGACGCCGTTAAAAGGCTGCGCGAGGAAAAAGTCGCTCATTTCTTTCAAGATGTGCGACACACTTGAGAGAGAAGTGTACTAGTCTGGTGAAATAAAGACTTTCCTCAAACTAAGCTTTATTTTTCATCTAATATAAAATAAATTGTTTTACAAAGGTAAGTTGTCTCATGGCATGTATTTTGGACTGAAAAATTGATGTTTTGGTTATAGCACAGTACCGCTTATAGTGCGGATTTTCGCGACTCCCGCGACATACGTTATATGCGGTCTACACTGTATATTGGTAACGGTTAATTCAGGCTATCCTTGTATCAAACTATTTCTAAACAGACTAGCAGCTGCAATGAAAATGCATAGCAAAGTACGCGGTTACATTGACCGAAAACTGGATTCTCTCAATAGATCGAACTGCCAAGAGCGCCATTTTGCTCTGCAAGCTGGCTTTTTTTACTTCCGGGCGGCCGCGTCGACCGCCCGGAGGAAAACAAGAAATTGCGGTGGTTTAGCTCGGCTATGCCAGGATATACGTAGCACGAGCTTATGCGCACAAAATGATAGGCGCTATCAAGCGGCTCCGGTGCAGCGTCAGGCTTGGCTACTGCGCAACAGAGGCGGACAGCTGGGCACGCGGCGGCGCCAGTGCGTCTGCCGTGGCTATGACATCACCCCTCTAGAATGTGCAGACCGGCGAGGCGCGCGCGGCGGCGGCAGAGAGCGTGGCGGCGGCATCTCCGGCGCGCCAGCTGTGCGCCGTGAGACGTCACTGCTCGTCGCGCTTGTGCAGCACGGCTCTTTGGGAGCCATGCGAAACTGCTCAACCTCGGCCAGTGTAGCTAACGCTACAAAATTCTTTTTCGCGGAGAGATCGGGGAGAGGGTGAGCCGGTGGGCCTTCAAAAACGAAGAAGCGGCCACTGAACAGCCGCATGGCGCATCTTTCATGACCTACAGACGCTCCTGTGAGAGTACACAACTTTTCTAAATGTGGCGTCCATATTTGTTGTCAAATTCATTAGAACTTTTATATTAAATTACCCTTTATATTGAACTGGTAGACGGGTTTTTGAGAGTTCGAGATAAATTGGTTTGACTGAACCAGCTTAATTAATACTGGTATTTCAGCGAAATATCCAGGTATCGGGTATCTGTATCACACATAAATTCGGTTCTGTATCTTGCGTCAGTATCAGAAACACAATTTTTGAGGGAATCGGGTATCGGTATCAAAGACACTTTTTTTAAGTATAATGCCCAGCTCTGATTAACACAGCACTTTGTTGATAACCAGTCTGGAACCTGACAGCTATGCTCCGTTTAACCTCACAATAGCCTGTCACGTGACCTTCAGTTGGCCTGCAGCTGCAAGTGGGATGCATAGTCAAATCATACGCTCACAGCGCTGGATTAGTTCCGATGGCTTGTGTATTTATGTGTGTGTGTGTGTGCCCGTGAGTGTGTGTGTGTTTGTGTATGTATGTGTGTGTGTATCTATACATACATACAAACATATATATACATACTGTCGAGACCGGTTATAACGAAGTGCAAAAGGGAATGAGAAATCGTGATTGCTTCACTGCAGCCGCTATTGTGTTATAACCGACTTAGTTATAACCGGTCTCGACTGTATGTATGTATGTGTATATATATATATCAGTGTGTCGAACCGAAAAAAATACGGGTTCGGTTACGGTTCAGGTTCAGGTAAATTTATTTTGTTCTGGTTCAGTTCCGGTTCGATTAATTCGATCCGCGAACCGATTCACGAACCGGTTCAAGCGCTGAACCGGTTCGCGAACCGGTTCGGAAATTATAAATGACAAATTGCAACATCAAAATAAATCACAAATAAAACATCTGAAATCAGCACATACGAAACGGGATACATCGTAGTGGAAGGCTCAGGGATTTCTACCAGGAATGGTTTCTTTATGTGCACTCAAAGGTTACCTCACCGAGGTTTACGCATTCGGACTTCATCCAATTGGGTCCGACGCAGTAGCTGTGAAATCCGCGACCTCCTTACAAACCCACTTACAAGTAGAACTCGCTAACTATCCCGCCACCTCGGCGTGTAAGCAATTGAAGGAACAGTGGGGAGAAAATACAGCTTTCTTTATTTGAACTAGCCTTCGGTAACTCAAATTAGACCCTTAAAGAAGTTTTCATTAAACAAGATACGGAATATGAAAAAAACTTCACCGAACGCAACGCCAGAAGGACGTAATAGGATAAATATTAAAATAGAAGAGTTCGCTGTCTCACAAATATGTTAGGTTTTAAGTGCCTATACGAAACCGGATGCATTATTATCAAACTCCACAGCCTTTTCTTTACTCATTCCGATGGAAGCAAGCTTCAAGAACTCGCGCGTTTTAGAAATGTGCTATGAAATGAGCACACAGCAGCATTTAGGATTTACGAGATTGTAGAAAAATGAAATCCCGTGACGCAATTTTTTTTTTTTTTGTACAGCCTTCCAATTCTTTTTCCTCCGTGCAAGCCGCGACCAGCGCAATACTGGTTCCTATGTCAAGATTCATGGATGCAGCGTTTGTCAAGATTCATGGATGCAGCGTTTATATTCCTAAGACTGAGTGGAGAAGAAAAATATGTAAGCCAGGTGTGTGTCAGTTGACGGCACTTAAAAAACAAATGGCCTTGATAGCACATTCATTGTCAACAGCGCGTGGCCGAACCGTTTTGACATGAGCCGGTAACCGTTATTTTTTCCGGTTCAGTTCCGGTTTGGGTTCATCGTGATAACAATACAACGGTTCGGGTTCAGTTCCGGAAAAAATACCGGTTCGGTTCCGGTTTTCGGTTCGGTTCGACACCCTGATATATATATATATGGTGTCCCCTGTGGTCTATGGTAAGGTGGAACGGGGTATTTGCTCTTTCTTGAGCAAGTTGAGGCGTGGTGATGGCTGAGTGCAAGAAGCCCTTAAACCCTTCCGGCTCCGATCTAGACGACAGGTTTTGCAGTACTTGCAAAATTAAATCTATGCACCACCTTCAGGAAATGGTAGCTTATAGCACCGTCAGATGCAATTAACTCATGTAATAAAAAAAAAAAATGTATAAAAAAAATTACACACGCGGACCGGAAGTGCGCTAGGGCTACCCAATGAACAGTGCCACTCGGTTTTTTGCCAAATGGATCGGGGTCACGTGGTTTACTGGCTGCGTTTGTACCGTGTTAAAAAAAGGCGAATAGAAGCACTCACCTCTGTGTGGTGCAGGACCCTGACGAGTCCCAGGTCCACGAAGAACAGCTCCAGCTTTGCGGGGGATGGCCGGGACCGGATGAGGGCGCGTGCCCAGTCGCCCGCGATGCCCGGGAACGGGCAGCGGGCCACCGCGGCCTCCCCAGGCACTGGGTTGTTGAACTTCTTGGCGCTCTCCCCGGCCTTCTGCAGGCTCTCCAGCAAAGCGTCCAGGCCCTCGGGGAGGCAGCACCACACTTCCTTCGCAGAGGCCACCGAAACCACCTGCGGGTCGGCCAGAGACTTGTCCAAAGTGCTATGACCGCAGAGGTTAAGAATGAGAGTGGATCGACGGATTAGGATGCCTCAATGTCCTGTTTTGAATGATGTCATCGTTTGTAGTACCCAATGCCAACAGCACATGCTCACGAAGAAAATTAACAAAACATCGCCGAGAACAAAATGTCACCGTAGCATGGTCAGCGCCACGAGCATGTGCAGAGTCACACTCATTCACGCAATTTTTAACAAAAACCTTGAGCCTCTCCACTCTGGTGAAGAAGGAAGACCAGCGGAGCTGTACTATGTTGGGACGACCTCAAGGACGACTTTGAGGACAATTCCTAAGACGAACTCGAGGACGACTTCTAGGACGAGCTCAAGGACGACGTCTAGGATGGCCTCAAGGATTACTTCTAGGACAACCTCTGAAACGACGTATAGGATGACCTCAACGACGACATCTAGGACGACCTTGAGAACGACTTCTAGGATGACGCCTAGACAAATTCAGCCTTTCCACTCTGGTGTAAACTGAAGTGGAAAGGCTGGAAAAGTTGCTGCCGTCGCTTATAGATGGCGGTAGCTGTCCAGGGATTTGTGTCGAGATTTATTTGTCCACGGATACAAAACTGGAGAAACTAGCCCTTAAAGGGCCCATGAAACGAATTTTGGACTGGAATAAATCAATCTATACTGGGATTTTACTAATAGCGCATCGTTCAGTGGGCCAAAAGAACAAAGGTAGAAAGTCAGAAGCCTGACTTTTGGTACGAAAATTTTGAAAACACAGCAAACTATTTCGTACCTCCTTCCCTTTGTAAGCTCTCTGCCTTTTCACTGTGATACATCCGCGGGCCCCGCAGCGCATCACCGGGCACCCGCAGCGCGTCATTGAGCCCAAACGCACGTCACACTGCACCGGACCTCACTTAATCCCCTCACCCCTAAGCTGACATTGTGGTGGAAGCTACGCACTTGCTGGACCAATCAGCCGCTTTCCTTTTATCACCTGACCTCATTCTCTGTGGGTCGGTATGCGCGAGAGAGCGTAATCACCTGGCAAAAGTGAGGCCAGGCCCAACGAGCACGTAGCTTCCACGGCACTGTCAGCTTCGGGGTGAACGGGGTGGGGAAAGCAACCAGTCGGAATTTTGAGCGACGGGCTAATCTTCTAGGGGGACAATGGCTGTGTCCGGCTACACAAGCGAGATTCCCAGAAAGAGGGGACTCCTTCTTTCCATCTTCTTGAACTGTTTGGTACAATGCGCAATTTACGACTTGAGGAGGAAAGCTAAACAGGAAAAAGTTGGAAAAGCGTTTCATGACTCCTTTAACAGCTCCACAGTAAAAAAGAAAAATGAGCGTTCGGAACAAAGTGGCCAGATGTCATCAGCCCAAGCAAAGTGCACATGAAGGCACCATAGGATGGATGGACGGACACGACTGAACCTTTTTAATCTGGCAGCGGCTTGGGCTGCCTAGCAAAAGCTTCGGATTCCAACAATTAACTGATCTCCAACTGAATTTTTATTTAATGAAGGGCACAGAAACTCGTACCGCAGCCAAGCGCAAGTGTTCGTCTACGATCTTCCACAACCGCAAGTTACAATCCGTGCGACGGTTGTAGCCACATAGGAGGCGTTGCCGAACGCACTCGCACGTTGGTGCAGTCTATGAGGTGGCCCTGGAAGTGAACTTCCCTAGAGAAAACTTTTGCAGTATCTGTGAGATTAAATGTATGTGCGATCTACCGCAAAATCCCGCAAGTATGCCAACCCAAAAGGAAAAGATGTTAATGGTGAAAAACAGGGTAAGCTATCATTGAGGATGCAACAGCAAAACTTGACAAAAAGCAGTGATAAAGCATTGGGCCATCCCCTACGAACCATGTGAAATGGGAACCGATGCCACAGATCACAAACAAGTCGAATTTGCTATTCACGACGAAATAAAGATGCGGGGATTTGCCTACCAACTTTTGTATCACGGTAAAAGATATCGTGAATTGCGGACGTAGCAGATTCACCTTACACGCTGCGAAGAACATGTGGGACCCTGTCGTGGGAACCGATGCCGCAAATCGCAGACGCAGCAGATTTAAGCTTCAAAGTGCAGTCAACACGCGGGGACAACTCGTGCGTCGCAGGAACCGATATCCCACGACGCAGATTGCGGAGAAACGAGCAAAACCGTCACAAACTCCCTCCTCATGCATATCGGTACCGGTATTGCAGATCGTGCAGTGGATGCGACTCCCGTCGCGCATTGCGCAATGTCCACAGGAATACTGGGGTGGGCAATGTTTCGAAATTTTCAAATTATACATACTTAGCCAGACAAATGAGATGGGTGATCCCTTGTATTGTACAAGCCCTTACAGGATTTTACGGTACGAGAAACGGATGTTTGACACTTTCAAAAGCTCTTCGAGCCAACAAAGAGCCACACGCGTAAAGAAATGGGCAATGTACAGGAATCTCAAGTGTGAGCCAGCCTCTCAAGACATACTTGAGTTGCGAGCGCAGCCATAGCCACCTACAGGGTGGGAACAATAGGGAAGTGTTTCGTTTGTCCCTGGCACCTGGTGCGAGAGCTTCCCACCTTCGATGTCGGTTTGGCATCCTCAAAGGCAAAGGAGAGGTTCGCGAATATAAAAAATCTGCGACGTCCAAGCGTCGCCCGATGCGACGCCGTGGCACGTCGCAAAGGACCAATACGCGCCGCACATTTCAAGCACCTTTGGGACCACATCGGTGTTGCGCAATACTTTTGACATGGTCGAGGTCCCGTTTGCAGGCACCATCACCCTAAAGCCATGGTCACACCGCTAATAAATAACGTAAAAGACACTAAGCAGACTGCCTGAGGCGCACCTCTCCCTTGTACGACGCTCCTGTCAAAATGGTCGTACAAAAACTGGCTGCAGACACGTTTGAAGCACAGCACATACGTGTGAAGCAGACGTGCTTCAAACACGCCCAACACACGTCCGCAGACGATCCTGTCGTCGCGTCTGCTGTGAACACCGCACCTTTTGTGTCGTGAATGAGCAGTGTGACAAATGCCACCCGTCTGAGGGGGGGACACAGGCTTTGAAGACCGAAAAATAGCGAAAAGGTTGATTTTTAGAAAACCATATTTTGGGTAGTATATTTCATAAAGTACCTTCTTCGTAATTACCAGCACCTAATACAATGTGGAAATATTTAAAAACAAATATTTCCGAGGGCTGGGTAGCGTCCAAGTGGCAGTCAAACATCAAAATCAACTCCAACTTTGCACGCATACCATTCCAGACGCCTTTGCCCGACGGCCACCATCTTGGTCTTATTCTGGAGGTGAATTCTTTCTTTTTCTATCTGCCGGTTCCCAAAATGGCGACGGCCATGCGGTTATGGTATGGTCGCCGTTCTTCCATGTTGCAATTGCAAGAACATGAGGGACAGAGCACGCTCTTGATTGGTTGGAATGAGATTTCTTCGCTCGTGGAGCACTCTTCTCCTCTCCGTTCCGCCTGCTGTTGCCGCTCGCGTTGTCTGCTCTCGACAGTGGTGTCCTTGCTCGCGCTTTGTCAGCTCCCCTTCATTCTTTGCCATCTTTACGATCCTTTTCTGGACCTTCTTTGGGTAGTCTCGTGTAGCGTGCCCGTCTGTTTCAAGGTCGCACATGACGAGAGGTTCGAAGTATGAGACGGTGAGCGTATTTGGCAAGCGGAAGCGACCCACGAGGTTACTGTGGATGGCAAAGCTGGAAGTTCCTGCACGGCGTGCCGTCAATTGTGATTGTGTCAACGTTTCTGGTGATGGATTTCCTGTGTCATCAGCTGTCGCCGAGGAAGAGTGCACCGCCCTGCTCACACGTGAAGTACCGAGCGCGTCGAACGCCGCAGTTCCTCTTGAGATCGTGGGTCCCCAGCGCTCGTCTTCCCCCTGCCACGACGAGTGGGAATGCGTCGTCTAGCATCCATATGTGGACACGTTTCCTGACGCGCGAGGAGATAGAAGCAGAATCCAGACGTCGTGATATTGTTTGAGCAAAACTTGTGGAGCTATGCAAGCAGCTCAGAGGAAGTTGTCAACCATGCTGCCCGATCCCATGCATACCTCTGATACGAGCGAAGGTGCAAGGTTCTGCCTTGTTCAAATCGATGCTTTGAGCAACCTTCTCCGCAGCACAGTGTGTAAGTATTGCTTGGGAACTGGATGGACTGTCTTAGAAGGCACCAAACTTGGACTGGCAGCAAAACTCAAGGATGTATGCCCCCATTGCGGCATTCTTGCAAGTTCCTGGACTTTGTTACGCCAACGAGACTCGAGGGCCTTCGAAGTCAACGTCTGCTTCACCATGGCGATCAAGCAGATCGGAAAGGGGCAGACAGCTCTCAATGATTTTTGGGCAGCTATGAACGTCTCCCGCAGAGGTTTCCACCACAAGACTTTCCAGGAGCACTTGAAAAAGACCTTCAGAGCAAGAAGACCTGTGTATGGACAAGTTTTATGCCAAGTCAGCAGTTGCTGTGAAGGCAGCCTGTCAGAAGATGGACCCGGGGTTGTTCAAGGATATCACTGCAGTGCACTACGGCACATGGCACAAGAAAGGGCACACATCTCACATCGGAGTTAGGTCAGTCACAGAATACCACACAGGCCTCATCTTGGACACCATAGTTTTGTCCGACCTGTGCCTTGGGTGCCAAACAGGACCCAAGCCTGGAGATCGAGGGCATAACAGCTGGTGCATGCACCATGTCTGCCAGAAGAAATCAGACGCCAAATCTAGGAGGGTGGAGGTCGAGGCAGGACTGCGGAAACGGAGCACTCTTCAAGCGCTCCGTCTCCAATCACGATTAGCAGTACACGGCCCTCGTCTCCAACAGGGGCAGCAGGACCTTCTCTGCCCTTACAGAAGAGATTGTCTATGGGCTAGTCGCCATTGTGAAAGATGAGTGTTTGAACCAAGAGGATGGTAACGGCACTTTGCAACCTTGTCCAGAAGAGCCACAATCCTTTGAGCGTTAAGGGCAGGTTGATGAAGGCCCTCATCAACAAGCTCACTGACTACTATGGCTGGTCCCTCCGAAAAAACTCTAAGGCCGTGGCAGCGAAGCCGTGTGCTGCTATGGCCACCTACCATCATGTCACGTCGATTGACCAGGAGCCTCACCATGAACTCTGCCCGGAGGGAGCTAAATCATGGTGCCATCATAGAGTTGCCAAAGCAAAACGTGATCCACAGACCCAGCACAAGCACGAACTCCCAGACTATGTCGCTACAGCTATGATGCCCGTCTATCAAAGCCTGTCGCAGGTTTCTCTCCTTCAACCCTGCTTGGGAGCAAAGACTCAGAATGCATCCGAGTCTTTCACTCGGTTCTGTGGTCTTTGATGCCTAAGGAACAGCATGCATCGCTGATCGCTGCCGAAACTGCACTGTATGAAGCGGGGTTGCGGTTCAACGCCAGCTGCTACAGGGCAACAGCAGAAATCTCGGTTGCAGTAGGACTCCAGTTGGTCCATCTAGCCTTCCAGCAAGCTGCCCAAAAAGATGCCCTATGCCTGCACAAGGCCAGCAAACGACATCAAGAAAAGTTGGATAGGCGGAACAAGAAGAAAGTGCACAAGAACTATTCGAACTACTCTGCACGGTCGTTCTCAAGCCGAAAATCTGTGTGCAACTGTCAAGTGCTGTTTTCTCAAAAGGAATTTTTTCACCGCCGCAGCTACTCTTCCCAGCAATATCTAGGAAACTGCTCAATGAATTTCTGCACTGTCTTTTTTATTCTATACCTATATAACATTTTGAGGGCATAACAGAGCCCCCTTTTTAGAAAACCGAGTTATAAATTTATAATAAAAAATTTTTAATTTGATAAATGCAAGCTTCACCGACTACATAAAATTCAAAGTTTTGCTCAAATTTTTCAACAAAGAAATTTAAAGAAAGGGCTCTGTTATTCCCAGGGGAACCTATCCAGGGTTCACCTTAACAAATTTTATACTGCCACTATCTTTTCAAGTTATCCATGCCTGGGATAAGCAACAAATATGGACGATTTTGATAAATATTTCTAACTTGAGAAATAATATGCACAGCTCCATGAAACTTTGCAACTACCGCAGAGTTTCAAAAGAACACTCACCCAAAATGAAAAGATAAATGGTGAAAACCAGTTAACCATGAAAAGAAATCAGGTGGACCATCTTTAAGGATGCCAGAGCAAAAATTAATGATAAACACCCAGGCATTGGCTACAAACCATGTGACACGGGAACTGATACCGCAGATCGCGGACATCACATTTCGCGTTTTACGAGATAAACACGAGGGAATTTGCTACGAACTCCTGTGTAACGGGAAAGGACACCGCAGGTTGCGGATTCAGGGGATTCGCATTTCACGGTGCAAAGGACCCGCGGAAACCCGCAGAGAACTCCCATCTCACGGGAACGAATACCGCAAATCGTGGATGCCGCAGATTAAAGTTTTATGGCGCAATAAACACGCGGGAACCTGCTACGAAAATGCCAGTCATGGGAACCAATATTGCGTGCACAGATCGCAGGCAAAAATGCAAGAAACCGCTTTAAACTCTCATGTTCCGGGAACAAATATTGCATATCGCAAAAGCAGCATATTCGTATTTCACGATGCAATATACACGCAGGACCAACCTGTGTGAAATTGTGATTGCGTGCGCAGATCGCGGACAAAAAACGCGGGAATCTGCTACAAGCTACGTCACAGGAACGGATACCGCAGATTGTGGATGCTTTGCATTTCATGGTGCAACATACACGCTCGAACAACTTGTGTGTTACGGGTGCCGAAACGCACACACCGATTGTGGACAAAATGCGGGAACCCGCTATGAACTCACTTGTCAGACGTGCCGGTACAGCGAATTGTACAGTTGATCTGATTTCCGTCGGCCATCGCGTGACGTCCGATGGGAACCGAGGAGCAGGCAATGTTTTAAAATTTTTATATTACAGGTATTTAGCCAGAAAAAACGGGATGGGCAATCTCTCGGGGCGGGCGTTCTCTCGGAACTTTAGAGTACTCTCATATCTGTGTTATAAACACACCCAAAATTTACAGTGTTTGTTTATAACACAGGCATAAGCGTAACCACAAAGTTTCATGGAGCTGTGCATATTATTTTCTTAAGTTAGAAATATTTACCAAAATCGTCCATATCCGTTCTTTATCCCAGGCCTGGAGAATTTGAAAAAGGCTGTAGCTGGATAAAGTTTGTTATGGTGACCCCTGGATAGGTTCCCCACGGCATAAGAGAGCCCTTTTTTAAAATTTCCTCGTTGAAAAATTTTAGCACAACTTTGAATTTTATGTAGTCGATAAAAACTTGCATTGATCAAATTTAATTTTTTTATTATAATTTATAAACTTATAACACCGCTTTCTAAAAAAAGGGCTCTGGTATGCTCTCACAAAGTTGTATAGGAACAGAATAAAAAAAGACAGCACGAAAATCCATTGAGCAGTTCCCGACATATCGCTGGGACGAGCAGCCATGGCAGTGAAGAAACCCATTCTGAGAAAATAGCACTTGAAAGTTGCACACAGATTTTCGTCTTTAGAACGACCCTCCAGAGTAGTCCTAAGTGTTCTTGCGCACTTGCTTCTTGTTACGCCTATCCAACTTAACTTGATGTCGCTTGCTGGCCTGATGCCCTCCTTGAGCGTCAAAAAATGCATCCGCAATTGGGCGCTGGACGACGCGCTCCCACTCGTCGTGGCAGGCGGAAGACGAGCACTGGGACCTGTGATCTTGGGAGAAATCAGAGCAGTCGACACGCTCGGTACTCTACGCTAGGCAGGGCGATGCATTCTTCTTCGATGACAGCCGATGGCACAGGAAATCCATCACTGGAAGTGTTGACACGATCACCCTTGACGGCACGCTGCACAGAAACTTCCAGCTTCGCCATCTGTGGTAACCTCATGGGCTGCTTCCGCACGCCAAATGCGTGCACCGTCTCGTACTCTGAACGTCGCATCGTTTGCGACCCGGAAACAGATGGGCATGCTGCACGAAAATACTCAAAGGTCCAGAAAACGATCGTAAAGATGGAACTGACAAAGCGAGAGCATGAGCAAGCAGACCACTGCCGAGAGCAGACGACGCGAGCAGCAACAGCAGAAGGAAGAGAGAGGAGGAGAGTTCTCCGTGAGCGGAGAAATTGCGTCATGGCTAATCGAGAGCACGCTCTATCCAATCACTTTCTCGCAATCGCAACATGGAAGAATGGCAACCACGCAGTAACTACGCAGCCAATGCTATTTTGGGGGCAGGAAAATAATAGAAAAAGAATTCCCCTTCAAAGCAAGACCAAGATGGCGTCTGCCATCCGAACGCGTCGGGAATGGTGAGCGCGTAGAGCTGGGGTTGATTCTGACGTTTGACCGTCACTTGGACGCTACCCAGCCTCGTAAATATTTGTTTTTAAACATTTCCTCCTTGTATTAGGTGCTGATAATTACAAAGAAGGTAGTTTATGAGATATACAACCCAAAAACATGGTTTTCTAAAAATCAACTTTTTCGCATTCTTCTGGTTTTCAAAGTTGGCGTCCCCCCTTGAAACAAAGGAATGATGAATCCCCCCACCTTCACGTCGACAAACTGGCCCTGCTGGAAGGAGAACTCGGCGGGCGAGATGACGGCCCGCAGCTTGGACCCCAGGCTGGCCTCCGAGGCCGAGCCCCCTTCGTCTTTTGCGCGCACCGCTTTGGCGAGCCCCGCGGACACGAGCGCATCCACCAGGCTGACTTCCGACCTGCCCCCGGTGCGCTCTAGGTTGACCACGTGAACGCCGTCGCGCTGCGCCACCAGGCGGCACCACAGCGGCCCTACGAGTAAAGCCCTCCATTAGTGTTAGAGCCACATCTCTTTTGGTCATCCATTCTTTCGTACAATTCATACGATTCTACAAACCCCGTTTTTTAATTCCACCTTTATTTTATGAAATCCAAAAATTCCCAAATCCTGAAACTTCATCGAAGTGTAGCACCCTTTCCTTTTTTTTTTGAGTCGAGAGAAGAAAATGCAACAAATCCTTTCCTTTCACACTGTAAAGAGAGGTAAGGGCTCTACTTTGGTCCCACACATGACGTAGAAGCAGAATGTTCATGCAAATAACTTGCCAATTTTCAGACTTTCAAGCCCATCTCTTTAAACCCATAACAAAACAATAAAAAAAATGCCCTAGTGCTTTTTTTAAACAAGATGTAAAAAAAAGAAAAAAAAAAAAAAAGAAACACTAGCAGACGGATGTTGTTGAATCTACTAAATGTACGAAAACGAGACTTGCAAGGAAGTGTGGTTTGCACGCCGGGTCCTCACCTTCAAAGATGCTCTGCAGCGGACCTCCTGCCTCTGCCGGGGGCCAGGGGGCTGCAGATCCTCCAGGGGGGTCCACCCCGCGCAGTCGGCAGCGGATCGCTTGGGCCGGCAGCTCCGCGAAGCGGGGCAGGAGCTGCGAATCGAGACGAGCATGAATTTCACCTTGACAACTAGTTAATCTGGTGAAAATATTTTACCACTGACATTCCTTAAACTTTAAAAAAAAAACATTAAGAGGGCGCGGTACCTCTATTTATTCATCCGTTTCAGACACCAGATGGCACGCGGCTCGTCACGTGGTTGAACGCGAGACTTCTAAATGGCGCCAATATCGAAAAGCGAAAAGGTCCGCGTTATCCACTGCGTGAAATAGATCCCTGAAACGTGTCGCGTGACGCTCCTCTTTAACAAAGGAAGTTCCCCCCCCCCCTCGCACGCGTTTGGTATGTCTGGTCAGTCAGCTCAGTGTGCATTGCACCGGACGTCAGTGATAAAACGAGCGGTGGCCGAGTCCGGCCTCTGCGCTGTGTGATGAAGTGGGTGGCACTCGTTTCCGTTCGGAGGTAGGAATAAAAATGTCAATCCCCTTTTTACGACGGTTGCCTGGGTTTTTATCTCAAGTGACAAACAGTACCGTCTTTTCGAAATCATACTTTGAGGCTAACGATTGAGAGTCAAGTTAGCATTTTATTTTTGGTCAGCACTACACGCTCAATGAAGACCTCGGGCGGCAATGTAAAAATATGTTACTCCCCAAAGTGTGTCCAAGGTCCACAGTGACAATTGGAAATGGTATTGAAGGCGCTCGACCGTCGGTTCGTAAAATACGTGCGTTAGATTCACTTATTCAGTGTAATCATTTTTGCCAACGTATTTTATCTGTTTCGACAAATGACAAGGTTGAGTCTATTGATAACCTTAGGTAGACTGAACGTACGGAGTGTCCGGGCTTTATATAAATTTGCTTCGTTTACGTGAATTAAAAACTGTTTTCTCTTTTCCGTGCTCGGTGCCATGCAAAAATTGCTTAGATATTATAGTAGCTTTGTGTAGCGGAGTTTTGCACACTGACTCGCAATTGCACTTGCTCTGCAAAGTATGTGTTCAGATGGAATGTGTCAGATCGTATTTCTGATCGATATGATAGATTTACTTTGCTACAGTGTTCATTATATTTTCCTGATTCTGGTCAGTCCCTGATCTGAGCCCAAGTTCAAATTCTAGAGTGCAGGCAGACTTAGCGTCGTAACAGCAATAATGCGCAAAGAAATTAGTACCATGAAAAAAAAAATTACACCATCTTCCCGAGGGGAACCATGGGGTGATGCGGAGCATCGTTCCATCACACTTCATCGGAAGAACGGAGTGAAGTGGAGTCAACAGCGGTGAACTGAACGCACGCAGAAATTGGTTTGCTCTTTATGTTTATACAGCCTTGATGGAGATGCGCCTCAACGGGTAATCGGTCTCTTAGCTGGAGATGAGAAATTTAGCCAGTGCAGTACAACCGCTAACCTGGGGTTTTTAAAGTGCATCACGCAGTAGTGATCACACGAACGCGTGCCGGTACGAAACTCATCCAGATCGAAACGGGCGGGAGTGGCGGGGACTAGTTCAGAGTCTGCCGCTCGCTTCAAGCGTTTGCGCTCAGCGTCGCATGTCCTTCGCTGCGCAGCTTTGTCTGCAGTGGACGCTTCCATCAGACTTCATCAGAAGAACGGAGTGAGTCAACAGCGGTGAACTGAACGCGCGCAGCGCGGCCCTACCGCTGCTTATATTCACACTTGAAGGAGAGGAAACTAGAGGAAGAGAGTTGCGCCTGCGCGCGCGGTGCGAGTAGAAGCGAACGCACGCGAAGTGCACGCAGCTGGCAGCTGCGTGCACTTCGCGCAGCTGTTGGAGAGAGAGAGAACGCACGCGCAGCGAGGAGAGTTGCGCATGCGTAGTGTGAGTGCGGACTACGACGCCGCGGGACACAGACCCGAGCAAGAGATGCTCCGCATCTAAAACAAAAGGATACGAGGCGGCTCGGTGTTATAAGCCGTGTTTACATGAATGCGACTTAGTTGCATCGAATCTAGTTGTCACATTCAATGCGGTCATGTAAACGGCATAATGCACTAGGGAAGCGCAATGCATTCAAGTCACTAGACAGAGGTGGATCGAGACGGCGAATCTGCATTCATTCAACCCATGTAAACGGAGGCTGCATCGCATTTGGAATGAGGAGGAATATGGGAAGGCGCTCAGTGCAGGAGGAGTGAACGGCTGAGAACATGTTCAGCAGTGTCGGTTGTTTTACTACTGTGCAGTGGATCGGATTTGTTATCGATCGGCACGTGAGTTTAGAAAACGGTCTATTATTTTAACTCTAACTTTTAAAGGTTTGAGACCCCAAACTTCGTTTTTTCACGCTCGGAATATTGGTGTATGTTTCTCACTTGCTTCTAATCACCACACTGAGAAAAAAAAAATCCTGCTGATTCTTCACTTTGTAGTAAGACCCCAAATAGCGAAAGAGATGGATACTAACATCGGGTAAGGGATGTGTGTGTGTGTGTGTGTGTTTGTGTGTGTGTGTGTGGGGGTGGGTGGGTGGGTGAGATAGGATGCTAAACACACCAATTGGAGACGCGCTCCAGGCACCATAGTACTGCTCCTAAAAATAGCTGTCACGTCCTTTGCTCCACAACTGTAATTCCCTGACAGCAGCTCTGACCTGTGAGGTTTGGCAAATTGCGGTTAAACGGAGTTGGAAGTTTGACTAGCATACGCTAGTCAAACTTCCAACAAAAAGGATTAGTTTCTCCCCAATCTGGACGACATTTATTGGGCATCTTTATAGCTGCAAAGCTCAAAATCACGCATACTCAATAAGATCTTTTTCTCTCGGTTGTTTGCGACTTTTACAATGACCTGCAAGCCGAAAAAAGAAAAAGGATAAGTCACTTTGAGGGGGGTACCGATAACTGCGAGCCACGAACATGAAGGATTCGCTAACATCCGTCAGGAGTGCCAACGGTAAATCGTCACGCAAACATATTCTCACAAGCTGCAAAATATTTATTTGCCTTAGCAAGTAGATGATACTAACACCATGTGATTATTATATACAAGATACCGCTTCTCCGTTTTTCAAGACCATTTCCCTAGCCTTAAACGGTCGCGCTACAGACCGTGGCTGCACGCCCCGCCCCTACCCTACCCTCGCTGACGAAGCTGCGTGGGCGAGGGCAAAAAGCCGTGCCCTCAATAGACTACGAAGCTGCGTTGTGTCACCTGCTACTGTACCGCCAACAGGAGAGCGATAGCTCTGTGTTCCACAGATGCGGGCTGTGGTTTCACTCTGTACGCCTGTCTTGGAGGAAGATAACAATATAGGCTCTGGGACCCCCTCCTAAGCTAGCAAAAACAAACAGAAGTATACTCGTTTGAACTGAAAGGTTTCCAAAATAGTGGCCAGACATTGGAAAAGCATATGTCACAGAACTTACTTTGTGAAATGGCATTATTTTTTCGAGCAAGAAATCGCCTGCTCACCACTGGGACGGCGAAATCGTCACTATTTATTACGTCAGGTGTATTTGCGCTCATGAAGAAAAATCTGGACACATCCTTCTTCCTAACGGCCTATAGGAAGCGAGCAAGCCGGCCGCGTCGCGGCGGTCGCCTATTGTTCGCCGCGACCTAACGGTAGCCGCCGCAGAAGCATCGGGGAGCAATGGCGACGAACAGCACCGCGGGAAGTGTCCCCGTCGTGATTACGAAGGAATTTAAGGCAGTTACGAATTCGGAATGTTCCTTCGGTAGCCGGTGCCGTCGGCGCAGAATCATCGGGAAGTAACAGGAACGAACACCACACAGGACAGTGGGCGATTACGAATCCGGGAAGCTTCTTCGGTAGCCGGTGCAGAATCATCGGGGGGAACCAATGGCGATGAGCAGCACAGCGGGCAGTGTTCCCGGGATGATTACGACGGGGTTCAAGGCGGTTACGAATCCAGAAAGCTTTTTCCGTGGTACCAATATGAGGAAGAGAAAACTCCTTCGTGAATCTGGCCGCGTGTACGACGTGAAGGAGGTTCGTTTCGACGGACAAGTGGGCGTCACGGAGCGCCGTACTCCGCCCACAAAACAAAGCGCGCCCGAAAAAAATGTAATTGGCGTTGAGTGGATCGTGGTAATTATGTACGTTTATTTCTGAATCAGCTTGACAATAAATGGGCGATTTTTTTCTCGCCGTTCCGCGATTCCCACTACTATCTTCCTGTAGGCTGATGGAAACATCCAAGGGTAGGCTTAGGTGGGCGACTGCATTCCGCTTCTCGATTCCGGTGAAGTATTTGCTACATACTTTAGAGTTCGTTGTCGGTGTCGATGCTGTTCCATCGTCGCTAAAATAGAAAAAAAAGTTTATTGTATTATTCGTCAGCAGCTTAAACAAAGCGCGAACTGGAAGGTAAGGAACGCCACTAACCTGTATGGACGCACAAGTCGCACCCAGGTCGCGCAGCAATCCGCCTCGTACGGCTTCGAAGGGACGATGTAGTACTTCGTGCCGTGCGCGATCTTCGACGTACTGTTGCAGCCGACCACGCAGCAATTGTTGCGGCTTTCTTGGTGCGGAATAGCCATCTCAGAAATTACAGCGCTAACCCACTACAACGCACAACCAACGCAGCGACTGGCAGAAGCTCCCCGATGCAATGGACCCGTTTGCCGCTAGGGGCGCCCTGGTCGGGGCTTGAATTAGATCCGCACGGTTCCTATGTCAACTAACAAACACTTTTTTAAACCTGTATGCACAAATAACTCATTTATTGCTACACTTGTATATACACGTGAATGAAACGACATCAAACCGCATTTGTGATTAGATCTTGATGTCTATACCACCTATGTTCATATTTTTTTAGGGCTTCATTGAACGATAGTTAATGGAACACAATGGCTCAATCTCACTAAAAACCTCAACATGCGAAGCTTCCACAGACGGTCGCTGACGAGTATTCTCAATATAGGACTTCAGCTTTTGCTTGCCATAGGGAGCTTGCTTTCGACTACAGCACTGCACGGGCCCAGGAAGCGAGCTGCTGTGGGGAGAGGTTGACTCACAAGATTATGTGTCATGCGATCACGGAAGATGACGCGTCACATGATCACATAAGATTACATAACTGGAGTGACACATAAGGCTGACTCACAAGATGACATGTCACGTGATCACGTAAGATTACATAACTAGGGTGACGCACAAGGTGACGTGTCACGTGATCACGTAAGATGACGTCAGTTCATATCAGGTGATCACGCAAGATGACATTTTCGCGTCACATTATCACATAGGATTACATGATTTCGTGTTACATGGCATGAAGGGGGTGAGGAAGAACTAACGCTCTCGCATTTCCATTGGATGAATCCCATTGATCGCTCCACTCCAATTTTTTTTTTTTTTTTTTTGGATTGTTTTTGATTTTGCTTACGCGGTTGGGAGCGGTTGAAAGCTGGTTCACACATTTTCGTTTGACTGCGACTGCAACAGGCTACACTAACACGGTTCTTTTGCCCCCGATAAATGATTGTCTTCTTTTCGAGAAAGTGTCAAATCAATGGAGAAGTGCAGGCTGGTAAGAGCTGAGAGTTAACTCGTGAATATGTAGGCTAAATTGCTCTTACATACATTTTTTTATTTTTTCACTTTCTATATCAAACTATTTTTGATCCTCGTGCTAATCGATATAAGCGGGCTTTACCATACATCGATTTAAACTAGAGCAAAAATTAAAAAAGAAATGTAAGGTGGACCAATACATATACTGTCGAGACCGGTTATAACGAAATAGCGACTACAGCGAAATGATTTCTGAGTCCCATTGACTTCATTATAGCTAGGGATGCCGCAAACTTTTTTCGAATCGAAGTTTCGATGATCGAATCAAGCGGTTCAAAAGGTTAGAAAGATTTCGATTTTTCGAATTGTCTATATCGTAAAATTCGACAGAAGTCGAATTTTCGAACTTGTTAAGCTAAGAGGTTCGACGCTTTTCGAACCGTCGAACTTATTACGCTAAAAAATTCGATCTTTTTCGAACTTATTGCGCTGCAAAGTTCGATGCTTGTCGAACTTCCGAACTTGACTGACCAAAAAATCGATGAATTTCGAACTTTCGAACTTATTTATGAAGAGAATTCGAAAAGTTTTGAACTTTCGAATCCTGAAAAGTCTGAAGTTCGACGAACTTCGAACTTTTAGGGTAAAAGTTCGACGTTCGTCGAACTTCGAAAGACCGGCGGACGGCTTCATTTGAATTCAAGTAGTGAGGTACATTCGTAATTTTTTTTTTTCGAACTTTTACACGCGGTGCTGCGTTCCTTACGAAAGACAATGCCGTTTGTTTCAATGTTCTGGCATACTTAGTTTTAAATAAATAAATCCCAGGGGCGAGGAAGGACGACGGGTTTTTGACGATTATCGTTTGTGCCAGATTTGAAGCGCGCTGTAGCCGAAGCTATTTATGGTAGAGATGTTATACTTTTTAAGAATGATCTATGTATAGCCTAGGTAAGTGCCGTCTTAAGATGTGATTATTGTTATTCAACGTGAGTTTTAAACATGTATCTACATGCAATTATGCCCTAAACTTGATATTTATTTTCGTCTAAGTTGTTTGGGGTATCGCATATAAATTAACACCACAGACAGTACATATCATTGCCATCTGCAGAATACAAAATAATGTGTTTATTGTTTTTTCACGTTAAGGAATAAATTAACTCATGGGAGAAGATTTCTGATAGTGTTCAAGTTCAGCACGTCATTAAAAGAAAACATTTTTTTTTTTTCGCTTCACGTTCCTGGGACGTGTTTCTTTTAGCCTGTACACATTTTGGTAAAAAAAACTTGTTTCGAAGTTCTGAACCTCTGAATATGCAAGAATACTACACTTCCGGCGAATTCTTGATAGTTTTTTTTTCTCCAGCTTTTTATCCCCGCGTTTTTTTTTCTTTTTTCTTTTTTGTTATTGGCACAGGTATTTAGGTCGAAAAGACATAGCTTTGAACTTCCGAACCACTAAGCATGTGACGAGTAGTGGCTTCTGACAACGAGTTCCTAACAATGACCATCTACGCAATCTTTCATGCAGTGAAGAGCGACAGTAGCTATACATATGCATAAATAATTTCAGATTAAAATAAGCTCCACCACGCCCTCTTTCCCGTATTGTTTTCTTTAACAGTCCGAAATATCTGGAAGGGGGACAAGGAAGCTGAAGCCCCCCCCTCCCCCCCCCCCCTTTCTTCCTCCCGCTACCCTCTTTGCCCCCCGTTTTTCCTCTTCCGACGCCACTGGTATGGTAGAACGCTCCTCGACCTCGAGTTGTGTCGGCTTTTTGCGAGGCGATTCCTCCGTCCCAGAAAATAAACCTCCAGGACAATTACAAACTTAACTTACTATATGCCAGCGCCACTCGGGCGGCGTTCGATCGGATTACTACCAGCGTGCAAGGGGTGGCGAGGTAGTTTGCCAGGTCGCTTCAAGGTTTTTCTGAGCCTCAACCTTATGCCCGCCCCTGGCCATTTCGAACTGGACGAGTCTCGTAAAACAGTGTGTTCGTGTGATCACTACTGCGTGATGCAGGTTAAAGACCCCCCCCCCGGGGCTGGCGGTCACAATTACTGATCTATGGTCACACGTCACTCTGCACTGGCAAATATTCCAGCACATCCGGGACACTCGTCGTCTCATTTAATTGCCTGACCAACTTCGCAGAATCTAGATATCACACCCTAACTTTTCTAAACTTGATTTTGTGAAAACCAGTGAATCGTGAAAACGTTATTTGAAACTGAAACTGTGGAGGAATTTGAAAACCGGACTTCGAACTTTGAAAACTTGGACTAAAAGGAATTCAAAATCTTCGTTTTTTTTTTTGTTTTTTTTTTTAATTTAGCTTTAAAAGAGAATCAAAACATTCGAACTTTTCGAACTTTATACAGAAAGAAATTCGAAATCTTTGAATTATTCGAACTTCATGTCTATAAAAATTCGAAGCGTTCGAAGTTTTCGAATTTTATTTCCAAAGAATTTCGAAATCTTCGAATTTATCGAACCTCAAGTAAAAAAAATATTCGAAATATTTGAATCCGAAATTTTAAAAACCGTAAAAGCTTCGAACTTATCGACTTCGAAACTCCACTGTGATAGAAAGTTGCGAAATTTTCGAAATCGAACCTCGGTTGGTACGAAAATATCGAAATTTTTCAAAATCGAACTTCAGCTCGCTTCGCAAATATCGAAACCTTTCGAAATCGAACTTGGGGTGGTTCGCGACATCCCTAATTATAGCCGGTCTCGACAGTACTTAATATTTAAATGCAATATTTTACTATTTATGACACTACAAAATAATTGTGACCCTAAGCACTCACCAGACATGAATCAAAGCGGATAGGAACTTTGGCATGTTTGCACAGGGAAGAACAGTAATGAAAATGGTAGAATAGATCAGACCACTATGCACAATATGCACAGAATGCCTAGGAATTATTTCATAGTTACGCAGACATAGAGAAAGAACTACAAATACTCGTAATTCTGGTGAACAACATACAATAAATGATATGCCAGGCCAGGACATATCTGCCCAGCATATAAACCAACACGCTGTTTACAAACAAGCCCGCGTTTTCCCACACCGGGTGTGGGCACTGCACGTGCGCAGAAACCGAATTCGCGTGCAGTGAAGTGTCCCCGCATGCGCAGTGCCGTCGACAGCGCCACCGCAGCTGCGTGACGTCACGGCCGCGTGTTGGTCTATGCTCCCGCATTATAGCTACAATTTAATTTTGAAAATTTTACTGTAGTGCAGATATCAACATTCACAAGGTTTCTGTTTCTCTATAGACACCAAGCTCAAATGTGCACCATCCTACTCTGAAAGTTGGCTTTTTTAAGAATGGCACCGCAATTTTTTGTGTTTATTGCGTTGTTGATTGAGGTGGGTTTCTCCCCGTTGAGCATGCTTCTTACCGCACACGGTAAGGAGCGCACTCAACGGGACTAACTGGTTGTGGTCAACAATTCGAATAATGTGAATATCAGAGTTCATCTCGAATAGCTTAAAATTTTGAAACTAATATTCTAAAATTCAAATATTTCCACAACACTACAGTTTTCTCGCATTCTCTTGTGGCGCCCGTCACAATAACAATTTTCGCACGAGAGCTTATATTTTACGTTGGTAGCGGCGGGCCGCGCGCCACTGGAAAGAATGCGGTTACCCGTCGGCGGACCGAAACGCCCCCGTGGGCCGGGGTTTGGAGACCCCCGCTCGAAGCGTACCTTAATCGGTAGCTCTAGGTTGCACCGACGACATGTAACAGGCAAAAAAAAAAAACACCGGGACAGAATCCCTACGAAATGCGGTGGTGCCCAAGTCAGACTGACCGGTCGGAGGGAGCTTTCGGGCACCTCCTCGCAGTTTCCGTAGTCCACGTAGTGGATGCCCAGGAGTCCGCCCTTGGCGTGGGTCACCCTGGCGCGGTACCACATCCCGTCCTCCGAGTACTTGGACACACAAGCCTGGCCCGCCCGGATCCTGCCGCTGCCGGTCGGGCAGCTGGGGCCGTTGTAGTAGTCCTGCACGACACACATCAGCATCCACCTAAGTGCACGCTAGACTTGTCGAACACCGTCGACGACTCTATCTGTGCGAGTTGGACGTACAGCAAATTTTGCGAGGGGCGTTTGGAAATGTTCTGCAATTGGGAGAGGTGTGCTACAAATTTGTCACCACAGGAAGATGTATTCTTGCAAACACTTCTCAATATGTTACAACATGCGAGAACTAAGTTGTCGACAGACGTGAAATGATTTAGCTCTTCTCGCGTCGCGTGCATAGACTATATCCGATCGACTGTCGGCAGCTCAAACTTGATTTACACTAACTTTCAGTTTGTGGCACCAAATTGCGCCATGAACGAGAGTCTGCTACATCTTGTGCCAAAGTGCCAGTTTTGCTAAGAATTGCGCCACACCTGTGCCAAGATGGGCTTAACCGCGTAACCGTTTTTCATTTTTGGCAATTTTTAACCCTAAACCTTTTTTTTTTTTTATCTTCTTATCTTATGATTTCAGTTACTCCACGCATAAAGCCCTATTATGATTGAACAACAGAGCAAACAGAAACATATTTTTTAAGTCGATTGTAACAGCTTTGTTTTTTGGACAAGTTCAACTAACTCATACTATATATATATATAAAAAAAAAAAAAAAAAACCCCGGAATGGAAAGGAAGGAGGGCAACTTCGCGAGCGTTGTCCACGAAGTGAAGCATCCTTATGATGAGCTGGTACCAATTACCGCTCTTCACTTCTCCAAAGATGGGCGTGTGGAGAAGCTTGTTCTTCGATCAGTACCACTCTTGCTCTGGTTTTTGCACACTCCCGTGAAACAGCTGGAGCGACAAGAAAACCCGCGTCTCCTGAGTTGTTGTTGGTACCCATTTCTTGAGGCGAGAATGCTCGCTGAGTTGGCTGGCGTTGAGTTTTTGCTCAGCGTATCGGTTTGTTTCCCTAACTGTCAGCGAGACCAAGCCATTGTCCTCAAAAGCTTTAAAGTACTCAAGCATGTCAGTGGTTGATTGGACCGAAAGTGTTTTACCCGGGCTGCCGAGAAGAGGGAATAGAGAGGGGTGCTGGTGGAACACTGTTCACGTCAATTTTCAACCACTGCTGAGCATCGGCAATAGCGTGACCTGGATCGTCGTCATCCTTTGTTTCGTCCGAGGAGCTGCAGAGTTCGACGTCACAATCACCGTCTTCTTCACTTGAAGAACACAAGTAGACGTCAGTACCCATGTTGCTATAGAAGGCCCTGCAATGGTCACGTGAACTCCGCTTTTCCTGGCTTCTCCCGCAACTCTTGGAGCGTCGCCCCAGTCGACCCCGGTACGATGATTACTGCAACTTTTTAATTGATTTTCGCAGAATGCAACCACTGGTTTCGGCTGAAATTTGAGCAACGTGGCCTGAGATGTGCCTGGAAGCCAGTTGAATCGCTAACAAAATATCCGAATTTGCCTTCATTATCCCATTTAAAAGTTGCTACGGCGCGGAGGAAATTTCTCTGCCATTTTTTGCAGTTACAGACAACACCGGCTCCGCTTCACCGGACAGTTAATGTTTTCGCATTAAAAATAGGGTCCATATTTGAATAAATAAGGTAGTCATAGGTAGTTCCTGTGCAGCTGTTCATCGAAAGGGTAGCAAACAACTCTGGTTCCAAAACCACTAAATAACAGTGACATCTTTAGAGCATAAGTGAAGGCTTCCAGAATATTTGTGGTAGGTTCATAAAACTTAGGGTAGACATTTTCATTGATACCACGTTAGAGTATATTCGGGTTCTTGCTGGCCTTTTACAGAAGTTATATCTGCTGGCTAAGTAAACTACCAGGTGTAAAAGTAGGAGGGGAGAGAGGTTTTATCCCAACTGAAGTGTTACGCTACGATTAATTTTTCAACCATTTTTTTAGGACCCATTGCAAATGGAATCTACCCTGACCAGAGCACCTTATTCCTAAAAAGAAGACACTGTGTTCTTTTTGCACCCCATCTATTCTTATTAGAAAGGCAAGAAGTATTACGCTCCAGTATCAAGGAGGAACCCTCTATCATTATCAAAGGTGAACTCATATACAATGCAATCATTCTTTCATTCTCAAGTCATGTGCTAACAGATGTTGGCATCTGCTCCAAAAGCGTCAGTGACTGCTCCATACTAATATTTTGCCTGCTACAGAACCTGGTATGAAAGGTTAATTGCCGCTTCCATCACAGCGTCTGGGTACTAGATATTTTTTATTGTGCACCACAGATGTCAGCCAGGGCGAGACCGAGAGAATGAGCACACAGCACGGGCGCTGCCTTACATGGCTCTTGCATGATGCGCGACGTCGGTGAGGTGACGTCACACCGCTCTCGCCAGCAAGCTGGAGTGTAGCAAACCGGGAGCATAATCCGTTCAAACCAGCAGTGTGCTATGCAGCTCAGCAACAAAGAGAGAAAAAAAAAAAAATCTATGCATCTTAGTGGCTACATTATCCGACTGCCACTGCACCGACCCAGGTTCAAGCCCCGCTAAGGGCTCAAAACGTTATATATACAGTCCTCGACAGATTTTTCGGATGCCGAAAATTCAGACTTGCTTGTTCTTTGGGACATTGACGAGGAATCGTGACACCCAATTGAAATATTACGAACAGTCGAATCTCGTTAAAGGAGCGGTGCAACGATATTCAATTGGAATGTTTTTCACTTTACACGAGCTCACTGGCACACCTGGGACTCAAGGATACTCACACGCAACGCCACTGTCCAAGAAACTCCTTTGTTGCAGTGTAATTTCAAGGACAAAATCGATAATTTTCATTCAATCTCTCCTTTGCAAAATTTGATGACGTAACGTGGGGATCGCAATACACACCAATGACAATATTTGAATGCGGTTCATAGATTGGATCCGAGCATTGTGTGGGCACCCGATTTGGGCTCGTGATAATTACTAGCTCGAGAAGCATTCGGGTAGTGGTCCGTGTCCAATCGCTGCAACGACGACAATAGCCGAGCCATAACAATGTCTGGAACTCAGCGTGTGTCCTGTGCTTTGCCAACCCCAGCGCGTGGCTATGATCAACATTGGCGGCATATAATCTGCTCCAGAACAGGTGGCCGCTTGTTCTGGCTGCGAGCTGAGGGAGTGAACTCTGCTCGTTTTTCTTTAATTCTTTTCCGGAACTTCTATTGCTTGCAGTAAAAAATGAATGGGTGTTTCATAGGTCATTAACGTCAGGGATCCATTTTAAGCGGTATCTGTGCAAAGTACAAAAATTGTTGCATCGCCCCTTTAATTCAAACTCGAGGGGGACAAAATTTGTTTGGATAAAGAAAAGTTTGAATTACCGGGAGCTTTCTCCCATAGAGACGCATAGGATGGGACCTGCATGTTAGTTTGAATTAAGAGAGTTTGTAACAACCAATTTCTCAGACAGTGTGCAGTCCGAAAGTTTGATTTTTCAGACTAAAATAGTTACAAGTGGCAGCCGCCAAGAGGCTACCATCTTGGATTTCTTTCTGGCTAGACCATAAGCTTGGCTTGACGTTTCAGATGGATTGGACAGGTTTGGCAGCACTATTTTAGCACTGCTGAACCAGCCCCTAGGCATGCTATGCTATGCATTTCGTTTTTGCTACGCATCATTATCATTGTCTTGGTATCTTCCTTTGGCCGATTTCTCTAAGTTTCCATCTCCAACCAACTTTTTGTTCTGTTCTCGCGCCAGTTGCCATCCGTTAAGTTGACAATTTTTAAACTTCACACCTAAATGTCTCGCAGTTTCGTCTTTTTGCCCTTCGTCGATATGTACTTTGGACCTCATAGCCTCTTCTTGCATCTCCGCTGGATGGGGACATGACACTGACGCAAATGAAAGTGGACGTGGTGGCCCGCAAGTGTAACAAGATGCAGGTACCTTTAGCAACTTTCTTAGGCTCACTTGGGCTCACTAAAGCCAGGTTGTGTAAACTGCACATTTTTCGGACTGCTTCATTATTCGGACGCTTTTTCGGCCGCTGGGAAGTCCGCAAAATTGGTCGGCGACTGTAGTCTTAATATCTGCAACATTCCCAGCGTGTCTCTTGGTCATTCTCAAAGTTTGTTTAAGACGATTTTCTCGCAGAAAATGACTCCTAAAACACGTTCCACGTTAAAAGCCTGTCTCGACCCACCTGCATCTGCTTCATGAGGGCAGTGAGCGCCGCAGCCGAGTCGGTGGGCTGCAGGTACACCTCTCCTGGGCTGAGCACCCAGGACACCTCAACGTCCACCGCGACACCCTCCGGCAGCACCGGGTACTGGTAGCCACCCACAAAGGGCTCCTCGGCTGCTGCGACCGGTGGCGGCGCGACCGAACCGCCCACTGTCCCGAACCCTTCTCGCTTGAGCACGTCCACCACGGAAGAGCCGTCCGCCAGGAAAACAGACACCTCGTTGACGCCAGAGTGGTTGGAGAAGACCTCGATGGTCACACGCTGCAGAGAAAACAAAACAAAAACAAGAACGTTTGGTTTACCTCTATCCTACAGATAATGCCGGCATACACAGACGTGTTTCCACGCCTTTCTGCAAGGCTTGTGATGGACATTGGAGTTTCTTTTCTAAATTTTTTCTCAGTTATAGCATGCAAACTAACTTCAAACTCTGTCCTTCAGCGACGGCTATTATGCGTTCTTCCCACACCACTGGAAATGACGTCCATTGTTAAGGGGAGACACTGGCGTAATTATTAACCTTTGAACTCCTTGTCCGATTGCAATGAAATTTGGAAAGTGCATTTACAAGCAGATGCAGGGGCACTGCTTTGACTTCTCTAGGTAAACTGTGTAAAGAGTTGCATATTTGTGTATGAGGCTGTGTCAGCTTTCCTTGGGGAATCTATCGTATACAAATGAAATGCTAAACCACTGTTTTTTTTGCTTGGATATAAAGTAGAAGGTATGCGGCTTTGGGCTATCTAAATTGTACAATTCAAACGAAAGTACTTCAGAGAGAAATTCGGTCTCCAAAAATGAGATGCACTTTCTTTGGATGCCATTTTGCCAAAATGTCACTTTTTCTCTGTGATGACTTCAATTTAAAACAAAATGAAGTAGATTGCCCAATTCCCCAGTAAATTTCAGTTCAGAAACTCTTTCAACGAGGCATCTGGATATGCTTACCATCGAACGATAGATTCCTTGCTACAAAGTTTACAGCAAAAAAGTGCAACTGAAAAAAAACACATTCAAACATTGAGCGCCTTTACTTTATTAGTTTGTCACAGTCCGTGTCCACTAAAAGGCACCAGCACAGTAGGTCTCCCATTTGGCTACCTGGTCCCTCTGTGCCTTGGCGATTGCCTCCAGCTTCCTCCGCTTATGGGCCACTTTCGAAGAGTTGAGTGCCTTCTGGTTGGCCTTGGAGGCCTTGGCTTGGAGGGCCTTGTCAGTGTGCTGAACCTGGTGGCTTCCGGGCTCTATTCCCATCTCATGAAGGGCCCTCTCAAAGCCTTTGGGGCCCAGGTTGAATTCCAGCACTGCAAGAGCCACGGCAGTTTCCACAGTTCTTCAAGAGGCGAAATCCGTCTTAGGGACACTGCCTCCACACCAGAGCATTGAACGACTCGATGTTCCGTGTTCCTATCCAAGCACACCTCTCGAGTAGGTCCCGCCGTGAGTCTGTTGTAGAGAGGCACCAACTCCTTTGCAATGTATCTTCAAAAGGCAGGGCGGTGTGGCTGTGGCTTCGACGGCTCTACAGCTACCACAAGCGCTTTGTGGCGATTGAAGTGACACCAGGAATGTTCCCCATGAGGGCAGGCCTGATGCCGGGGCTCTTCATCGGTGGAGTAGCTGTGGAGGAGACTGGCAAACACTGCCTTCTGCATGGCTGAAACGTCTGGGGCACTGGTCTTCAGTGCAGATGCGTAGTAGCCAGTCAATTTCTTCATGACAAAGTTTGTTAGCTTTCCCCTTCCACCAAGACCTTTTTTTCTGTTTTCTTCAGGGCCTCCATGCCGGCACACATTCTCTTGGCAACGTGGTTCACACAGTCTTCTTTTCTCATGTCCTTGTCGTATAGCTAGAGTCCTGCAACATGGTTGAATGCTTTGCTGTCCCCTTTGCACAGCACTGTCACATACTGCAAGTTGTGGAGTTGGACAGACAGACAGAAGATCTCATCTGCTGCTTGCAGTTCCATTGCATTTGCAGACCCAGCAAAGTTCTTCTGGCATACTGCTCTGCGATTCTCGACCCAGTCTTCATGGCTGTCAGATCCCTCTGCAGGTCCTGCAGGTCCATGGCAATAATTGCTCTGGACAGAATAGTCCAAAACTAGTCCAGTCTCGAGCTCAATGGCAACTCCAACACCAAAGTCTGAAGTGTGCCCACGCATGCCAAGTGCCATCGTACATCACACAAACAGCCATCAAATCACCGCTATCCGACTCGCATGTTTCTCGTACTGCTTCAGCTGCCTTGCTCATTACATTGCTGGCCGTTCTCATTGAGGTGTCGTGGACCTTTTCTCCCACATCTTGATAAGATCGGAAATGCATGGGCGAAGGAGCGTTGATGCCAGCAAAGAAGTTTGTAAGCTTTGTGTATCCCATACCACATTCATAAGACGCAAGAGAAATCCGTGCTGCCAGTTCATTCTACTGCGAGTGTCCGATAGTCGACGAGTGCGGCATCCGAGCAACGTCCCCGCAGTATGACCAGACGAACACAAATTGCACCTGAACTCCCTTGCCACTCTCGCTTAGCTGAAGGTCCGAACCACGGTACACCGGGCACAGAAGAGCGGACACCAGTGTCTCGATGGCAGATACAGCAACCAGACGATAGCCTTCGGTTGGGGCACCGTCAAGAGCAGTGGGAACGTCTGTGGGATCCACAGTGGGATCGCTCTCTTGCAGTAGCGAAATCTTGCGCTCTATGGCCGTTAGCTCCTCCACAACCTCATAATCTTCAGGTAGAGACGAAGAAACGTTGGCTGGTTGCTCAGAGGTCAGGTCCTGAAGCGACGAACCGGGAGATGGTGATGCGCTCGGGAGCGAAGCAGCTGATGCGTCCGACGAGGTTCCATTAGGGTTAGAGCATCGTACGCGTCCACCAGACGAGCCTCTTGGTTTCACAGAGCGGCGGCGAGCTCCAAAGACTTGGAGGGAATGCCGTTTAACGACCTGCATCGTGGCGACGAGACCGTAGATAAAACAATAAAACTATGAGAAATATTATATAATGAGCAAGCAAAAACGCGAGCGTTCGGGAAGCAACGAGACGAAACAACAATTCAGGTGAGCGGATCACGTGGGGTGTCACGGGCCAATCTAGGCTCGAGTTTCGTTTTCAAGCCAATTATAGCCAACGACTAGAGGGCTCTGGCTTTGTTCATGCTTACTCTCGAACTAAGTTTACTTTTGTCATAAAAGCCAGAAGAAACGACGCTTTCAACAAGGGTATGAACATTGGAGCAGGCCAAATGGGCATGGAGCGGTCGGCATTTGAAAATGGCGAATTTTGGCAACTGATCGCGCGTCGGAACGACTCGGGGATGGGAGGCGTGTTGACGACCTGTCGAAAATATTTTATATCAGTGAAAATACTTGACATACGGGTATGAAATTTTATGGAAGGGTGCATTATTAGTTTCTGAAATCAAATATAACAAATTTGAAAAATGCACTTTTTAAAAAAAAAATTGGGAATTTGAGCTTGTGTCCTCCTTAACATTGTGGTTGGTGATACAGGCCGCTCGCCGTCACCTTCGCCAAATCCTCGAAAAGGATCACCCGCTGCTTGTGGGAATGGAACCTAAATCCACTGCGTGTGAAGCAAAGATGTTGTCACTGAGCTATGTCACAGCTCAACAACTTGCTCTGTACTTGGGTTTTTTGTAGTCCTCATTGCCCCATTGCTAGCGCTCTCTGGTAAAAATAAGCCTAAAACAAAATGTAGCCGAAGCACTGTCAAAGCCAAGGGCTCGTGCCAGGAAATGCGCTTTTACCCCCGTGAAACGGCCAACAGGGCGGGATTTTCCCTAGACCACCTAAATAACAAGGCCAATGTGCTAAACTTTCCTTAGACAGCAAGATCCTAGCACAGAATTTTCCCTAGACCTCCTAAACACTGCCAGCTCTTCTATGGTGCCTAGAAGAGGTCAGTGTAGGACACAGAGTGGACACGAGTGCTGCGTCGGTGTTTGGCTCGTGTTCAATCGGTGAGAACATCAGTTGAACAATGTAGGCGATTAGGCTACAGTATAGACTACTTACAACGTAACCGCTTATAGTGCAGGACCAAGTATAACGCGGCTTTTTTAAACCATCGGTTCGCCTCCCACAGAACTCCATGTAATTACATACCGCTTAAAATGCAGGTGCGCAAAGGGAAATACTGGTTATAGTGTGGTTTCTGCAACAGCGCGCCGACTGACCCGTGCAGCAAGCAGGCGAGCACGCTTCCCTGTGCAACACTAGATAACGGCGCTAGCCGCAAGCGGCACTCGCAAGGCAAGACGCGGAACAAGGAGGTTGCTCGAAGCAGAGTTGGTCGTGGCTCGAAGAAGCGGGGAGAAGCGAAGAGAGAGGCGTCAGTTGCCATAGCGACGGAGGGACGCACGCACGTGTCGTTCACGTGCGCGCGTCCCTCCGCTGCGTTGGTTGGAAACAACCGCAACGACAGACCAATCGCAGGTCAAGGAGAAGTGTTTGCGCGCGTTGCACGCCGGTCGCGGGCGGCTGCTTCTATCCGCAAACATGGCGTCGGTTGTGATCGTCGACGTAGACGGCATGGTGGAGGCTCATCGTTCCGCGTAAAAGCGCTATCCTTGACTGTGAATTTTCGTTGTGTGTCGCTATGACAACCGAGCACGTACTAGAAGGGAAGATCCACCTACTCGTGCGGCGATGTTGTGGCGGCACTCTCAAGACGGCAGAAACGCCCGTGTCGTCGTGCTTGTTTACTTCGACTACAGTGGCGCTTTCTAAGCATTTGTTTTCGAACATCGCCCGGATTTCTTATTTGGAGCATTTCATGCCTGTGCTCAAGTTGAAGGTATTACTGGCGTGTACCGTATAAAGGATGCAAATTTTCACGCGTTTTCATCGCCGGAGAGAAGTGATTAGGGTTAGCAATTCTGAACGCTCACAACGTCCGTCCGCAACCCGCGACGCCGTTAAAAGGCTGCACCAGGCAAAAGTCGCTCATTTCTTTCAAAATGTGTGACACACTTGAGAGAGAAGTGTACTTAGTCTGGTGAAATAAAGACATTCCTCAAACTAAGCTTTATTTTTCGTCTAACATAAAATAAATTATTTTACAAAGGTAGGTTGTCTCATGGCATGTATTTTGGCCTGAAAAATTGAAGTTTTGGTTATAGCGCGGTACCGCTTACAGTGTGGATTTTCGCGACTCCCGCGACATACGTTAGATGCGGTCTACACTGAACTTGGTTCATTTTTAGAAGTACAAACAGAATCACAACGCGCGCTTTAGCTGTAAATCACCGCTGTTTTCTTTTACTCTGTCCATGCCATTGTTCTGTTAGTAATTTTAAGAGTGTGTCGCAGCTGGATTAGAACTGAAATAGAGATATTTCACGATTCCAGGGGGCACTGCGGGTGCGGCCTTCTGACTCCTACGAACTGCACTAGCGGCGAAGAGTTCCTTCTTTCCATCAAAAAATAATGAAAACATACCCCTTTCGATCAGCTATCTTTGGATGCTTGACCTAAAGAGCTGGGTTTGAGGGTGGGAGAGAAGATTATCCCATCCATTTTCAATTAAGAGGCTCGAGGTACATTTAAAGGGGCCCTCCGGAGCTTTCTGCGATCGTCTGTTTATGTTGTTATATTGCGTAGTAGGTGCAAGTTAATATGTACACAAAGTTTAAGATTACAAAACCGTTTATTAAGCAGATGGCAGAAGGAATATATCGGGACTATTTTCTCTTGGAACACAATCCACCATTCCCTGCCCATCGCTACAACTTGACCAATGGAAATGCTGCATCTCGCGGTGAAGGCAAACGTTATTATTGCAACACATTTAAGCTTGTAAATTAGTTTGAGAAAAGCGTAAACTGATTGTGGTGCGGGAAACATAGTCCGCAATTATCGCTCCTAATCCAGCGAACTATGTTTTCTCCCCGCAAGCTTGTTGCTAGGGGGTGATGCGTCGGCGCGTCTGCTTCCCGGGCCGTCTGCGGGCGTGCGTTTGCGGGACACGCGTTCCTTCTTCCCGTGGATCCCGACTCCGAAGCCAGCGTTGCGATCCTTCCACGTCAACGAGTCAAACTTTTCCTTGTCATCTGTGGAATGCGACTGCGTATTGCAGTAGCAGCGCCACAGTGCGATGCGACGAACAACGACTGCCGAGCACAAAGTCCGGGCTCCTTGACGACTGTCCGCGCGTGCTCGAGAGATTCCTCTGCGGGTCGGCGGTCCGCCGCGTTGGTGACGCGCAGTGGCGCCGAAATCCTTCGCTTGCTATTGGCTGACGCGTAAAGAGATGCCCCTCCCGTTTTCCGGGGTCATCTCAGAAAGGGGGGCGTGCTGGGGACTTTGATAGCAATTTTAATAGGGAAATCCGCCGCGCATGACCGTAATTTTATGATTTTTAGGATCCTTAGGGCCTGTAGATTGAGTTACCGCCATAAATAGACAATCGCAGAACGCTCCGGAGGGCCCCTTTAAGCATTTCTTACGAGTAGTGAATGCGAAAGCATGCATGCCGTCCCTCTGCTCCCTTATTTCGTCTGCAGTATACTTGCGTCGACGGTCGAGTGCGCGCGCTCTTAGGGTGTCCAGCAAATTATTACTTTGAAATTCCCCGACTTTTCCAGGTTTTCCCTGACCACTGTAGAGGCGGTCAAGTATATAAGACCATTAAAACACAAGGCATTGAGCGCTGTGAAGATCATTTTGCACGCGCTTAATCCAACTTGCATATTCTGAAATATTCGGGTTCGTCCAGTCCTGAATAAACAAGCACTTTCTTGCCGCCGACATCGTCAGCGAAGAGGCCACTTCCGGAAACACAATGAAAACATGACGCTCAATCACACACGTCAATAACCAAATGGCAGCATGGCCGTCAGATGCACACTTTCGGCTTAAGGTTTGGGTTGAATTGGGGTCTGCAACTTTCCCATTTGTTACCAAATCTAGTAGCTGTAACTAAATCTAGCCTAGCGTCGCGCCCTCAATCCAATCCAAGGCTTGCACCGGATTTGTCGGCTCTTCCCTTTGCATCGGGTAGCATACTCTGCCCACAGCGGAGCGTGGGCAGAAGTTCAAAAGCATCAATGGCCAGGAGAACCCTATACGTCCAAACAGAAAAAAATCTTAAATATTTGGTATGAGCAATCTTATTGGTTGAGACCCGAAACAGGGTCTACGAATGGTTCTGCCAGGTGAGATGATATTGTGCCATCTCTTTCACAGTATCTTCCACTTCAGATCATATTTCTGCATTGCAGCTCTTCCTTAGTATGATTTGCCTCTTAGTTCTTACCAGTTTATCTGTCAAGAAATGCTTGCTACAAAAGTTAGCTTGCCTACAACGGCACAAACTGGTACCTATTGCCAGGGGAACAACAAAGTCTCAAATAGGAAGGTGCTAACAATGCTACGGGTGAATTTTGCCCACCTTGGACTCGTAGAAAAAAAGAAACCTAAAGTTAAAACTTCAAATGCATTTTTCTCAGTTTCCCTTTTTGGTAGAAAATGTGGTGCGAGGATATGTAGCACTTGACATTTTGTAAGTGTAAAGATTTCATTCAATAGTGTCCTAGATTGAAATTTCTTGAGGAACAAGTGTACTCATAATCTGAAAAAGTTAAATTCTTCATGACAAAAACTGAATATTTTAAAACACAGAAATTTGTTAAAATCTTTTGCTCTTTTTGGGTGTAATTGTTTTTCTCGAGAATTGCATTTTCTACAATTAATTTTTACCTTAACTTGCACTACGGGTATTCTACTTCACATTAAACCAAACATTTTGTCGACTGCAATTAATATATTGAAATACACTTCCTAATAAAGTAACTTTTTGTGGAGCTTGTAGTTGTTGTAAAATTGGCCTACAAGACTGAAACTTTAGATGTTATCAATCCTAATGGGGTTCAATTCACCCTGAAAGTTTGAATCAATTTCATACCGTGTAAAAAGTAAAATTTCGCACAGTTCACTTTCAACGATTTTGAAGTTGGAAGACAGCATTATGGCTACTGTAAGTGCCAGTGGTTGCTTTCCCGACTGCACGCTCTCCTGCGGTGCTCGGCACTGCTCCCATAAACTTACAAAATGAGGGTCGATCAACCTGCATTCTTCTATTACCGCCACATTTTATAGTGGAATCTTATTTGTAAACACTCAATTGCAAGATGTGAGGCAATTGGAGGGTCTTAAAAGCCTGGAAGACCAATTGCAATGCTAAAAAACAAAAACCTCGGTCCAACAAAATTTGTGATTTAACGAAATTTTCAAATAAAAAGAAGACTAAATTAAATCGAGGTTTAAGTGTATCGGGTGTTTGGCGACCGAATCAGTATTTGCCAAGTGCTCTAACGCCAATTAAAAAGTATGATGTGCCAGTGTCACTTGCTTCAGTTGCTAAATAAATAACACAATCAACAAATGAATGACACGCTCGGAGTTTTAATTCGTCATAGAAGCCCTCCACCGCGGTTCAAAGCAAAAACATGCACCAGAAGTACTCTGTAAAAACACTTGAAACAATCCGAATGCCCACAGTAAATGCATTCCAACTTATCGTCTGCTAAGCTCCGACGACTTCGAGATCACACACAACTCCATGTAATTCTCGGCAACCCGTCTCATTGAACCGCATCACAGTTTACACCCAACAAAGTCGCAACCCTCGACCCTCAACCACGAAACATTTATTTAAACAAGATAGGTATTCCATCAATTTTCATATTCAAGCCCAAAATATCAACTGTCATTCCCGGAAAACGCGATAAAAGTTTGATCGTCTAGAACAGGGGTGGCCAAGCTGCGGCTCGCGGTCCCCCCCCACCCCCACCTCCTCTCCTCCCCCTTGCCCACATCCCTCCAGATCCCACAAGCACTTCCCAAAAAGAAAAAAAGAAATGGAACACGTTCTAAGTCGAAAGACAGGTTGCAGTTTGGTAGTCTTGGGCTATTGCTACCTTACGTACAGTTGTACTGCTTTTGACTCTGATAGATTGAAAGTAGTTCGAGTTTCGTTAATTGCTCTAGACAAAAGTCCTCTTCCTCCCTCCCTCCCCTCCCCTCCTCGGTGATGAATACTGTAAAAGTATAAGACACTGCTACTATGCAAGAGCTGAATGCATGCGCCTTGCCCGCACTGGCAGGGTGGTGCACGCGAAAGTTTTCTGCCGAGCAGAACGCCGACGACGCGAAGACCCTACACCCGCCATCGCCGTAATATTCAGTGAGACGGAGGAGGAGTTTGCAGGGCAGACACTCGAGGGCCGTTTGCTTTGCAAAAGGGTGTCTGGAGTCCTTGCTCACCTGTTCGGTAAGCAAGGGGTCGAGGCGTTCGGTCAGCGTGTCCGAGACGGGTGCCTGGAAATCCCTCAGCGTACAGCGGAGCGCCTGACGGGGTAGGGCCAGCAGCCCTGGGGGGAGGGCGCGCAGGGACTCCAGGGGGACTGTCTCCGCATTGCCGTAGTCCACGAAGAAGACGTCGGCGCCGGTGGGACCGACTGCTGTCACTACACCCCGATACCACGCTCCATCTTCAGAGTACAATGCACAGCACGGAAGCCCCACCTGCACGGCAAAGACAGAGGCAACTTCGGTGAACCGTTCCAGAAATATGAGGTGCTCCCCGCCGCGTGTTTGGCACATTGAACGGAGGCTAAGATCGTCCATTTACGGTCGTGAATCAATCTACAACCTTCGAGCATTAAAAAAAAAAAAACAGGTTGATACGCATCTGATTTCGCTATTGAAAACACAATCGAAGATCATGACACGCTTGTTTTTCCGCGATCAGGCGAAGAAACAGGAGGATGACGTAGGATGTGCGACGTCCAAGCACAAGCGATTGCACCCTAAGCGGCAAGAAGGCCAACCGATGGCGGACCAAACTTCGAGCGTGAGCGATTTGCACACGGGAAGCAATCGCACGTCGCTGGCTGTTTCACGTCAGTTTCCACGCCAAACCGCAGCAAAATGGGCGTGTCGCTATCGTTGGTCTCGTTTTTAGTGGGGAAATGAAAAACGTATCAGTCTATTCTCGGGCTTTTTAGAATGCTTAGAGGCTGTAGATTGAGTGATGGCCATAAATAGACTACCTCCAAACCACTTTAGGGACTCTACTCTGGTCTTGAAGGTAAAAGAATACAACGAAAAAGTGACACTTCTGAAATCATGTTTTTTTGTTTGTTTTTTAAAAGATTTAGAGGCATTTTTGACATTGTCCTCGTTACTTTGCAATAAGCTGTATACATATTTTGCTATCTTTTGCAAGCCATATCTCCACCTATATGCAACCAACCTTTGCCATTTATTTTTCCAGTAGAAGTATATCCAAGATATCAAATAATGGGTGTAAACATGCTAAATATGGCATAAGTATTTTTTTTTTTTAAATATGCTTCTAACTTTTCCTGTGACAATCAGTTTCAAAACTATGAAATTTTAAAGTGTCTATAAAAATGCATATGTTATCCTAGAGCTTTCACTTCAACCTTACTGGGATGTGTAGACCTAGTTTGCCGATATATGTTTATTCGCAGGTTTCAATATTTGAATTTGTCTTAATCCTCCACACAACCATTGCATATAAAATGTTTGATAGTATACAAACTAATTAGGTGATATCCAAACCAAGTACACATATGTAATCAGAAAGTAAGGGCAGATCTGCAAGCGAAATTCCATTCCCATTGGATCATTAATAAAATAAAGAAAGCTATAAAGCAGAGTTACTTCCTCGGTGTATGGCATGTAAAAGGGGGACCTACCAGTGAATAGAAGTTAGTAATAGACCCTTTCCAAAATTTCCTCTGGCCACTTTGATCACTATCATCATCTGTGGAACGGCAACTGTGCTGTACCAATGGCGGCCTTTTAGTGACTGATCAAGGAAGACGTCGAAGACGCTCCTAAGCGGCTGATGCGAGGCCTGTACATTCGGGGGGTTAGTGCGACGTGACGTAGGAATGGAACACAGGAGCTACGTAAGCATTCATTATTAACTCAGATTCAGTCAATCTGTGGGCGACACACTGTCGGCTTCAAAGACCTGTGGTGCCTAGAATTTTATTGAGGCGTCTGTGTGTGTTGGAGCTTTGTTCTCACTGCAGGTTATTGGTCACCGTTGAACTGAAAGTGATTGAGAAAGAATTCACATTGAACAATACCTCGCGTGCCGTTGACTACATTTAGCGGAGAAATTTTCTCGCCAAACATGGTGAGGAAATTTTTCCGCTAAATTTAGCGGGGTAATTTCCCTGCTAAATTTAGTGGAAAAAATTCCCCGCTAGACTTGGCAGAAAAATTTCCTTGCCAAATTTACCAGAAAAATTTCCCTGCTAAATTTGGTGAAATAATTTCCCCGCTAAAATTAGCGGAAAAATTTCCCTCCTAAATTTAGGCACCGCTGACGTCACGAGGGCGACATCACACGAGACGACAGTATGGGAAACATCCCATAATGCAACGCGTGGTCACGCCGATGGCGACACCGCTCAAGCCAGAAACGGGCGCCTAAGAGCTGCGCTCTAAAAGCAAAAACATCTCATACGGAAAAAAAGAAAGAAAAGGACAGAGCATAAAATAGGACTGATGGCCGCCATTTAGTTTAGCAATGAAGAATCGCTAATAAATGTTAAGAACCACATTTGTAGATAACTATAAGTACATAATAAAAATAACAACTTAGCCTACATATTACACAACTAAGAAACAGACACCACTGACCACTAGAAAGCTTCAGCACTGTTCCTTGAAAGCATAAAATGTTTTACTGTAATCCATAGTCATATCTGTTCTGTTTAGCATCTGGTCGTCTGAAACGAGAAAGTTTGGCGGCCATAATTGGTTCTTATTGAAGGCATCCTTCGCTTTGAGTCTCGTTGGTACGGAACAAAACTCGCTTTTGGTGTGGAGTCTATTCTGTTTTTGTAAATCCATTGTAAGAGCTTCAAATGGTATACTTGGTCTGCCCTAGGTGTATTATATTTGATGAATAGTGGTTAGGTTCTTATGTTTCTGATATCTACTTTATAATCTTTGCACCTGCGAAAAATCCTCTTCTGCAAGGTGATAAGCTTGACATAGTTTGAATTGATCGTCATCCCCGAAACTAAGATGCTGCAACTGATTTTAGAGTTGAAGAAAGAATAGTACAGTGTCTGTTTTAGCCAGGCGGACAGCAAGTTTCGTATTGTATGTATACTTCCCGTAACATGAGAGAATTCATCTTCGAGTTTATTCACGCGAGTGTCCCATGAGAGGTCCACAGTAAACCATACACCGAGAATTTTTTTTTAAACACTTGCTCAAGCACGGTGTCTTTAAATTTTAAGCTCATAGAGCTGAAGAAGCGTTTATTTACTGGCTTAAAAATAATATACTTAGCTTTGCTTGTATTTAGTTTTAAAGAATTTATTTGTAACCAATTGGATAGCTTCAATAAATAGACATTTGCAGCATTTTCTAGGCATTTTATAGTCACTCCAGAAAATAACACGATTGGTATTGTCCGCACACATTATTAGATCGGGGGAAACGGATATAGTTTAACACATACATAGTGATGTGATTGACCTAAGCCATTTTGGAGCACCTTTCGGAGCAGCTAAAACAGTGTTTTGGAGCAGCACATGTGGACTTTGGAGCAACCAAAACAGTGCTTTGGAGCAGCAAAAGTGGCTTTTGGAGCAGATATTCGTATAAAAATAAGAATATTCATTTTAAGTGCTGTACAAACGAAGGGCACTTCGTGTTGTGTTCTGATGCGACGTGTTGCGACGGAACTCGCTGCTTGCGTTTTTAATGCTGAGACATCCCACAAGTGCACAGTGCTATAGGCATTGTGGAGAAATTTAAAAAAAAACGATTTTAACCGTGCAGTTAAAGGACACATGCAAAGGAAAAAAATTTTTTTTTTAGACAGCTTAGATGGAAAAAGGATGTCATAAAACGATTTTACAACGAAGAAACAAAATTTTTAGAGCTATATTTACGGCGCTATACGAATTTGTAGTTGGCGCTCGCGGGAGCCGCCGCTGGTCACGTGGTAGGCCCGCGCGCCGCCGCGCTGCGTCGCCGCCGCACGCTGAGCGTTGTGCGAACGCCACTTCAACGCGTTTCTCCACGCCGCCGTCGCCGCCGCCGCACAAGTTCGTCTGCTTCGGGGCGCCGCCGCCGTCGTCTGACCGGCGCACAGGTCTATCACGTCTGCTTGCGCTTTTTCAGGAGTTTCCTTTGGGCTCTAAAAGTTACTTATTCGTCTTGGTTTTTTGTTATATTTCAAACAAAGATGAATAAGTTACTTTTCCAGGCCATAGGAAGCTTCCGAAAGAGCGCAAGCACCACGTGATAAATAAAGACCAGTCACGTGATAAATACAGACCACTTTTCCGCGGTGCCCGCGGGCGCCAACTACAAATTCGTTTTGCGCCGTAAATATAGCTCTAAAATTTTTTTTCTTTGTTGTAAAATCGTTTTATGGCGTCCTTTTTCCATCTAAGCCGTTTAAAAAAAATGTTTTTTTCCTTTGCATGTGTCCTTTAAGGGCAACTTCGGCAGGCTTGCACTTGCGCGTGCTTCGTCGCGCAAGCGGGGACAACGGCTGTTCGATCAAAACCAAAACCATGCCATGCCACTCCGCTCCGTCGTTAATTGATTCCTAAAATATATCCAAAATGTAACTGTCAAGCATACAACAAAAGAAAGGAAAAAAAAAAAAAAAAACAGTCCTGCGGCGCGTGCTTGCCATGTTAGCAAACAAGGTACAAGCTAAAACACACACAAAAAAAGGACCTGAGCGCATCCATGAGAGACATGGGAAGTCAGCGTCAAAAAGTTCTTGGAGCACTTTGTGCGGGTTCAGCGTGCAGACATTGCCTTGTTTGCTTTAGCTCACTTCAACTTTCTTTCGTGGCAGATTTTTCGTGTACCGGGGTCTCTCCAAAGAAATCCCATCGAGAGAAACCTAAATAATCAATACTTCGACACAGCAGTCTTTGAGTTAAAGAGGAATTTTTGTAGTAACGTATGATTTAAACAAGAACAGGAATGTTGATGAACATGCGGTAGTACTCAGTTTCATTTTAGAAAGCGCCACATCTGCAGCGTCGTGGGGACGGCAACACCTGACGTCGCGCGACCACGGTGACTGGCAGGCAGGGACCAAACAGAGTTTTCCCACGGCGTTGCTTTCAGGAGCGGGTGGTTCAGCTCGCAAAGTACATCCCGCCGCGCAAAAACGTGGTTTCGTTTCACAGCATGACGGCATGGCTGGTACCCACCCGCACGCTAGTGTCGGAGTGTCGGCACACACCCACATGTATCGTTGAAGACATTAAAAAAGACTCGAGACAAGATGACGAAAGCGCGAAATGCGAGACTGCAGGAAAACCGTGCCAGACCAGATGGACAATTGATGCAGGGTACTTTGTGTCGGGCGGCCGCTCGCGCCACATAACACACGCATGCTGATTACGGTACTCAGCTTAGTTTTAATTTTGAAAGGCGACCGAAATTATTTTTTTCGCTCAAGATTGGCGCAGATTGCCCATATTTTGGCAAAATGTAGCAGCATGTGGCATGGTTAGCCCCTTGGTGCAGTTTAGCGCAACTGGCGCAGCAATCACATCACTGCATACAAGAAAAAGAAGTGGACCTAATATTGACCCCTGAGGAACAACATGCAGTATTTTAAGTCTATTTGACGATTCACTGTTTATTAGTACATATTGGTAACAATCTACAAAATATGTTTCAGTTAACTTTAGAGCTGCTCTACAAACACAGTAAATCTCAAGCTTTCAAAGTAAAATATTGTGCCGCACTGTATCGAAAGCTTTACTTAAATCTAAGAAGAGACCAAGGGGGTGGGGGGTTTTACGTGCCAAAGCAACGACGGGGATCTGGAAGAGACCAAGGGTACATAATTTTTTCTCTATATTTTCAACTATTGCATGTCTTATGTTGAGAAGCGCTAGCTCCACCGATTTTTGCTATTGAAAGCCGTATTGGAACTGCATTACTATCTTGTCCTCCTAAAAAAAATGTGTTATCTATCAGCAATCACATGCTCAAATATTTTAGAAAAAAAACTGGAAGAACTGAAATGAGTCTGTAGCTATTAATGTTTGTCTCACCACCTGCTTTATACACTGGAGTAACCCTGGCTATTTCTAACTCGTCAGGGAAACCCCCACACTGAAGCACCTTATTTACTATATTCGATAGAACTGGACTAACTATGGTCAGTGTACTTAATAGGAAGGGTTTTTAATATCATCAATTCCAGCGGCGACATTATTTTTTAGGTTTCTGATCATTCAATCAATTTCAAATGGTGTCGTTGAAGTTAGCATAATCGACACAAGTTGGTTTCCTGGGTCAATAGTCATCTGTGTTGGAAGCCCTCCCAGTGTAGGCAGCCGTGCTAATAAAATGAATCTTCATTTCATCGCTAAGTTCTTTCCCAGTGACACATTTATTATCTATTGGTAATTCTTTCAGTTTACACCGTGCCTGCTCTCTGTTCGTGAGTTAGTTGACCTTACCGACACTTTCTATGGTCATTGTGTATACATAGAAGTTCTTATCGATAGTATTTGTATTTCCCTTTTTTTTTTTTAGGTTGATAAAGCTACCACCATCCAGCATTGCTCTATCCGTGCCATCATGTCGTATGACCTGCGTGAATACCGTCAAGATTTGAAACAAAGCAAACAAGTTCTGTCAAATAGCAGGAGTGAACGAATAATTAGTGAACGATACAAATCAAGAAGTTAGCTGTTGCTATTAAGCACATTGGCTAGAAGTCAAATGAAATTGTTAAAGACACTGGCTAGGTGGTGCAATCCACCGCCTGGTTTAAAGGGTTCAGCCATACATATCCATCCATGCACCCAGACACCTCAGCTCAGGACTTCTCAAACTTTTCAATCTCTAGGATTTCTACCTGGAGTGACCGCCGGCCAAGGAAACCCACTGGCATTGATGAAGTAAAGCGGCGCAGAAGCCTACAGATCCTGCAAATATTGCTCAAATTAGGGAGCACTTGGTTTAGACTTGTGCATCGACGGGCAGCTCTTATCTGCTGAAATAGTGGTTCAAATGTAAAAACTCGCAACATGGGAGCAGGGGTGGTCGAGGAAACCGGAGAACCCATTAGGAACGCAGTTTGAGAACCAATGCCTTAACCGATAGGTTGACTAAAATCCAGGAAGGAAACCCCTACCTCGAGACACTCCGGACTGAGGGGCGGCTGTGTGGTCGCGGCCATGGCAATCGCATCCATGAGGGTGTTCAACTGTGCCTCGTTCTGGCTCAACTGGCAGTAGAACTCCAGGTGGGAGACGACAAAAACCACGTCCGCGGTTGTGCGCAGCCCGACATTCAGCCGCTGCTCCGCAATGACTTGGGGCGGTGGCTTCGGAGCGTGGGACATGTTCACCACCGGAGCGGAGGCCGCTCCCGTTGTCTGCTCCGACTGGTAGCCTGCAAAATTTTTTTTTAAATTTTCAATTTGCAATGTTTGCTGCAAGATGTCGCCTCTTCGTCGGTATCTCATTACTTCGGACTGTTTTGGGAGGCTCTGTAACCGGTTCCGTGGCCGAGTAAATGAGAGCCGTGGAAACGCCGGCGATACAGTACAACCGCTAACCTGGGGTTCTTAATGTGCATTGTGCGGTAGTGGAGCGTGACTGCACGCTCGTACCATGCTCATCCAGATCGAAATGGGATGTGGCAGGAATCGTACCCATGACACTCCGAGTGTGCTCCGAGCATGTGAAATGAAGCCTTGTGCTGATCATAAATGTACAGTCTAACTTCATTTGTAATGTAAGCCCAGTTCACTTGGGAACAGTGCTTGAAGTGGAGATGGCCTCAAACACCCCCCCCTTCCCCTGCCCGTTTTAAAAGGCGGTCCGAGACCCGCCCTTTCCACCATAGCTTTAACATTGTTTCTTTCAACCTTCACCAAACCCCGTTTAACAATAAGGTTTCATAAAATACCGTTTTATCGAACGTCGTTTAATCAAACACTAATTAATCGCACGCCGCTGCATGAAACAGCCTGCCCGAAAAACGGGGGGTGCAAATGATCTCTGCCTCTCTTTCGTTTGTGGGTAAAAAGAAATCACAAGTACTCTATTTTGTAATTATAATTGTTAGGATTTTCCCCATTCAAGTTTTGTTGAATGGTCACGTCGATTTCATGCATAATAAAATGGCACGTTTCAGGGACACTCAGGGTGTCTAGCAAATTATTCTTTTGAAATTCATTGACAATTTCAGGTGAAATTCCTTGGCCACTCTAGAGGCGGTTAAATATAGACGCTTTCAGCGAGTCAGTTACTCGAGCTGCCACCAGTCGGCGCGCCCTTCGCAAGCATTCCGGGACGCCATAGCCGACCTTCAGTTTCCCGCCGTCGCTCCGCGTTGTGTGCTGCACAGGCCGCTACCGGAGCTTCGTTTTTGTGTTCATTTTCGTTCCGCGTTTAAATCTTGTATTTTCTTTAGGTCTTTTCTATGTTTAGGACTTTCATTTAATCATTTAATATTTATATTTCGACATAGCTCTTGTATTTTCTTATTTATGAAATGGAATCAGACAGCGAATGGGTCGACGATACAAGATTATGAGGCTTCAATGACCATGTAAGTTCATCCCATTCTTACACTTTTGTTGCTAATAAAGGGCAGTCAACACTATTGCGACATACGTAAATTTCGACTGACGCAGTAAGGCTATCACAGTCGTGCTTCTAACTGCATGTGCGCGCTCGTTTCCGTAAAGCCGACCCGCATGTAAGCGATTTAGCATGCGATGAGAGGAGCAACGGAGATTTCTCACTGTCGCATCGCTCGGTTTTGGGATTTCTAGAAAACGTTGCTCACCGTCTTGGTTGCTTGCCCCGTCGCTTCCATGCGGTTTGCCTCGTCGCGCGACTGACTGAGCGACAGCGAAGCGGGTCGCCGTCGCTTATCTGGTCGCTCGCCAAATCGCTTACATGTGGTTTATATTCAATTCATTTCCATGCACACAGCATTGAACCATTGGCGCCTCGATATTAAGTATAAACCGCATGCAAGCGATTCGGCGATCAAAAAGACAAGCGACTGTAGCCCGCTTCGCTGTCGCTCGGGCAGTCGCGCGACGAGGCAAACCGCATGGAAACGACGGGAGCAAGCGACCAAGACGGTGAGCGACATTTTCTAAAAACCGAGCGATGCAACAGGCAACAGTGAGAAATCTTCGGCGCCGACTCGTCGTTGTCGCCGTAAATCGCTTACATGCGGGTCAGCTTTACGGAAACAAGAGCGCATATGCAGCGAGAAGCACGACTGGATAGCCTTACTGCGTCAGTTGAAATTTGCATATGTCGCAATGGTGTTGACTGCCCTTTATTAGCGAGAAAAACGTTAGAATGGGATGAACTTACATGGTCTCTGAAGCCATAATCTTGTATTGTCGATCCATTCGCTGTCCGATTCCATTTCATAAATAAGAAAATACAAGAGATATGTTGAAATGATTAAATAAAAGCCCGAAATATTGAAAAGACCTAAAGAAAGCACATGATTTCAACGCGGAACGTAAAAGAATGCGAAAACAAAGCTCCGGTAGTGGCCGGTGCAGCACACAACGCGGAGGAACGGCAAGAAACTAAAAGGCGGCTATGGCGGCGCCCATGAAATGTTGCCTGAAAGGGTCTATATAAGACCACTACAACACAATGCATCGAGTACTGAGCACGGTGAGGATTATTTTGCACGGGCATAATCTAACTTACATAATCTGAAATATTCGGGTTCGTCCAGTCCGGATTAAACAAGCACTTTCTTGCAGCCGACATAGTCAGTCAAAAGGCCACTTTTGAAAACACAATAAAAACACGACGCTCAACCACACACGTCAATAACCAAATGGTAGCATGGCCGCCAGATGCACTTTCGGCTAGGATTGAATTGGGGCCTGCGGCTTTCCCATTTCTTACTGAATCTATAGTAGCTCTAACTGGATCTAGCCTAGTGTTGCGCTCTCAATCCAATCCAAGGCTTGGACTGGATTTGTCGGTTGTTATCGTTGCATCGGGTAGCGCACTCTTCATCAGTTGAGCAGAGCCCGTGCTTCGCTCTAGGCAGAATTTATTGCCTATATTTCTGCCTCCAAGTCCTCAAGTCTTTGCTCAGGACACTTGATGGTGTTTGCGGCTTATTTTCCCTGACTGGGCTCGCTTTTTGACAATATCCCTGACAATTCCCCGATTTTCCCCGGTGATTAAAATTGTCCCCGACAATTCCTAGTTTTCCCGGTCGCTAGACACCCTGACATTATTCTCAGATGACGAGCAAAATAAGGAATCCACGTTGTCTGGTTTTGTTTCCAAGAAACATGCCAAGTTACACGTATGTTTTAATCAAGTTGGTTTTGTGTGCACCTAATATGATCCCCACCCTTTGCCAGAGTTAGTAGAGATGCCCCGCAACTTATGGGAGACTTTCAGCACTGCTTAGAAGGAAACCTATTAACAGAAAGTTCACTGAGGAGGGAACTTGCTTACTGTCAAAAAGACATACTGAAGTGAGTCTGGACACAACTGAACTAAGAGTAACCTGGTGCAACTGGAGATACCGTAGACTTCTGTTGGCACGGGGGCTTTAGTCAGAAACATGCACACGTCTCTACTGCTTCTGCCAACAAGACAATCAAAATGAACATGACCACAAAAGCACAATCTTACAATGCATACAAGGGGAACAAAAAACAAAGGAAACAAACCTCCAAATGAAGTAGGCTTGCCAGCCCCAACTACAAGCGACACTGTGTGCTCATTCTCCCTGAAGCCTCTGATCTGCACTTCCACCTCCGAGTCCAGGAGTGCCTCCGACGTTCCGGACTCCAGAACGCACTGGATTCCAAACACTGGCTTTTCCTCTGCCAACTCCTGCGTGAGCTCGAAGACGTCTTTGATAGAAACGCACTCCTCGTTGCCATGGTCGATGTAGAAGACGTTGCAGCGTCCGCTGTCAGCCATGGAGGTCACCTTCGCCCGGTAGAACAGTAAGTCCTCCGAGAACCGGCAGGAGACATAGTCACCTGGCTGTGGCTGGTACGTCTGGTTTGGATGCTTTGGACTGTAGAATTCCAGAAGTTTGCCCTGCAGGATGGCCAAGTCCTGTTCCGGAAGCCTCATCAGCTGCCCGAAGAACTTGTTTGGTGGGGACACGCTGGTGACCACCAGCTTTTCCGTTGCGAGCAGTTTTGGTTGCGGTACCTTGACCGATGCCCTAGGCGCGGCAGTCTGGAGTGCCGCCACAACGGACACGGGCGGATCGTTGATGTACATGTCGACCATGTGCGTCCCGTCCGGGCGCACCTCGCAGATCAGCACCTTGGACTCCACATCGAGGACCAGCTTCTGCAACTCGTTCGCGACGTGGTCCGCGGACTGTGGGTCACACTCGAGCCCTACGAGGCTGAGCTTGACAGCGTAAGCTGGCTGCAGCGTGTACTTTGGGTCGAGGTGTCTCAAATCCGTAAGCTCCAGGAGCACAGTGTCCCCGTAGTCTGCGAGCCAGACTTGAACTTTGGCTCCGTTCATGCCGAGGACTTCCGCCCTGTACCAGATGTTCTCGTACTTACACGCTACGCCCAAACCGGACGAAAGATCTGACGGAGACATTGGAGGCATTGAGGGACTCTCGTGGGCAAGCTGTTCCGAGATCTGCTCAATTTCTTCGACCATCTCCTTCAGCTGGGCGTACATAACTTTGACGGACTCGAAAAACGAGACGTACATAACGTGCCCGTTCCCTGCATCTAGACAGAGCTTCTGCAGACGAATTTGTCCCTGGACGGCCGGGTTGGTCCGAGTGGGTGGTGCAAGATCCGGGAACTCCGCCTCGTACATTCCCACGCTGGGTGCCTGGACGAATCGGCATGTAAAGGCGGCATCCGCAGTCAGCGACTCGAACGTCGCCTTGTCCAAGCCCGTGCTGACGGCCGTACAGCGCACCGCAAAGACGGGCTCATCCAGGAATTCGTGCGGAAGGACGATCAACTCTGACGTCAACTTGATCTCGTGGTTTCCATAGTCCACAAATAGGACCTTGCACTGGCCTCCCGAACAGCCAATGACAAGAGAGCGATAGAGCAGGCCATCCTCCGAGAAGCGAGACAGGCAGACTGTACCCTCCTGGACTTGAGATGCCGGAAGAGAGGGTGAATTCGCACAGAACTCCTGTATGCTCTCAAGGAATTGGGCAGGGTCCCTGTCGACGAGATGAAGGTAGACATTGGACATGCTCTCAACGTGGGAGACATACGCCTGGTACGCCTTACCCAGAACAACGTTTTGGTAGCGGAAGGCGACGCTCGGTACTGGTGGAGTGCCGACGCAGGAACTCTGACTACTCGAACTGTCCAGCAAAGACGCTAAGTCGCCGCCTTCCGCGGGTTCGATGGCGACAAAGGGGCGGATACAGTTCTCGGCGACCTGCTCGTGCCGTCGGACGCGAACCGTGACCTCTTCGTAGAGAAGCTTGTCTCTGGCGAGCACCACGACGTCGGCAGCCTCCTGCGGCGAGAAGAGCATCATGTCGACGTTGTCCAGGAAACATTCCATCGCCAGCGGCGGCGTCCTGAAGATGTTGTCCTCCCCGCGGCGAACGTCCGACACCGATAGAATCTCGGGGTTGCCGTAGTCGATGAAGGTGACTTCGACAAAAGTCGGGTCCGTCTTCGGCCAGGCCGAGCACACGGCCCGGTACCACTTGTTGTCCGTGAAGCGCGCGAAGCATGGCGTCCCCAGCGGGATCTGACCTTGGTGCATGAAGCCGGCCTTTGTGCTCAGGGACTGTTCCAGGCTCTGCATGTAGTTCTCGATTTGCTCGACCGTGTCGTAGTCCCGCTGCACGTAGATCTTCAGCCACTTGAACTCGGACGCCACGTGCGTTACAATAGCCTTGAAGGATTCGGCGGCACGCGGGTCGCCGCCGCTTCCCGGGTAACTCATCGTTAAAGCGGTGATGGGAGCCCGCCCGCAAGTCACAACGTCATTCCCGGCCTCGCGTTGCAACGATAACAGGAGCAAATGTCACAGAAAGGTTCGAAAGAGAAAGTGGCAACGGGCGCAAGTTCCAACTTCCAACACAAACGAACCCCTGTCACTCGCCTACTCTCGTCACCGAGCACGCTCAGAAGCCGCGCAAAATCAGAATGTGCATCCTTTCAGAATAACGAAATTATCTGTTTGTTGCTCAACCATAATCGTCACAGTAAATCCTGAACAGGAACAATTTTATCCCTCTCAACGGACTCAGGTTTCAAGCCGGAGCCCACAAAAATTCTTTAAAATCAAACAAAGCTTTACCAGCTTTCTAGTCTAACCGACTAGACGGCGCTGACGCTCCCAATGCGGCACGGAGTATCATAGTTATCATCATCATTGATCATTACGGTTGCCACCATTTTGCTTTTTTTGGAGGTCGTAGGAGCCAAAGCAGCGCGTTTGGTCGGCATCGTGCCCCGATTTCACGGCGATGTCACTTCTTTTCGGCAAAGTACGGCAACTCGCGAGGCTCGGCGGCGCCTACAGCCACCGAGCCCCGTCCCTGACGCAGAGCTTCGCCCGCCGTGAAAGCACCCAAGCGACCCCGACGGCCGAGGAAACTCGACCGGCGGTACGCAAACCTCAAGTCGTCCAGCGCCAGAAGCTCGAAGACTTCGGTCGCTACGTGGCGGAATGCCTCCCGAAATACGTGCAGAAGGTCCAGATCACCCAAGGCGACGAGCTGGAAGTCATGATCGCTCCGGAGGGCGTCGTTCCGGTCCTCAGCTTCCTCAAGGACCACCACAACGCCCAGTACGCCAACATCGTGGACATTGCGGGCGTAGACGTGCCGACCAGGCAGTACCGTTTTGAAGTCGTCTACAACCTCCTGTCCTTGCACTTTAACTCTAGGATCAGGGTGAAGACGTACACGGACGAATTGACGGCGCTGGACTCCGCGACGCCCGTCTACAAGGGAGCCAACTGGTACGAGCGTGAGGTGTGGGACATGTTCGGCGTGTTCTTCGGCAATCATCCCGACCTGAGGAGGATCCTGACCGACTACGGCTTCGAGGGCCACCCGTTCCGCAAGGACTTCCCGCTCAGCGGTTACGTGGAAGTGCGCTACGACGATGAAGTCAAGCGGGTCGTGGTCGAGCCCCTAGAGTTGACCCAGGAGTACCGAAAGTTTGACCTGGCTACGCCGTGGGAGACCTTCCCTAAGTTTAGGTCCGGTGGTGCGGCCGAGGAAGTGGCGCTGCCCAGCGGGCAGGAGACGCCGAAACCCGAGAAATAAGGCGTTAGTGAACCAGTGAAGGTCCCATCCTCCCTAGATGTTGATTAGCACCAAAATAAAAAGCTGGCCGTACAGGTAGGCTTCTTACCTGTTAGGTCCGTGCGATATATTTATTTCACATTTAGTGCTTTGATGGACACTAGTGGAAGCAGCTAACATTTTGATTACCGTGGGTAGTACACTAGGTCATACATACTACAGGGTGTGTAAAAGGGAATGATGGCTGTTGGAAGGGATGGCATAAATTGGTTTCTAAACATGTCGAGCTAAGATTCTTCACAGGCCGAAGAATATGCATTATGGGTATAAATATTTGTTGCGTCTAGAGTGCCGTCCGAAGTCACTCTTGCAGAACGTTCAAGTGCCGTTTCACAGCACTCCGCTCGCGCCTCCCAGTGCCGTTTGAAAACGTTAAGCAGAAGTCACGCTTATTCTGACATGGTCCCAACAGCCGCTCGCCAACAATTTGTTTTGACATAAAGCGCGAGCGAGACAAACGCTACAGGAGTGAGCAGCATGCTTTCTTATATATGTTTATGCCGGCGCAATGCAGGTGCGCAATCTTCTCAAGTTTGCCGAAGTGGCACCCTCTCGAATGTTGCGATTGTGATTGAAAATAAATTCTAGTTTAAATCTCACGTTCTCCGGTGACGGCAGCAGCCTCTACAAAATACCAAAAAATCAAAATTTTTTTCTATGGCACATGTATTGAACCTAAATATTTGCGAGACCATAGAGTATATACAAGCCAGGCATGCTAACCATTACTCTTTTGAAATGAGTCGGGGATGTCATTCTCTGGTTTTCAGATATTATTTGTTATGAAGAAAGTCTTGGGGAATCTGAGTAGACACATAATTAGCAAATTTAACATGCAAAACAAAAAGTACAGCAAAAGTAGGCATACCGATTTCGGCGACAAGGTGCCAAACGCAAGACATTCTTCGCTAAGGAATGGCGCTCGAATGGGAGCGTAGAGCTGCGATAAATATTCCACTGAACAAACTTACCCGATTGAAAAGACTGAGACGAAATACAAAAAAATTTCTACCTACGGCAGTTCTCTGCTAAAGAAAGGAGACCGATTGGTGCAAGAGCCGATAGATGTTGACAGTGCTCTCTGCATAGACAAGTGGGGGTCGGCAGTAAAGGCACGCGAGAACCGCATTTTTCAGCATCGGGTTCGGTGACGAGACCACTGCTGTCGGTGGCTTCTGTTAGAGGTTTCCCTCCCCTTCGAGGCACGCCTCACCCAGCGCAGAATTGTAGGGGAGCCTGGAGGTCACTGCCGAAACTCCACCCGAAAACGTCAGTGGATCCCTTTCGTCCTATGGCACCCCCTTTACCAGAGAGCAACCTTCACTTTTCGCTGGGAGCTAAGCGCACCATGACAATGACTTTCATCCCAAAACAGCATGGATAAAAGTTGAAGACAAGAGATGTAGTAACAATTAGAGGATGCAAGGCAGACGGCGGCATTTAGCTGAAAATAACTGTCGAAGACAACAGATCTGTTTTTAGTTTTATCGTAATTGTTTTAACTTTTTTTGTTGTAAAGTAATCGTGCACTAACAATTCGTGCTGAAAAAAAGAGTGCATCGCTTCTGGCTCGGAAACGTTGTCTGCTATTGCCGAGGTCAAGGACCGTTGTACAAGGAAGAGATACGCCGGGAACAACGTCTGAAGACTTTCCTTTGAATAAAAATTAACTGTTGGGCTAGTTGGGTAAACATCTTAAACGCAAAAGCGCAAAGGCCGAGGACAAACAAAACACTTGTTCTGTCCTTGTCCTTCACACTTTTGTATTTAAGACCTTTGAGAATTACCAGTGTGACCGTTGCCTCAGAGCACACCACTTAATTAAACACCTTGTCAATGAATATCTTTCGAATTCCAAGGGTGCCCCCGCCCTGCACCCCCACTTCGGACGCCCAGCTGTCGTGTCATCATCTGCAGCCGCGGCACAGCTCAAGCATACCGCTTGTAGAGAGCCTACCGCCTGCAATCTTACGTGCTGTCAGCTGTTGCGCCAATCGGACACCTTCCTTTAGCAGACGGCCGCCGTAGGTAGGGATATGATTTTTTTTTTTTTTTCGTACCTTTGTTTTTATGTAAGTTTATTCAGTGAAATTTGGATACCACTAATGCATTCTTTGGCCACCTTTCTAAAAAAAATTGCTCAATACATTCTAAAACTAATTTATGCAGTCCCTTCAAACAGCCATCGATCCCTTTGACTCACCCTGTAGGGGTAGTCAAAGGGATCGATAGATTGGACTTAACTCAGAAAACAGATTACCGCGGCAAAAGGTGTCCAATTGGAAATGTTTTTTACGGAAAAAACTCATAAGGAAAGTTGCCCTTTCGAGTAGTGGTAACAGAAAAAGGATCATGGCAGGGAGCTATGTCTAGATTCCTTCTAGACCACCTTAAAAATCTTGAAATCAACGATCCTTTTTTGATTCCCAACTCGCAGACATTGATAGAACAGCTTAAACAAGATGGCGCGACAGTGAGGTGACGCTTGACGTGGAAGACTAATTTTACTCTGTCCCACACAAGGAAATGTTTGCGGCAACTAGTGCGTGCATCGAGAACCATGGAACTGTGTCCTTCCAAAATCAGTGCGGTATCTCCGTGGAGTCATTCATGGAGCTTCTGAAGTTCTACCTCACCTCCACTGTAGTGACGTTCAACAACACATATATATCCAGAAAAAAGGAATATGCATTGGCTCATGCGTGGCACCAGTTCTGTGTAACATCATCTTAGCCCAATGTGACAAGAACATAGCCCAGAAGCTCCCAGCAAACCTGGTATCACAGGTGTTCAGATATGTTGATGATTATCTTGTCCTACTGCATGAACGACCTGAACAAAATGACTCAACTGTAAACAATACCTGCACCACGTTCCTTACTCAATCTCAGGGACTAAGCTTTACCCATGAGCTACCAGATGAAAGCAAGCTTCAATTCCTAGATCTTCAGCTGTCCTTTGAAGACAACCATACTTGCTGGACATACAAACCACGGTCCAAAAAATCACTTCTACCATTTGATTCGGCTCATTCTAAAATAATCAAGAGAGGAATTGTAAAAAACTGCTTCATAGCAGCCTTGCAAAAATCATGCGACCACACAGCCAAGCAGAGTTTTGAGGCACAAGTTAAAAAACTACAGGAATCTGGGTATACCAGTTTTTTAATGTTCGATGTAGCAGAGAGCCTGACCACTCACAATGAAAGAAGAAGAGATAAGACACGGCGCCCGGCAGTGATACCCTACCAACACAAAGTATCACACAACTTGAAACGAATAGCGTCAAAATATGACGTACAGGTTGTAACATCAGCTCCTGACAAACTTAAAAAACTGTGTCCAAAAATCAACTCCCAGAACGAAAGACAAGAACACTGCTCAGTCCAGCACACACATAAATATATCAACTGCAACGCCAACATCGTTTACGAAATTCCGTGCACATGTGGGAGAGTGTACGTCAGTCAATCTGGGCGCTGCATAAATGGGCGACTACGAGAGCATGAGCTTTCCCTGCGTGCGTCACCGTCTGGACACTTGGCCATACATGCCAGAGACCATAAATGCACTCCCCTTTTCAATCAAACGCAAATACTCTAACGCTTTCGGAGCAAGAGAGCCAGAGAGATTTTCGAGGCAAAAACTATAATCGAAAAAGGAGACACGTGCATTATTAGCACACCATCAATTTCACTGTCTGAGAAAGAGATAGGGTACCTCAAGCTTTTTTCTTAATCTGGATGCTTTTCTTTAATTTTATTTTTCTATCAGTACTAATTTTGATCAAATAATTTTTAATCATTTTAAGTTGAAAAACAATTGGAGTCTTAATTTATCAAATCTCCTCTCATTTTCGTATTTCTCTTATTATGCATTAAACAATCAGTTGTTAGTAAGCGCTTGTCCTGTTCATTCTTTGTCCTGTCCTTGTCCTTTGCGGTTTTTTAATGGACTTTTTCCACATAACGACGGCACCAGGCGGTGGCTGCACGAACTAAAAATCGAGGAAGTGACCTACCTGCGCTACCAATCGATACCGGGAGCTACGCTACCAGTTTCTTCGCTCTCCGAGCTGCGTCGCGTGCCCAACGCGAGCTTAAAGATCGGCATCCGTGGCGTCCACCCAATCACTCTGTTTTTCCTTCCGTCCACTTTCTTTTTTTGTGTAACCCAATTACATATATATGCTGCAATTACCTGTTCTACTCGCTTACCCACAGGCTCATTCCGAGTTTCCTCGATTTTTCGTTCCGACTTCCGCCGCTTGGCATCGGGCGCTCGCGCGTGCGCAGAACGCTTCTCGGAAAAGGTTCATTAAGATGTTTAACCAACTAGCCCAACAGTTAATTTTTATTCTGTAGGGGTAGGTTTGTGCAAGTTAACAATGACAAACACTTCTTCGGACATGCAGAAAGGTGTTTTCTGCATATCGAAACTGAAAAGATTTGCGACCCCATTTATATTTACAAAAAGAAAGCTCGAAAATTGCTTTAAAATTGTTCACCACACATCTTCCCCATTCCTCTTATTTCGTACAATAAATAAATAAAGGGTAGCGATAAAACAAAAAAAATATCCCTGCAACCCAGGAACGACAAGAATGAGACCACGTGATAGGCCACGCTGCAAGCCTACAACCACTACAACTTCAAGCCACTAGACTAGCCGGGAAAAACCGAAACGAATGAATGAACGCACGAAGCGCGGGTTCATGACCTAATAAAGCAACAAACACGTTAAAGGCCGTTGCATGTATCGACAATACTTCTGCCGAAAGCTTTCTGTCTAAAGCTCGCTAAAGAGAATCCCAGTGTTGCGGCAATGACAAGCGATAATCTCATAGTTTCGGAACATTACACGCGAGACCCGAACCCACGGTGAGAACGCTTGTTGAAACAGTCGACTCGGTGCACCTACGTTTAAAACAAAATATTTTAAAATTGAAGTACCAAAGCAAGCTTGATCCAAAATCATCGAGCTCGTTCTTTAACCAGACAATAGAAGCGCGTGCAAACCACGGGTGCAAACGTCAACACGGTCAACACCAAACCAACCAAACTGTCAACGCGCCCAAATCAGTCAAACTTCGTGATCATTCATTCCGCCATTCATTCCGCAAAAAAATAAATAATAATAATTGCAAAAGATAAATATATAAGTGCACATAGCTACGCACTCATTATTGTTCGCCCTGAGAGAATATAGATATGTTACTGACCGTTTAATTGTTGACTCACGAAGTTCACAACAGTGCCGAGCTGTCGTGCACGCACCAACGTCAATCAAGCAAATTTCCCTCCGCTCCCTAGGTTGCCGTCACCCTGGGGACATTTTTTTCTAAATTCCCTAGGAAAATGGTTTTACCATGGAGGTCAGAAAAGCTGTTGGGAGATAAAGAGAGCCTCACGATTGGTTAATCTGGAACGTGACGTATAAATTACTAGCTTGCTGAAGCCAAGGCCAAGGCGTGCTGTCTCCTTACCCACGGTCGCAAGATTACGGGTTCTGGCTATTCGGGCGTTCCGGTGGAGTTCGGCTGTACGATTGCTGTGTAGTACCATCCGTGATTCCAAGTATGCTGCTATTATTTTTAAATAATTTGCGTGCAGTTTAATGGCATATCTTCTATAACCACTTCAACACAAGGTACGTAGCTGTCGTCCACAAGCCGGCCTTGCGTTTTTGTGTGCTATTTCGGCGAAGTTATATCGATATGTTCCGAAACTCGAGAAGAATCTGCGAGCAAAGTTCGTAGAAATTATGTCACAGTGTCACCTAATTTGTTTATAAGCAACGCTGATTTTGTTTCGTTAGATTCTGCAGCATTTCTACGTTTCCTTCGACGTGTTTTCGATCCCGGTGTAGACCTACTGGACAATTGCCAAAAGCCGTAATTGGCCGTCGCTAATACCGAGTAACCTCCGTCAAAAGCAATGCACAGAACACGTGCGGATGTTTACAGGTGGGCGTTTCCGAAGTAGCTGTCATTTCTCGAGTCTAATAAACGTTTCTGTCTATTGTATCGGTTTACTAACAGTAAGTTCTGATGAAGATAACGCCGGTGTAAACTGAACGTAACATCGCTTTTCGATGAATGATTGTGGTGTGTGGTGGTGAGGCGAGGTCTGTCCTTGACGATTGGAGTGAAACGTTTGTTCTATTTCTTCTTTACCTGCGAAGAATACCTGGGCCAAGATGCCGGACGATAGTGGTGATAATATGCGAGCGGGTATGTGGTTTATCGTCAGCATCCCGAAGGAAGAGACGGAGATTGCCGAGCGATCGCGGCCGGAGAGCCGCGCGACCTTGTCAGAAGGTAAGGCACTACAACGTTCTACCCGCGAAGTCCACGACCCAGATCTCGTTTATATGTTTTGGCCAAACGGGGGTTTCTGCCTTCGTATTTGGGCAAGCGACAGTTCGACGTACTGTTTCTTGCATTTCGAGACAAGCTGGGTTGGACATTTATTGTTTTCCCTCCTTTTCTCCCTAGTAGGTAAATTTGTCCCTTGATATTCCAACTTTGGCGGCAATGCACACATGTTACCCCTAGCAGCACAGATCATCCCTGGAACGTCGGGACATCCCGAGGATATCCGGGGGCGTACCATGTGTGCTGCTTGGGACGTTTTTCTTTTCCTTTTCTGTCATGTTTTTTTTTTTTTTTTGAAGGATCACAATTAGCCAGCGAATGACGAAAGTGGCTCACCATAGAGTTCTTTTTTTTTTATTTGTTTTTTTCCATTCACTGCTGCAGTTTATGATCAAAGTTATGATACACATTTCACCTGTGGACACCTGTGCACTGCGGTGAAGCACTTTTGAATCTTGTTTTCAACTTATTCATTGCATTTGCTTGTTTCTATCAACCAGATGACGACACGGAAAACTTCTTGGATAGTAAAGAACACCTCACTTTAAAACAGGTAGAGCAAAAAGACAATAATTGTGGTAATACAGGGTGTCACAAAAGAAAATTTACACGCTAAAATGGCTCGCAAAAATCAAAAACTGGACGGATCTTGTAGCAACTTTCCTCAAAAATGTCTTTAACTGGTCGCATTGTTGTGCTAAAATTTCAAGTCAAAACTCCGAGTACAAAGAAAAAAAAAAAAAATGAAAACTGATTTTTTCAACGGCGGAGCGGCAGCTGTCTGGTAGACACTGAACGACGGCCACATTTCTTGGCCTTATCCAGAGATGGCGCTAAAGATTCACTAGACGCTGAATGAACGAAAAGGTGTGCTTTTATCCAAGTTTTGGTTGCGTGGGATATTTGCCAAAATAAAGTTGTTTGGTTTTTCAGTTAAGTTTCACTGTGCAGAAAGTGTCACGCCATAAATACAAATAAATGAAACTGCCAATGTCTGCTCCAGAAATGATGTACCTTCGTCTCCGACGGTTCTTGTTTCGTGCATCAACTGCTTTCGCAGTTTGACGTTCGTGCTCCTGCCTCAGTGCGTTAACTTCATTTGTTATCGCTGTTTCTTTTTTTTCCTTTTTTGTTCAACGCCTCACCATGCGACAACTGAGCTCCAAGGAGAGGTTCCAGGTGGTTCTATGGTACACAACAACTGGAAGCTTCAAGCAAGTCCGAACAAAGTGCCGGGCCGCCTTCAACAGAAGAACACCCTCTCAAACAACCATCATCAAGTGGGTGGCAAGGTTTCCCCAAGACGGGAACATGACAAACAAGACTCCGAACCTTGTTGAAACGTCGCCGAAACGAAGAGAGCAGCAAGCTGTTCTCGACGCACAGCCCAGCCTCTCGATCAGGCGTGCTGCTTGTCAGCTCAACCTAAGCCAGGGCTTCGTGTGGCGGGTGCTTCGCCGGCGAATGTACCCGTTCAAAGCGCAGCTCCTGCACGAACTGAAGCCGGAGGACTACACACGGCGGGTGCAGTTTTGTGAGGACGAGCTGGCGCGGATTCAGGCCAACCCGTGCCACCTGCAATTTTTCGTGTTTACAGACGAGTCAGTTTTTCATCTCGACGGCCGCACCAACAACCAGAACTGCAGGTTGTGGTCTGCTACAAACCCGCACTGGTCGACCGAACATGCCGTTCTGTCGCCGAAGGTCGTCGTTTGGTGCGGCATTTGGCGAAAGGGTGTCGTCGGCCCGTTTTTTTTTTCGATTCTACGGTGACCGGTGACACATACTCAAGATGCTGGAGGAACAGATTTTGCCGGAGCTCGAAACTGCACATATGCAACGCAAAGTTTGCATCTTCCAGCAGGATGGGGCCCCTCCCCACTATGCGAGCAACATGAGAACTTGGCTCAACAACACGTTTCCCGGGAGATGGATGGGCCGCGGCTCTCCAACCATGGCTTGGCCTCCTCGGTATCCAGACCTCACCCCTTGTGATTTTTTTGTCTGGGGGTACGTAAAGGCTCAAGTGTACGCCCGGCGATCGAGGACCATCCCGGAGCTGAGAGAACACATCATCGACGCATTCGAGCCGATCAGTGACGACACGTGGGAGTCTGTCTTCCAGGACTATGAGAGGAGGCTTCAAGATGCATCGAAGTTCGCGGCGGGCACGTCGAGCTGGGAGTCTAACCTTTTTTGTTTTGTTTTTCTTCCGAGTGTATGTGCATGTGAATGAGGCATTTTAGCGTAACTACGAAGACCGCAGTTCAGATTTCAACGGCTCTTTTCAGAGCCACCAGATTGCTGCTTTATCGGGCGCACTCCTGGCTACCTCTCGTGTCCTCATTCAAACGTCAAACTGCGAAAGCAGACGATGCACGAAACGAGAACCATCGGAGACGAAGGTACGTCATTTCTGGAGCAGACATTGGCGGTTTTATTTATTCGTATTTATGGCGTGACACTTTCTGCACAGTGAAACTTAACTGAAAACCCAAACAACTTTATTTTGGCAAATATCCCACACAACCAAAAAACTCGAATAAAAGCATGCTTTTTCGTTCATTCAGCGTCCAGTGAAGCCGTAGCGCCATCTCTGGATAAGGCCAAGAAACCTGGCCGTCGTTCGGTGACTCCCCGAGAGCTGCCGCTCTGCCGTTAAACAAATCAGTTATCATTTTTTTATTTTTTTTGTACTCGGAGTTCCGACTTGAAATTTTAGCTCAACAATGTGACCAGTTAAAGACATTTTCGAGCAGAGTTGCTACAAGATCCGTCTAGTTTATGATTATTGCGAGTCATTTTAGCGTGTCAATTTTCTTTTGTGACACCCTGTACTTTACGGGAAGTTCTACATTATCTCTCTTTCTTTTAGGCACTGCACGACTGTCTTGAGACATACAGTATACGCAACGCTGTCTGGACTGCAACTGCAGAAGATAGATTTTATCAGGTATTCCTCACGACGATCACTGAAACGCATTTACAGCCATACTTTCTGAAAACAACAAATACATGTTTTTTTTTTTCTATTCCGGTGGTGATTTAATATATTGATGGCATGTTCAGGTATGCTTCCCATGTGAGGGGGGCAAGACCACAGACTACATCCTCCAAGAGCTGACGTCGAGGGGAATTGGGTCCAAGTGTGACTCGACCATTGGGTAACTACCTATTTAAACTGTTTCTGGTTTGTGACAGGGCCAGCTATAAATGTGCTGTCTGGTCTCTGATATGTTCCTTCCTTAATCCAGTGTGCTGCCATGCCCAATATTTTACAAAGCTGCCAGGCAAGACAGCGACGATGAAGAAGAACAGCCCTCGGTCCACGCCACGCCAGAAGGGTAGGATCTCGTTTGACTTTTCCGGTATATGTTGCACCCGCTCGATTGCTTAATTAATCGACTTTTGGGCTGGGTCTTCTATAAGCTCTTGCACGTCTTCTTGGCAACTGCATGGTGGAGCTTGCTAATATCAGCACTTTTCCAACTAGGAGAAAACACCGCTTGACGACGCTATGGAAATGTGTGCCCTATTTTTTAACTAGTATAATGTATGCACTACGTAATCTTTTGGTTTTCTCCTCTTTCTTAAAATAAATTCAAATGAAAAATCGACCGCATCTCCACGTGGTGAATGATGTTGATTGGGGCGAAGCTTTGGTGGTGCTTGTCTGCGTAGACGCTGAGCCGCAGCATGCCGAGCTTTTCGTTCGTTTTCATCCATTTCAAAAAGGGAATGTGTGGTATGGAACGTGGTTATATACGCATTTGAGCGTTTGACAGCAGCGCTTTCTCGTCTATAAACGTTGAGCCAATGCATGCAAAGTTTAACGCGATTATATACGCATTTGACCGCAGCGCCCTCTCCTGTATAGGCGCTGAGCGGCTGCATGCAACGTTTCATTCATGACATTCCCAGCTCTTGAGTTACTACCACATCTCAGAGCCCCCTACTCGTCCCGCAGTCGTCGCCGAGTGGTTAAGGCGATGGACTAGAAATCCATTGGGGTCTCCTCGCAAAGGTTCAAATCCTGTCGACTGTGCAAACTTTTTTTTTTTTTTTCATTTTTTATTTAAAAAAATTTTTTTGTTGTTCTACACGAACACATGAGCTCACGAGCACCAGCAAGATCGATGTGAGCACGGACGCCGGACGAACAAGTCTAGACCCTAAGGAGCTTCGCCCCTGAAAGTTTAACTTGCCAGCAAGTTCTCTTTAGACTGTATACCATTACCGTATTGAAATTTCTCAGGCAAAGATTGCTGGAGATAAAAGGTTTGAAATATGAAATATTGATTTTGACTATAACATCGACAGCAGTCATTTTCTATGAAGGTCTCATCTCAGAAAGCTTCACTCATCAACTCCGGACGTAACAAGTATACCTTCCAGGGATCCCAGTACATGACCATGATAACAGTAATAATAATAGGTAGCCATAATACTAATACTAATGCTTTAAAAACCATGCCCATCAAGGTCTCGTCGAATATGGCTCCTCACTGTGCTAAATTGGCTGAACTTCACAACTAGCTTGGTTGTTTTAAACCTCTTCGAAATGTTTTGAGGCCTGTCGTCAAACACAGCATGCTTATTCTTGACCCTTCAATTGCTCTTCATTGCTCTAGTTCAGGGGTTGCCAAGCTGCGGCTCTTCACGTGTTAAAGTGCGGCTTGCGGCTCCATCTCCCCCCCCCGCTCCCTCCCGGTCACACAAACACTTCTCCAGAACAAGAAATAGAATGCGTTTTAAATCGAAAGACAGGTTGCGGTATGGTAGTCTTGTGCTACTGCTACCTTATGTACAGTTGGACTGCTTTTGACTCGGATAGGTTTAAAGTAGTTCGAGTTTTGTTTATTGCCCTAAACAAAAGTTTGCCCCCCCCCCCCCCCTCCCTCGGCTCTTGGAAGTTTTGTGGCTTTGTTTGTGACTCTTACGCCGGGTCAGCCTGGCCACCCCTGCTCTAGTTTATGAGCCTGTTGTGTGCCAAGGCATGCTGACGTGTTTGGAGTGCACAAGTTTCTGCAACCCCTTGCAAGCTGTCATGCACAAGCTCATAAAACTTTGATTGCTGACTGAGTGCATCTTAGCTGCGTGGCAGCTTGATTTGCAGGGAAGCTAACGTTTTTATAACCGAGATCGACCCATGACCTCGGTGACAATATGGCAACATTGTTTTTAGGGAAGCGCTGAAGAAAGAAAAGGAGAGCACATTCAGGACGATGCAGAAGAAATTCCTCAAGTCTGTGAAGGCACGTCTCACTGTAGCTCAGGTGGGAGAATGTTCTGCCTCATTTATTTATTTAGTTATTTATTTATTCAGTACATACAGTGCTCTTTTAGGGCATTATTGTAGTGGTGGATACACATTACAAAACACTACAAAAACAAAAATATATTGAACATATGAAACATTAGACGATGCAGTGTACAACTTTCTTAGGCAGCGTCTCCAGGTTTTGGTCCTAAAGTCAGTATGACACTACTTCTCTATTGCCTCAAAACCAGCCGGCACTCATATGTTCGCATTCCTGTAAAGAGACTGGTGATGTTACTTAGTTAATGCCATGAAACATTTTTAGTATTTTCGGACTGGACACTCACTGTTGGGAGATGAAAATTTTTGCCTTTGCCTCAGGGTCTTTTACGTCAGCTTTTCTAAAGCTGTTCATTCAGGATAATGGTATACATAACTTTCACCTTTTTTATGAAGCAGTACCGAATTTTGCTTTGTACATTTTGTAATTTTATGCCCATTAGATATTCTGTGTCCACATTTTTGTCTGTAAACAAGCATGCCACTAAGGCGACTGCGACTCGATGTGAATGCTTGTACTAGCAAGTAGTTGTTTAATGTTTCTTACAGTGAATCGTCAGTACTGCAAGGTTGTCTTTTTAAAAAAGTTCTACACAGCATTTGCAGAGAAAATATTTTTCTTTACAATGCAAGTATAGACTGCATTTTTGAACACTCAGACTTTTTAATGAAAAAATTGTGGCTACATGGAGACACATTGCTTCTCCTAACAAATGAGATCCTGTTTTTTAGTTCAAAAGTTAAAAAAAAATCATCTTAAAGTTTTAAATCCGCTAATGATGAGTTCTGAAACCCTGGCATTTTATCCAAGCTGCTCGCACCACACTGATGCAGTCTGAGAATTCGACGTGCATAGTAGTTCATTTTTGTGATTCCCTTTTCTTGGGGACCACATTTGCTTTCATCTCAAGTAACAAAGGTTTTCTTCAAAGAATTTTATGTGTGCCTGTCGGCTGTTGCCAGTTGCAATTGAGATGAACCTGACTGTTTTCTCAAGGTTGTGGCAGGCGTCAAGGCTCAAGGAGAGCTCACCTTCGATTTTGTGGCCTTCATCATCCTTGCTGGGTGAGCCTTAATTTAGCTTTTCTTTATATATTTATAAGGCCGACCAAATAATTACTGGGCACACATGTTTTTTCAGGACCCCTTCTTACTACTACTGGTTGTATTTTTGCTCTCCTGGTTTTCTTGTTTATTTTGTACTTATGCTTTCTCTTATCTTCATCCTCTGCTTATCCTTAGGCTTGTCCTTATCCTTATGCCCAAGAACACATCTTGTTCATATTTCTTGTTTTTGCTTAGTTCATCAGCACCATTATTAATTTTATCTTTCCCTCTTAACATTACGAAAAAGCTTATACAGTAGACTCATTCATTTAAACTTCAGGAAGCCACAGATTTTGTTTGAATTATCGGAACTTTGAATTATCAGAAATTCATCTAAATAGGGTGCAAGGTAGAATTATGCCTTGTTCTGTGTATGGCTACACATACAAAGCAGATAGGAATTAATTATATTTCTACACAGACCTATAGTAATCATAAGCAGGTATGCCACACATAAAACCTTAGTGAAATGCATGACATAAGTTCATTTATCTCACAAAAATGTTGTTTATCGTGGACTGTTTAGCCAGCACATGACACTTCAAAACAAAATTACGGTAAGCTTGTTCACTCAGCAAAAAAGTTGTCTATTGGGAGCGGGGTCACATGAGCGATGAAAGCAGGCGTGGCGTGGCAGTTTCCATAGCAGCTTGTGCAGACGCTGTCACGTGGACCCATGCCATACCGCTACGTCACGGCGTCTGCGGAAGATGCTATGGAAACTGCCGTGCAGCACTTGTTTTCATTGCTCACGTGTCGCCCGCTTTGGCCCCATTGAGTGCATTTCTTACCAAGCACTGGTACACTGCGGAGAAGCAACACCACGGAAGCGAGCTCCCCAAGGGTATGGCTTCTCTGCGGTGCATTGGTGCTCGGAAAGAAGAGCGCTCAACGGGGCCGTGAGAACAAGGAGTATAAGGTAGACGAAAACGCCGTTTCCGTTACGTGGCTTATAAATACATTGAAAACATAGTGGGACAACCTAATTTTGGAAATTTGTTTGAATTGACCAGAAGTACGAAATGTTTGAGTTTGAATTATTGTGAGCCTACTGTAGTTACAATTGACTCTCATTAATTAAAACTCCAGGAACTTTACTTTTTGAACTTTAGTTTGATATATCAGAAACTTTACTTTTTGAACTTTAGTTTGATATATCAGAAGTTTGATTTATCAGAAATTCATCTAAATATGATATGAGGAAGAAAATCAATTTGCTGTGGGAATAGTTAGACATATCACGTAGATTTTTTACACTTTCCTGTGCACATGCCTGTTTATAAGCAGGCACACACATAAAACATTGGTGAAGTTCAAAGCGGGTTTTGACTGAATATTTTTCAATCGAATATCAAATAGTTTCTTACTTTTTATCATACTGAAACCAAACTTCATTTGAACTTGCCAGAAATTGTTTCCATCTGTTATAAACTAAGACTCAAGAGCCGACGAGACAACACGGAGATGTGTAGCGGTTTCAGAACACAGCAGTCTTCCTCTTTATTTTTCACGCGGCTCCTTCTGTCGCGAGGACCGACTCCGTAAATATGAAAGATCTCACGACATCGACTAGTAATAAAATTCCTTTCCCCTTAACATTGAAAGTGCTGTACCGGCTTCTGCACGCGAGTGGATCGTCGTTGGGGTGCACTTTCACAGACTTCACCTGAGGTCTTCGGTGGTTGTTGTGGGCTGCAATCACCATGAACCTTCGACTTGGTTGATGGGCCTGGTGACGACCGTGGAGGAGCCGGCATGGCCTCGTTGTTGTCTGGCGGCCGTTTACGTAGTTGGTCCGCATGGCGTGTTATCACTTTGGACGGAGTTTCGACGGTTGCCACGCGCGCTCCCGTTGTCGCCGTGACTTTTCCAGGAATCCACTTGTTTCCTGTCCCATAGTTTCTGGCGTACACCGGGTCCCCAGGTTGGATCGTCCACTCTGTGTCTTGTGCAGATGCTGTGGAGTGTGATGGGAAACATGTGTCTACCCTCGAGCGAATTTGATATCCTCACAGCAGTCCAGATGGTAACTTGCCCAAGCTTGATGGTGTCCGTCTATAATTAAAAAGAAGCCTTGCCAGGCTGGTTGTAATGTCGTCGTTTTGTATTTTCTTCAACCGATCTTTTATAGTTCTTACCGCATGTTTCGCCGGACCATTTGACTTTGGGTGAAATGGTGCGGTCCTGATGTGCGTTATGTTGTTTTTCGATGTGAACTTCAAGAACTCGGCACTGGTGAACGGTGTACCTTTATCCGAGACCAAAGTGCGGGGTATCCCGAAGTGGCTAAACACATCTCGCAAAGACAGCACGGTATTTGAGCTTGTGGCCTGTTTCATAGGAACGGCCTCGGTCGACTTACTGTGTGCGTCGACCACTACTGAGATCATTTTTTCTCTAAAAGGGCCTAGAACATTAACATGTACTCTGGACCTGTTTTTTGACACAGGCGTCACACGTCGCTGACGTGTGCTCTATTTCCTTGTCCAGTCCAGGCCACCAAAATTGAGATCTTGCTATCGCTTTCATAGCCGACGCTCCCTGATGACTCTCGTGAAGGAGTTGTAGGAGGCGCCTCCTAGCCTCCCTAGGCACAATGACGCGGTGGCCCCAGTATACCAGGTCGTGCACCACCGACAATTCTAGTTTCCTTCCGTAAAACGGTTGAAGGTTCGAGTCTAGGCTCTTCTCACATTTGGGCCATTTATTTATGATGTAGTTTTTGACCTGCGCTAACACTGAGTCTGTAGCTGTCATTTGTTTCAACTCCCTGGTTGTCACGACACCCTCCTCTAACTGCTCCCTAGCAAGCACATATTCGGGAAGCTCACCTTCAGCACCTGTTTCCGTTCCTGCTGTTGCTACTGCCGGTAGCGGTAGTCTGCTCAGGGCATCCACTTTCAGCATTTCTTAGCCAGGCTTGTATGGTAGCTTGTAGCGGTAGCTTCCCAAAAGCAGCGCGCATCGTTGGATTCGCGCCGCAGCCATAGCGGGGGTCGGACGGTCGCATCTCGGCAACCTCAGGAGCGGCTGATGATCTGGGACCAGGGTGAACTCATGTCCAAATAGCTAGTCTCTAAACTTTGTTACGCCGAAGACCAGAGCGAGAGCCTCTCGCTCTAATTGAGAATAATTTCTTTCGGCGGCTAAAAGAGTTCTTGATCGAAACCCGATGGGTTTGTCTTCTCCACTTTCTCGGTGAAAAAGAACTGCTGCGATGCCGTACGGTGAGGCGTTGCATTCTAGTCGCAGTTTTTTCGCTGGATCAAAATGCGTTAGCACCTTCGCCAAGCTGAGAGCTTCTTTTGCTTTCTGGAACACCGCTTCCTGTGCTTCACCCCACGTCCAGCGAGCTCCCTTTTCCAGCTATTTGTAGAGGCTTGTCAACAAAATTCACATATTGGGAACAAATCTAGCGTAAAACGTCAGCATTCTTAAAAAAGACTGCAGCTGGCTTACGTTCTTGGGCCGCGGTGCTTGCACGACGGCTTCCACTTTCGTTTCTAGTGAATGGAGGCCCTGTCCGTCAATACGGTGTCCGAGGTATGTAACCTCCTGTTCTTGACCTACTGGCAGGCAGATAACAGCGAACCAACAGCCTTAACTCCGGCTCACGTACTCTTTGGATGACGATTGACAACCCTGCCACAGACTGAGCCGCCACACCCAGCAGCGTCATTGAGAGATGCGCTTTCACGACGGTGGCAATATTGACAGAAGCTCATGAACAATTTCTGGGTACGCTGGAAGAAAGAATGCCTCCTAAAGCTTTGATCAGCACACCTAGCAACGCCTCTTAACAGCCGACCGCCGAAAATCGGAGATGTGGCGCTCCTGCACGACATCATTGCCTGAAAAATCTGTGGACCTTGGTTCGTGTCATTGATGTATTTCCTGGAAGAGATGGAAATGTGAGGGCATGTATCATGAAGCTGCCATTCGGTTCAGTTGCACAAAGACCGGTACAACTGCTGTACCCATTGGAAGCCATTTGAACTTCAATGTATTTTGCTCGAGTTGTGGGGGCAGGGAGGATATATGTAAAATAATTTTAACTAAACAGAGACTGACATAAGACTCTTGTCTGTATACAAAGATGAAGAAGATAAAAGGAGAGGGAGCACGCGCAAGAGGGGCCATTGACTCAGTAAAAGGGTCCCAACCCAGTCGGTTGCCCTGTCTTTCACGAATCGACCTCACAACGTCGCCCGCAAAGTCCTCAGTCGACGAATAGGGTGCATCAATGTGCAACAACTAATGGATGTCATCGACTACTAGTCAATGTCGCGAGATCTTTCATGTTTATGAAGTTGGTCTTCACGACAGAAGGAGTTGCGTGAAAAATAAAGAGAAAGACTGCTGTGTTCTGAAACCGCTACACGTTTCCATATTGTCTCGTCGGCTCCGGAGTCTTAGTTTATAACACCAACCTACCAGTTGTCCACTTATAAAGCTCAGTTAGTTTTCATATAGCTATATCTATGAACCGTGTGCTTAGAAAGTCCAATGCCTACATTGGGATGACATGTAAATGACAAATTGGACATAAAATTCAACATAAAGATACGCCCAGCTATCCTAATCGATGGAATTTATAAATCTGCTTGTTATATGGAAATATTCTTTTCTTTAACCTCGGACTTAACCCCCTCAAAAAAATTAAAAAAAAAAACAAGCATGAATAATGAATGCAGGTTGTCAGGACAGTTCTGCTTTCATAATCGCGGTGGGTTAGTCCCATCGAGTGCACTTCTCATTAAGCGCCCTTGTACTGCTGAAAAGCGGTGACCGCGAGCGTCGTGGGTATTGCTTTCCTGCTGTACACAGGTGCTTGGTGAGAAGCGCATTCAACGGGGCTTACCTGCTGCAATGATCAACTAGTATTAATTAAGCAAAAACGCTGTTTGAATTAAGCAGCTTATAGGTGCATTAAAAAACATAGTGGGACAACCTAATTTATTTTAATTTGTTTGAATTAACCAGAAGTATGAAATATCCGAGTTTGAATTATCATGAGTTAACTGTACTTGTATTCCATTAAGCATGTCAGTGCTTAATAAAATAAAATAAAGCAAACACCCAGGACTTTGCTGAAGTGCCGCCGAATGTCTAGGGCTTCCCGTTCTCAACAGACTCGACTTATCTCGACTCGCTGCAACTCGCATGTCACACTGAAGTCTTGGTATGCAAGCTTGCCCTGCAACTAGGTCCGCTTTTAGGCCCGTCTCACAAACTTCTGCGAGTGCTTTCTCATGGCTCTTTGAGATGGCTTCCTCCAAGTGTTTGCTGTTGTCTTTGCAGCATGATTGCAGCTCTGGGTCTCATGGACAACAATGTGGTGTCCATCATTGCTGCCATGCTTGTCTCTCCCCTCATGGTATGATCACGTTACCCAGAAAACAAACGGCTATAGTTAGGAAATGTTTTTAAACCAAAAAATTTGAAATTATTATTTTACTCGTAAAAATTCTTGTTGCCACCTGCTGGACTTCAGAGCGTGCACTGGTTAGGTACAAACGCTATCGTCATCGTCCCACAGGGATGCCATTTCGGTTTTGCCCGGAAATAAAAAAATTTGTATTGGAGCATAAATATTAGGCAAAATTCCTTTTTTATTTTTGTTTTGACTAACCTTTTTATTTGAAACATACCGGTCCTAATCAGGCAGAAAAATAAAAGCCATTTACAACTTCCTGTAACGCCGAATAAGAGCGCAGCTTTTGAGGAGGAGGGAAGGGTACTGAGGGAAGGGTATACACCTCCTTCCTCGTCCTCCCCTCGTGATCCTGCCTGCTACTCCTCCTTCCCTCCTCCCTCGTCCTCCTCTCCTCCTCCTCCTCCACCCCTCCTTCTCCTTTACCTCCTCCTCATTCCCTTATCCTTCAACCTCCTCACCTCGTCTCTTCCTCCTCCCTCCTCCTCCTCCTCCTCCCTCCTGCTCCCGTCCTCCTTGGGAGGGGTCACGTGACCTCGGGGGGGGGGGGGGGGGGGGGGTCACGTGACCTCGCGATTACGCCGACGCCGCTCAAGCCGGAAACGGGCCCTTAAGAGCTGCGCTCTAAAACCCAATTTTTTTCTTCCCTGAGGTCAGTGTTTTTAAAGGTTACATGCTAGCTTACAGGCAACTGGTTACGTGCGTGTCTCGATTCCCATGTTTCGAGTGCTAGAAATGCTGTGCACCATAGTGATCCCATCTCACCGACTTGTTTCCGTTCGAAGAGTAGCTCTGCTCTTTTAGCATATTCACATAGTTTATACTTCTGTGTTCAATCGCCTTTTTTGTTTTGCTTTACTTCTTGCTACCCAGCTTTTTCTAATGTTAAATACCTGTACAACAATTCTGCTACTAGGCTGCAAGCGTAAGGTCTTCGTTGAAGGGTGCATCTCGGCCGGGCAAACTCTTGATCAGCAGGAGCTACTGCCAAAGATAAAGCTACGAGCTCAAGGTTCTCACCTTAAGAAAATATCATCATTTATCATCATTAAAAGACAAGTATTTCTTCAGAGTGTTGTAATAAAAATAGTCAGGAAAGCAATAATTGTCAAATTAACTGATTGTTTTTAGAGCGCAGCTCTTAGGCGCCCGTTCCCGGCTTGAGCGGCGTAACCGAGTAACCCTCGTAACCCTCGTGAGGGTTACGAGGGTTAATCTCACGAGGGTTACCCTCACGAGGGCTACAAGGGTTACTAACCCTCGTAACCCTCACGAAGGTTACTAACCCTCGTAACCCTTACGAGGGTTACGAGGGTTATGAGAGTTACCCTCACGAGGGTCACGAGGGTTATGAGAAGAGTTACCCTCATGAGGGTCACGAGAGTTACCCTCACGAGAGTTGCCCTCACAAGGGGTACTAGGGTTACCCTCACGAGGGTCACGTGACCCCGGGAGGGGTCACGTGACCTGGGGATACCCCCCCCCCCCCCCCCCCCCCCCCGAGGTCACGTGACCCCCCGTTGACGTCATCGCCACTGATGACGTCACCGGCATCCGGATCGTCATCGGCATCATCACTGATGACATCATCAGCAACGTCACTGATGACGTCACCGGCATCCACATCGTCATCATCACTGATGACGTCACCGGCATCCGCATCATCACTGATGACGTCATCAGTGACGTCACTGATGACGTCACCGCTATCCGCATCGTGATCGTCACTGATGACGTCATCAGTGACGTCATTGATGATGTCATCGGCATCGTCACGTGACCCCCAGGTCACGTGATGCCCCGACGTCAGGTGACACCCCAAGGTCACGTGATTCCCACAAAGCCACGTGACCCCCCCCCCCCCGCCCCCCGAGGTCACTTGGTCTACCCCCCCCCACCCAGTACCCTTCTCTCCTCCTCCTCAAGAGCTGCGCTCTAATTCGGCGTTACAGGGAGTTGTAAACGGCTTTCATTTTTTTTTTAGAGACATGTTGAGCTAAGTTAATTCCTGAATGAATGGAGGAACGGGAGCAACAGTGTACTTGCTCTCTTGCTATATTGAAGATACCAGGACGTTGGTGGGGTAGTGTCCTTAAAATTCTTGTTATCACATCAGGTAAGGGCCCAAAGTAGTCATTGAAACAAATTGTCTAAAGATGTCCCTGGCAAAACTGTGAGTTTACAAAAAACATAGACCACAAGCCTCAAGGTCTCTTCTCTTTAAAATCCTTTGAACCCCCTTCCCTGTCTTATGTTGGCCCTCAACATTTCCGGGGTGGGGTATCTCCAATGGGTTTGAGGATCCCTGTTTTAGACCATCTGATCACAGTAAATTTCCTAAATTCCCTCTAGATAATCTAGATAAATTCCTTAAATTCCCTTTATTCATGGTCTTTCTGGAGATGGCCTAATATCAAGTACCAGAATGTAACCCAGTAAAGACATTTTCAACAACAGCAAATTATATACCTATTACAGTATAAAATCGCTACAGCAGACCTGAATACAGCAGGCATTTAAATATAAAATACTGCTCTCAGAAGGTCGGTTAGTTTTCCTATCTATACCATTGGTTCAACTTCGTATCTGCATACAGCATACTCCTTTTACAACACACTGAAATCTTTTTCTCTACCAAGGTCTGTTGTAACATATTTAGACTACTATAGCCATCATAATTCAATGTTACACATAGCAACCTCTTTTTCCTTTAGGTCCTCTGGATGCTCAACCATGTCATGAAACAATGGTTCCATGCTAGACATGTTTCAGCAAGCTTTGGGATTCACCTGCAATATAGTTCTTTCAGTGCTTTACAGTGTAGCTGTGAAAAATGTTTCAAGTAGCACACAATACTTTGGTCTTGGAGGCGTTTAGCTGTAATGACAGGAGTACCAGGCGGCAAGGATGCTGCCAAGCTACATTGTGTAGTGTTTGCTGTAGCATGAAAAGGGTCAAAATTGATTTGGTTTTACGAAAGCACAGAGTCTTTCATGACTTTCCATAGAGGGTGTTGACCTCTCCTACATCTGTCGTGAGTTGTTTAAATGTAGATGATGGTTCACCGGCCCTGATGCCACGAAAGGGAAATTATTCCGATGAGCCTGATTTCCCCAGACGATTGGGCTTCCCTAATTGTAATGGGACTGTCAGCGGGTGGGTCTTTCTGCGATACTACCAGGCTGCGCAAAAAAAAAAAAAAACACTTAGTGCTATGCAAAAATTTCTACGGTGTCTTTGCAGTCCCGCTTGCTCATACTGCATAATGCCAATATGTAGATGATCAAGCCCTTTTTTCACCTGCTTTTGTGTGCTACACCAGCTGCGACTCCAGCAATTCTTGAAGAGGGGGCTCCTGGTAAACCTCAGAATGGCGTGCCGACTATTTACTAAGTGGCCTAGCTTCTTCAGGGCCCTGAAGAGGCTACATTTACTAGTGAATAGTCGGCAGGCCATTCGTGAGGTTTACCAGAAGCTCCCCCTTCATGTTCTTCTGCCAGCTTCGCTCCCCCTGGTGTTTTGTTTGTCCAGCAGTGCTTTCAAAATGTCTGCACATTGAACAACCTTGCCTTTACTCTTTTCTTCTAGTGGAGCGTATCACTCGGCAAGGAGAAAAGGGGGAATACTATCTAGGGAATCTGAGTAATCCTGGACAGGCCACGGAAAGTGTTTGGAAGTTTGTGCAGAAAGGGTCCAGAGTCAGTAATATATTAAAGGGGGGGGGATCACCTGCATTACATGCTGTATGGGGGTGCGGTTAGTAACCAGTCGAGAATTGAGCGAATATCACTGCGGTGCACATTAACTCACAAAAGGGTCTAGTTCATGCGTGTTTGGCCATTTGTGGCGTTTTTGGATCTGTGTTTCGCAAGACTTTTGGCAAACATCTTGCTGAAGGAGCCAAGGAGCGTGTGATTGCAATTTCGGCATGGCCACCTCTGTCTGAAAGCCTGTAGGCTTAGATCTAAGCTCAGAAACTACTATATATTTAGCAAATGATTGATGGTCCTGAATTTAGGTTAGTTCGACAAGAATTGTATTATTTTTGTCATCAAAGCTCCTGCTGCATTTATCTTGAGTAGCTTGTTAAGTAGTTAAGGGGGGACACTACCCAAAAAAGTAAATGTTTAATCACTTGTTTGATTTGAATGACATTTACAGGGCTTGTTTCTGTTGACGTTGAGAACATTTCTGCCAAAAGATAGTTAACCTAGGTGAAGTGCGAAAAAATTGCAAACGTTCAAAGATGAAAGGGGGGTGGTGTGTCTGCATAGGAAAACTATTGTTTTTAAATTAGTAGTTATAAATTTGTCGTTTTCATGTGTTATATTGCTTTAGGACAGTTCAGAGCAGATAGCTATGGAGCTATATTTTTATATTATACAATCTTTCATGACAACAAAGCCACATAAACACAAATACTGTTTTTTAGATTTCATCCTTTGTCGAAACTTTTAGTTCTTGACCATGAAAAATGACAAAAATCAAAAATGCAAGCCTATAGCTATCTTCCCTTAAAACTTCACCCCAGAAAAACTCATAAAAATGAATCCAAGTTACGTAATAACAAAACAATAGCTTTCCTAAAGTGAAACTTATGCCACAAAGTGAAATGGAGAGAAATGTGCTCAAAGTGCTCCAACCTCTACCTTTTGTTTAGCAGCGGTGGACCGAAAAGAATTTATAAAAAATTAACTATGCAGTGTAAACAAATGCAACTTTCTGGGAATACTCTAGATATTGGTGGATGTAAGTATGACATTTTTTAAGATCAACTTTTTTGCATAGATTGTTTTTTCTGGGTAGTGTCCCCCTTTAAGACTTATTCTGCTGCTTTTTTTTTTAAGGGACCCATTATGGCAATAACTTTTGGCATTATTGTCCGTGACAAGGCCCTTACAAAGCTCGGCCTGAAGACGGAGCTGATAGGCCTCTTCATCTGTCTGCTGTTTGGTAAGCTTGTCAGGACAAACTTTGGTCTGTTCACAGGTGCAAGCATCAAACTTATCATTAGCAACATGTCACTTGAAACTGGCATACATTTGTGGGAAATTAAAACTACAGTCCTCCAAGGTTAAAATTCTAGATTGAGGTAAATGGTGGTGGAGCTTATGTGCAACTGAAGCAACAGTAAAAATGTTTGATTTCTAACGTAGCTTCTTTTTGGAGGAAATGTGAAAAGTGAATATAACATTAAAATTGCTAAGCTGCGACAATTTTTGGGGATTTTTGCTTTGGTCATTTTAAACTGGCTCGTCTTCTCCCTGCCTTAACTCGGTAATTAGTTTTGGCTTTAGTTTGTAGCTATTACATTGGTACATGCTGACTCTTTAAAAATATTTGTTTCCATCACCCATCCCTGATCCAGTCCTTTTCCATCAAGAGGTAACAAATTGTGTGGTAATTCTGTTTTAACTAAGTTGACATTTGTATTCTGAGTGTTCTTTTTTTGCTTTTGTTTTTTTCGTGTAGTACACCTTTATATAATACCTTTAACCTTTAGGGGACATGTGTCAGGGAAGTACTTGAGCACTTCGAATGCTGTGTCATTGCCTGTCTAGTCAGCAAGTCATATAATAGCCGCATCTTTTTTTCCTGATGCTTTTTGTCGCAGCATGTATTAGTATTTTCTGCTGCCATTCTTTTTTTCTTTTTATCTACTGTGTATTGTGTGCATGTATGTGATTTACTGCATTGTATTACTCACTCCTGTAAAAGCCCTGTCCAGGGCTGACAGTATCAATAAATAAATAAATAAAAACATTTTTTAATTATTTATGATATTGAAATTAAATTTTACAGTTTATTGTGCTTAATCTTCTATTTATAAATCTGGTGTTAGATTTGATATAGCTTGTTTTTTTTTTAGGTTCCCAATGCAATGTACATGCAGAAAACACCATGTTCTTGTGCACACGTGAGGCATGGCAACACACTTAAAAAAGCCTTGTAAAATAAACTAGTTTTTTCTGTTTAAAATACTGAGTGCAACGAACAAGAGTAATGTGTGCAACACTTCTTTCTTTTGAAAATAATTAAAAGTAGAAAAAATTTCATTTTAGGGGGTTTACAAAAGTTTCCTATATTTTTAAATATAAAAAAAAAACATTCTAAGCAAACCTAGACAGTTGCAGTCTACATATTCTAAAGTATATGCGTGGCAATTTTCGTTGTGATAGGACACTACTAATAACAGAAATTCTTGTGCACTAACTGTGAAGATGCCCCAAAATTGCATAAATAGAAAAACATGTTCAAGTGTTACAATAGATCTGTAGCTCTACTCTTTTGCGATGCAGAAAATAATATTTTGTCAATAAATTTTCGTGAGAAATTGAAGCTACAGAAAACTGCAATAGACAGGAGACGGCTAGGCTTACTTGTCAACGTAAATGTGATGGCGTGCGACGTCACAACTTGAAGAACCTCACAGAGAGAAATGGCTCAAATTCATGCAGTTCTGGGTTGCCTGGAGGTATTCAAATGCATATTTGACTCATTTCGCAATCATAACTGGATTAATTAATTTTATACATCAATAAAGATCAAAAATAATAAAACCCGAAATCAAATTGTTTGCAAAATATTGCTGTTTTTTCAATCTGCATCTCCCCTTAAAGGCGGGTGCTCAAAATTTTCTTCAGCGTGGCAGAAGATTCCCCCTCTTTTCTTTTTTTCCTCCTCCCCTGTCCTCTTTCATTTTCCTCCTCGCTTTTTACGGCCTTCTCGCACGAGTGCTAATGGGCTTACCGGCCCCCCCCGACAAACTCTCTGTAACCCTTCAAGGTTCTCTGCTTCACTCCCAAACACCAGGGATTAGTTAGGCAGGCTGGATATGAGCTCGGAAGGGTTCGGGCTGGCTCGCTTTTCTTATTTTTTTTTTTTTTTGCTCTTTTTCTGCAGTTCTAAAAAACACTCAGAAAGTCAACACCAACTAGCCCAACAACAAGTTCTTTTACATTCAGATACTTCCGCATGCGGCCACACACGCTACAACACCGTATATTTATCTCGAGTGAACGGAACTTGAAGATCATAGCAGAAGGAAAAAAGATGGGTATTTTTATCCGAACTTTGAGCTCTACCCAGAGAGTTGAAAATTTGTCGTTCTAAAAACGGCACACTGAAGAGTGATTGTATCACTATTGTGTTTTTTTTTTTGTTTTTTGTACGAACTAATAATAATGAGTAATTACAAGTCAAAGATATTGCAGTCAGAGGGACACAGTCTGACCATTTCTGGGGCATAATATATAGGTTCGTACAATAGGTGTTTTCTAGAGTGACGGCCGCCTCGTTGAAGCTACTAAGAAGAGTAAAAACAAACTTCCATAAAAACTGAAACTGTTTATGGTATATTTCATCTATCTTCAGCCTTTGAAAAAAATTTCTTCGTGGCCAAACGGGCATTTAGTTTCTGTCAACAAATGTAACCAAAAACTTGACACCCGACAAATATCTTGCGTATCAGCAAAGAGAACGGGAAACACGGAGATTAAACAGCAAAATCACAATTTTCTTCACGTAAAATAGTGCAACTAGCAATAGTAGCATATTATGCCATTTATTAAAAGACAGCAGGTATTACGAAGTTTTCATTCTCTTCTGTTCGCATTTGTTCGCTGGTGAAGAAATGGAATGCTAAGATAACCTCTGCAGCCCTTACATAATTGTTTGGGGCTTTGTCAGGGTGGGCGAAGGCCATCTCCAAAAAAACCCAGGAGTTCGGAAGGTGTACTACCGCAAGTTTTGGGGCTGCTCGGCTAATTTAGGCGTCTGGCGTTCCCCGCCTACTTAGAAAAGAAGCGGAACAGCGGTCAGCTCAACGTCGTCACCAAGCGGGAAATCATGCCGAAATGTGTCCTTGAACATGTGCGAGATCTTTACCCGAACCCAGCCGGGATTCGCCACAATTCATCTTCGAAAAAAAAAAACTATAAAAAGGGGTAGGCTTAAACGATTTGGCAGTTTTTGAATATAGTCATGTGGACTAACTGTCCACAAGTACGGAAAGAAATGCAGTAGAAATTGTGTTCTTCATGTCCATACTTGTCTTTCGCGCTGTACGCCAATTAAAATGAATTCTGCAATATCTGTAGATTATGTCTCGTTATGTTGTCTTTAAAAGGAAAGTAATCAAGCAAGTTCGGTACCGTGCCACAATTTGTGCATATACAATTTTATGTGGAATTCAAAGTCAAAACAGTACATCCGCGGGAAATAATGCATCCGTCATTCTTCGTCTTCCTGAAGCAGTGAACTACCGATCTCGGCTACAGGACTTTTGGGTCCACAAAATATCACGCTCAGTAGAAAATTCGCCTTTTCTACCAAAAGTACTGGAAATTATTTATTTTTCAAACAGGTCGGGTGGTGATGCGTGTTTGAGTGTAGGACCGTTGACTGGGCACTGGTTTGCGCCAAGAGTGCAGTGCTTCCTTTCATGCTGCCCGCGACGAGTGTTGAAATTTGAATATAGTAGAAATAAAATCAACTGACACCCTTAGAATTATTTTAAAGTTGCGCTTTCTTCAGGCATTAAGGTTTTGATCGTACATTTTATTCATTGTCGTCTTCGATGAGGGAACAACTTGCCGAGGAGGCCGCGCTGTCCGCGTACGCGGCTTGACAGATAAGGTCGCGAATGCTTTTCACGAATCTTTAAAGACCAAGCATAAAAATGAAAGACGCAGCCACTTTACGCCAATGAAACCAACTTTATGTTTTGGGCAGACGTCTTGCGAGAGTTGCAGTATTTTAATTATGCCTAAGAAATTAAATGTATAGGATTAAGTACCAAACGTTTTTAGATGTATTAAGAACCAAAATGTCAATTAGAAAGTTCTAGCGCTGCTTGATAAACACCCGATTAGCTGTTTGCAACGTGATACGGCTTGCGTGGCTTCCTTTTGACTAGTAATAAAGCTTATGAAACATGACAAAATACCCCGTGACAAGGCGCCCGCCCCATCATAAACTCAATTTCAAATGTCCCGGGATTTGTTTTCATAGGCCGGAAAAAAAAAAGAAAAAAAAGAGATGCATGCAAGACGCGTGCCCCACGCTTTATTTATATCAGAAAAGAACTGCCCTCTGTTTTATATACAATGTTTATTGTTGTTGTTGTTTTTTCTCACCTACTAGATATTAGAAAAAAACGTGGAAATTAACGTTTTGTGGATTTGAGCTTGGGTTCAAGAAAGAACGCAACAAAAACCGACTGATTACCTAACATTTGTTAATTAACTTTTTGATTATAAAAGAAAACGGGATAGTTGATTTATAAAGTTGTTGGGCGTAATCGAAAGCCACCAAATTGTCCAGTGAAAATTGGCGCCATTGCGGTTTGTATAGGTGAGCTATACGGCCAGGCGAGGATTAGGTTCAATAACGAACGCAACTAAAACCGACCGATTGCCTAAAATTTGCTAATTAACCTTTTAATTAAAAAAGAAAACGGCATCTTGTATTTAGAAAGTTGTTGGCCATAATCGCAAGCCACCAAACCGTCCATTCTTAAAAAGATGTAACGCGCGTACACCATTATACGGCGTCCTGATACGGCGTCCTCCTAATTTGGGCGCGAAAATATTGTTCTGATATTATGTGGGCTCCATCTCCGCGTGGCACAGCCTAACGCCATGAAGCCAAAGCGACAAATCATGCGCATCGCTGTGACAACGCCACTGTAGAAGGGGCGAGGAGTGCGGTGGCCGAAAAGATTGCGGTAACACGATTCGCGTCCAAATTAGGCTTTTTAGGAAGCCGTGAGCCACTTCACGTCTACTACATCTCTTTAAAAAAGAATGATTTGGTGTTTTTGATGACTACAGATAAGGCACAAACCGCAATTGCGTAACTCTGACGTCTTTTTTTTAGAAAAATGTCTAGTCAATAAAAAAAAATCGCCCTGTATAAGCACGATTGTAAAGCAGTTCTTTACGTCCGGCGACATCATTACGGCATGGAAGGAGACGTTGACCACAGATCATACTCTGTGTATGATCTGTGGTCACTGTTTTTTGTTTTTTTTCGTACGAGAATGAGCAAACATTTGATACCAAATAAAATAGATTTAGCATTCACCGAATTCGGCTTGTTTAATTGATTCAAATCGATATTTGATTTGATTACACTTATTTTGTACCTGCACACGCCTACTTTATTCCCTAATGAGTTACAAGTGATAATTACATTGTTTTTTTTTTGTTTTTAGTTGTCGTGCGAGGTCATCACAATCTATTGTTAACAATCGGAGCTATGCGATTACGCGGAGGAGGCGCATTTGAAGATATTCAAAATTGTTCTGAATGCACAAACAACTTCAAACGTCTTGCTGTTTGGGTCGTTTCCTAGACGCAGGACCAATAATAAAGCTAAAACCTTATAGAGGAGACTATCTCTATCAACTCAACGTACAAACACGATGTGAAGCGTGTCTGCGTACGTTGGAAATGAGATACCGGCGAGGCAAACCATAGCGTCGAATGTCCATGCATCAAAATGTCCGTGCACCGAAATATTCGCGCACCGAAAAGTCCCACACCGAAAAGTCTTTGCAGCAAAAAGTCCGTACACTGAAATGTCTGTCCGCCAAAAACTCCGCACCGAAATGCCCTACAGCAAAACGCTCTGCACCGAAAAGTACTAGACCCACTACGGATCGAATCCTCCGTCACCTCTGCCGGTTTACGAACCATGATGATTCAGAACCACTGGTCTATGGAGCGCCATCCTTGATATACAGAAAACGCCGCTCGTACTTCCCGTTGCCGCCATGAATCCGCCTAAACAATGAAAGATGCCAAATCAGATATTTATATTAAAATTGATACTTTAATGACTACTTCTTTGAGCAGGACGAGGTATTTGTGCTCTCACAACCAGCAAGAATCATCCTCCAAACCAATGCTAAAAAAGAGCCAATGCAACTCGTTGGGAAGAGCAAGTGCCAAGCTCGCTCAAAACAGCTACTCGGTTGGTTCAGCTCCTTGTCGCAGGTGTGCCGGCTGGCTTCTGGATAATCTTTTCAAATCCTTCAAGCTTTCATTTCCTCCACCCCAAACTTGTAAAAAAAAAAAAAAAAAAAAATCAGAAAATGGCGACGAGGAAACGAGAGGCGATTTCCTCCTTTCACTGTGGCGAGAAGGAAAGTGAGGGTCGGATTCCTCCTCTCTGCTTGCGGGCCGGCCTTTAACATGTATAATAAGTAAACAAATAATTAATCATATTTCTTTTCTTGCAGTCAAAAATTTTGCTTTAACTCATAAGCACAGTTAGCATAAAAGTGATACATACGTCAACCCCCCCCCCCCCCTTCCCCCCATCAAAAAAAAAAAAAAAGATTGACATAAACTGACGTTTTAAACTCCGCAGATATAAGTTATTTATCAAACTCGTAGTTTTATGCGCAACAATATCTCGTCGCCGTTCAAGGTATCGCTGTGGACATAGAGAAGATATTGTTGCGTATAAATAGACGCAACAATATGTGAAATAAATTGTTTGCTTGGTTTGAAATATTGTGTGTGTATGTCCGTTTCTTTTTTAGCTTTGCCTTGGGTTGAAGTATGGAAAACCAGTATGGTAGAAGTGACATGTTTGGCTTGAAATGAAGCCAACAAGCTTTTTAGTTAAACCACCATTTGCTGCTGTTGCAGTTTAGACCATGGTATACTTCTCTGTTCCAGGTTTCTTCTTTGGGCTCCTGAATGCCTTCTGGGGAGATATTCCACCCTATGAAGGCACTAGCTGGAGTCCCTCACGCTGGCCGAACCCCGAGATGAGCTCCAGGTAAACAGGACACCAACGTTTGATATTTATCTTGTGATTTTCCCACCCGGAGGTTTCACGTATCTTGATGCACTTCATTAAAGAAGTCGAAATCATAACGTCAGTGGCCTACTTATAAGTGGGACTCTTGTAAGTGGGCCAATGTTCACAAGACATTGTAAAGGATACACTGCCGAACTCACCTTAACACGTTTTCTTGCAAGCCTTGCAGATCGACTTTTCTGCATTATTGTCTACCCAAGCGGCATAGTGAATGAACACCCAAGAAGCTTTCATTACCAGACATATACTAGAACAGTATTCACTGGATTCTGGGCCTTGTGAAATTCCATCCTTGGTTTCACGCTGCAGATAACTTTTCGATAGAATGTTATCTCTGTCATGTCTTTCTGTAGCCTCCTACCATTAATTGAAATGACTGGCAGTAATGTGTTCTCTACACGCAGCCCTGTTTGTCGAGCATGCAGCAGTTGTTTGAGTAAATTTTATATTGCAAATAGAGTGTAAACTTTGGGACTGACATTCTACAATATCTTGTTGTTGCACATTTAAATGAATAATCTCTGGTAGAGAGCATTTGTGACACATTTTGTTTTTCTTTTTTACTGGAAGCCATAGCTGGCAGAAGGGGCTTCATGACCCGACCTTTTAAGGAATAGGTAGCCAAGTGTGCTTATGCACTGTCGCTTGGAGCGAAAGCTCGCGCTGCAGAACCCAGGGATCCTGGGTTCAACCTGTATCGACCTGTATCGACCTGGACGAGCAGCGTACCAGCAAGCGGTCGTGTATCACTACCGTGTGATACTCGCCAAAGGCCCCAGGCTAGCTGTTTTACTGCGCTGGCAAAGTTTCTCCCTTGTAGCATGTAACAATGTGACTATAAACGTTTGCACACTAACCGCCCACTCTCTGAATGTCTAACAACAAGTTTGACTTCGACTTGCTCCTAATCTTTTTTAAGGTTCCTTCTTCTATCCCCAGGGGTCACTGGCGTAGCCTGTGGGTGGGTTCGCTGGTGGCGCTGCCTTCGGGAGGGGGTGTCGCTATGGCCATCCTAGGGGGGAACTCTGCCTGCCTGGTTGGTGTGGCCATCTCGGCCTCCCTACTGCCCCCCATCATCAACAGTGTGAGCTTGGCGCCTGGAGATACTCTTCGTTCACTTCTCATTGCTAGGGAAGCTAGGGAAAAGCTAGAACTGAGTTGTTTGGCAAGTAGAGAAGTAAGGACAAGCTGGGGGTTGGTTTATTACTGCTAGGGAAACCAGTGAAGAGCTAAAACTGAGTTTTTTTATGAGTTAAGGTCATAGGGGCAACCTAGAGGTTTGTCTTTGCCGATGTTCCTGGAACAGCTCAGTTGGGAAACTTTCCCTTGAAACGCAGACCCTTCGTGTCCACCGGAACTGAGCCACTGCGTGCACAATTAATTGCAGCATTACTTCTTGTCAGTCAGTCAAACATGGAAGTTGTTTAGTTAGTTTGTTGGTTAGTTGGCAGTACATAATCTGTTTTGAGACAGGAGTGTGACAAAACCGCCGACTCGAGTAAGACTTTTTTGTTTTTGTTCCTTTTCTGCTTTGGTGTGCATTTTGGATTGGGTAGTTCCCAAGAAAGCCGCAACATGGCACAACTGTACCATCTTCCCTGTCCCAGTATGTCTACCGTAAAGTTCAGAGGGAGCGCTCGCCCCGAGAGATTGCCCATCCCGTTTTTCGGGCTAAATATCTGTAACATAAAAATGACGAAACATCGCCCACTCCATTATTCCCTTCGGACATCATGCGATGTCTGACGAGAATGACATCAACTGTGCAATTTGCTGTTCCGGCATGTCTGGCAAGCGAGTTTATTGCGGGTTCCCACATTTTTGTCCGCGATCTGCGTGCGCGATATCGGCTCCCATAACATGCGAGTTGTTGCCACACGTATGTTGCACCGTAAAATGCGAATCTGTTCTGTCCGCAATCTGCGGTATCTGTTTCCATGACATAAAGTTTGTTGCATATTCTAGCGTTTTTGTACACAATCTGCAAGCGCGATGTCGATACCCGTGACTGGCAAGTTTGTAGCGGGTTTCCGCATGTCTTTTGCAATATATAACTTGAATCTGCTGCGTCCGCTATTTGCGATATTTGTTCCCAAGAGTTGCGAGTTCTTGGCGGATGTCAGTGGGTCGATCCTTTGCACCATGAACATGAATCTGCTGTGTCCACAACCTGCGGTATTCTTTCCCGTGACGCAGCAGTTCTTTGCGAATTCCCACGTGTTTATCACATCGTGAAACTCAAATTTGCGGTGTCTGCGTTCTGCGGTATCAGTTCCCCCCGTCACGTGGTTTGTAGCCGGTTCCAGGGTGTTTATCATTAATTTTTGATAAAGTTTTGCTGTGGCATCCCCAAAGATAGCCCACCCATGTTTTTCACCATTTATCTCTCCATTTTGGGTGGGAGTTCTTTAAGAACTTCACTGTAGTTCCTGGAGTTGCTGCTGTGGTAGAAACGGTGGCACTGCGATCGTATCTAGCTCAGCATTTAAGTATGGGTTAGAGCCAGTTCTTCGAAGCAGACTCCCATGACAGTTTCCCAACTGAGTTGTTTTAGTAATTTTAGTTATTGCTAAGGAAACTATGGAAGACTAGAATTAAGTTGTTTGATGAGTAGAGAAATAGAAACAAGCTGGCCAGTGGCATAGCCATGAATTTCTTTTTTGGGGGGTGTTGAGGTGCCTGGGATGTCCATGACTTGGGGTGTGGGGGGGAACGGAAGTCTGAAAATGCACGTGTGTATTACAGAGTTGACTACATTTCAGCCCCCCCTCCCTCTCTTCCCTGAAATGTTTCCCTAGCAATAACAAACACCCATTGCTAGTTTCCCAGTAATGATAAACACTCATTGCTAGTTTCTCCAGCAATGGCAAACAACCAGCTACTGTGGTGTAGCTACGGAAGCTGGGTGTTTGTTACTGCTAGGGAAACTAGGGAAAATGGAAACTGAGTTCGTTGGGCCCGCTTTAGACGGGGCAACTTTTCCAGCAATTTTGAGGTTCCTGACGGGTTGTTCCCTAGCTTTCCCTAGATCGACACGAATTGCTGAGATCGGGTCCAGCTCGAACAAGCGAGCAACTCGGAGAAATTCGAAGACGTTTGAAGCGGCTGCAGCCAATCAGAGACGCAATATTTTCACGTGACACCCCTGTGGTGGTGATGATGACAGCTAAAGACTTGGTTCTGGTTTGAAATGGATCGTTTTTGGAAATAAACCTTTTCAGAAAGTTGAGTTAGTATTCTCTACACCATTCAAAAATATAAAAGCATGTTTTTAGCACGTAGCTGGGCATCTAGATAGTGCAAGAAAAATAAAATTGAATGATGATAATGGCAAGTCGTAGCGATTCAGTTGCTGCGTGTGAACGCGGGCAACCTGTGTTGCTGGTGTTGCGACGTCAAGTTGCTGGGTGAAATTGCCCCATCTGAAGCGGGCCTCAGCAAGATAGGAAATAGGAAGAAGCAGAGAATTGTTTCTCAGTGCTAGGGAAAATAAGGCGAAGCTAGATTTGAGCTGTTTGGTGAACAAGGGGCACAGGAACAACCTAGTAGTTTGTTCATCATTGCAGGGGTAGATACGGACAAGCTAGAACTGATCTGCTTTATGTATTTGCAGAAGTCTATATTGGTCATTCCATGTCAAACGTCCCAGGCATTGCGCTCGACCACCTTCGATTTCTAAAAAAAAATTATGGCCTTTTGCCGCATTGTCTGTAGCCATGCCCTGAAATATTTCTGACGAAAAAAAAGTTTTGATGGCGTAAGCGCGGTTTTAACTTTTAAAAATAGTGTGAAACTAGGTATCGCTCTATAATTTATGAAAAATCAGCTTTTTTATGAAACACCCAACAATATGTTAAATCTGCACGGCTTTTGACTTGCAATGTGGTTGGGCTTGTGCAGTTTTGTTTAGTAATTTAAATATTTTTTTAAAACACAAACTTTTGAAAGTTATAACATTCTTGTTATTTGATTAAGAAATATCTAATCCCTCCGGGGACTTAAAGAACTTTTTACTGGCTGCCCTGCGGGTAAATAATCTATAAATAATGTTTAAATCGCTTAATTAGATATCTCTCAGTAAAAAAAAATCCTGAAGTTGCCAAAAAGTTTGTTTTGATGCATAAACAGTCGTTTATTTCACCCTGAGGTGGTCCAAGTAAAAATAAAAAAATATGGTGGGTTTGGAAAAACAATCGATTGTCTTTTGATTCTGAAAGTTTAATCACAGTAATTTTTGTTTAAAGCGAAAAAACAATTTTTGAAGTTGAACTTTTGCACCACAACCCGGCGTCGCTTCTTAACGCCTCTTCGCCGCACAGCACGCCATTGGCGACGATAGCTGATACGATTAGGTCCAAAGAAAGAACGGAGTTTACTGCCGCTTCCCCTTGTCCGTTTTTCCAGCTGCAAGGGAAGAAACGGCGGGCATCGTGTTGATAATCGGAGGTGCTGCCAGTGCTTAGCCATAGCAGGCCCATTGTGCCCTTTGTACCCGAGGGCAGCTCCTCACACTCCGAAACGTGATGCCTAATGGACGGGCAACATCAGCTGACGTGGACTTCTCCTAGAAGGAAAACACGACAATATCGTCGTTAAATCTAGCCGTCACGCTTACTGCGGTTAAAAGCGGAACTATTCGGCGACGCAAGAATTTGCCATTTCAAAGCCGATTTAAACACGAACAAGGCATGAGCCTCCAACGGCTCGCATTCGTTAACACCACATCGCCTCATCGTTTGAGATTGCCCGTTCACTGGGCTTTTGTGTTGCTGTTTAAATAGTGTCCTGACACTGACAATAGAGAGCGATTGCGATGTGTACGGAAGAAACAGCAAGCTTGCTAGTGGATGCTCTGACTCGGCAGCGCTAAGCATCTGTTGACATGAATACAGTGGAAGACTACAGGAAGACACCGCTGCGCAAGACAGTCGAAATAGGAAAATCCATAAAGCAACAAGAGTGGGAAAAAGCTTCTTCCCACCAAGATGTATTTACTACCCGACAACTCGAAGTCCTGCTGTCTACCTGCGTGCGCAAACGTGACAAAGTCGCACGCTTTGCCAGGCTCGATGGTGGCCTGCTGTGCAGAGAAGAGGCGCAAGAAACGACTGCAGGTTGCAACGCGAGAGCTCAACTTCAAAATTTTTTTTTTTTCCTCTTTAAAACAAAATGATCTAATTTAAACTTTCAAGAACAAAAGGCAATAAACTCCTGTAAAAGTCAGCTTGTTTTGTATTTTTCTTTGGGCCACCTCAAGGCAGAATTGACGGCTCTTGAAATGGCAAAACGCAATTTTGCACAAATTTAGTTGTTTTTTTGCATGATATTTAGTCGTACGGCCTGAAACCTTTTTTTTTCTTGTTATGTGCAATATACCTATAGGGCTGTCAATGAGAATTTTACAGTCACCTCAGCAATGAGATAGTTTGTAACAAAACTATCAAAAATGCTAAAATTCTTACATAATCCTTATTTCTTTTTTAAATTGCTTCAAGCCAATAATTATGATGCTTATTACATAGCAATCCAAATACCATTTGGTTTTTAGACAAAAATATTCCACCTTTCCATAAATATATCTTACTTCTCGTGAAGAAGCAAGATATATTTAAGGAGAAGTCCACGTCTCCTGACGCATTGAGAAGTCCACGTCAGCTGATGTCGCCTGTCGATTAGGCATCGCGTTTCGGAGTGTGAGGAGCCGCCGTTGGATACAATGGGCCTGCTATGGCTACGCACTGGCGGCACCTCCGATTGTCAACACTGTGCCCGCCGTTTCTTCCCTTGCAGCTGAAAAGACGGACAAGGGGAAACGGCAGTAAACTATGTTCTTTCTTTGGGCCTAATCGTGTCGGCTATTGTCACCGGTGGTGTGCTGTGCGGCGAAGAGGCGTTAAGAAGCGACGCCGGGTTGTGGTGCGAGAGTTCAACTTCAAAAATTGTTTTCTCGCTTTAAACAAAAATTCTTTTGATTAGACTTTCAGAATCAAAAGACAATCAATTGTTTTTCCGAACCCACCATATTTTGTATTTTTAATTGGGCCACCTCAGGGTGAAATAAATGTCTGTTTATGCATCAAAACACACTTTTTGGCAACTTCAGGATTTTTTTTTTACTGCGAGATATTTAATTTAGCTGTTTAAATTTTTTTACAGATTATATACCTGCATGGGCAGCCGGTAAAAAGTTCTATTAAGTCTCCGGAGCAACTAGATATTTTCTAATCAAATAACAAACCACTTAAAACTTTCAAAACAATTGTGTTTTAAAAAATATTTAAATAAAAAAAAACTGCACAAGCCCAACCACATTGGAAGTTGAAAGTCGTGCAGATTTCTGAAAAAAATATTGTTGGGTGTTTTAAAAAAAGCTGATTTTTCATAAATTTTGGAGTAATACCTAGTTTCACACTATCTTTAAAAGTTAAAACCGCGCTCACGCCATCAAAATATTTTTTTCGTCAAAAATATTTTAGGGCATGGCTACAAACAATGTGGCAAAAGGCCATGCATTTTTTTTAGAAATCGAAGATGGTCGAGCGCAACGTCTGGGACGTTTGACATGGAATGACCCTTCTGGAATGGGAAGTACAAGTTTTTGGAAAATCAATAATTTCTCCTAATTTCCTCTATCACTGTCCATAGTTACTGCTTCCAAGTGTTTTATAGTTGAAGCTTGATCAAAGAATGTCCGGTTTGCATAAACTGTATAGCTAAATTGCATGAATCTGCCGAAGGCCCCGCCCCCACTTTCAAAATATTGCCTCAAACTAGGGAAATTTTGTTCCTTCCTAACAGGGTATCCTGTGGTCTCTCTCCCTAGTCAAGGTCCTAAAGTCCGTAACTCAGGACCCCATTGAGGTGAGTCAATTGCCTATTGGTGTTTACTGAAAACACAGAAGCCTAGTCAATTCTTTGGCTTCTGCCATGTTTTGGTTCACTGTTTGTCTATTTTTATTTGTTTCTTCACCAAGTTTCATCTTTAAGAGCACTTGGCCTCCGCAGGTGAACGTGACGGGGACGACCATGCTGGTTCCACCGTCATTCCTGGCGCCCAGCAACTACCAGCCATACTATTTTGACGAGTTCAGCATGCATAAAGAGTGTGCCGTTCTCGGCGTCGTCTCCTTCTGCCTCACCGTGGTTAACATCCTCTGCATCATCATGTCGGGGACTCTCGTGCTCAAGGCAAGTTCATGTTTTTGCCACATTCCTATCCCGTGAGCAAGTTTAGGGAAGTGGGATTAATCGTTTATAAACAATTCTATGGACTTGGAGACCTGGCAAAAGGGATAATTTAAAATGACGAAGTTCTGCTTGATTTTTCATGGACCTTGCATGCATTGCAGATCAAGGAAATTGCACCTGCCGCAAGCTTACGGGGCACCAGGCGATTTTGGAAGTATGACATCAAGGTGAGGAATTTTGTTTTTGTTTGGGAGTGTTGATGGAGGCATAGCGAACAGTAAGCGAATGTAAGATGGTTTGACATGTTTTGGCCCCAACAGTTATGGCAGGCAGAAAACAGATGAGAATAAAAAACAAAAGAAAAACAATTGTTGCAAAATTTAGCATGCTGATGTGTGTGGGAGCATTGTGTTGAATCTTTTTGAAAACAGGATTGGATCATTCTGTTAACATTACAGTATAAGAGACCTACCACAGTGCACTTTAAAACAACAATGTTTAACTTACAATAATGTGTAGGAGTATCCTGTTATCATGAAAACAGGATAACTTTAAGAATAATCCCACTGGGTCGTTGTGTAAACATTCGAGTGTAAAAAACTCATCACAGTGTAGTTTGAAACATCAATGTTTAACTTAGGCTGATGTGTAGGACCATTCTGTAAAATCATCATGAAAACAGGATAATGTTGAACATAACCACATTGGATCATTGTGTTAACATTACAAGTGAAAGGTCCAACATGGTGCAGTTTGAAACAACAATGCTTAACTTATGCTGATGTGTAGAGCACCATGTTGGATCCCCATAAGAACAAGGTAATGTTACACAAAATCATATTGGATCATTGTATTTACATTACAATGTGAAAGATCTAAAGCAGTGCAGTTTGAAATATGGATTGCTCAAGTTATGCTGATTTGTAGGAGAATCAAGTTAAATAATAATTGAAACCGCCTAATTTTAGACATAGTGACCTTGTTGGATCATTGCGTTAAGATTATACCTTCATACAATGTCATACCAAACCACTTTGAAGTGTATTAAATAAATTACATTGTGAAAAATCTAACACAGTGCAGTTTGAAACAATGCTTAACTTTTGTGTTGCAGGTGGCGAGGGACTATAACAAGACGCTGGGAGAAGACATGGGCAAGGAGTTTCTCAAAGAGTGGCAGGTAAGGGAAAACCCTAGGCTCACAGGCCCTGTAATGCATGCATGACATTGTCATTGCATTTGCCCTAGACACCATTTCTCTACAGGATCAGTATTACAAGTCTCCTAATAACATCCAAACCTGTTGCTGAATCTTCTGCCCTGTAGTAGTACTTTCAAAACTATCACCCCTAATGTTCCTTGTCTTTGTGGTAGTGTGACAGGGCAGCTAGTAAGGTTGGTCCGTTTTGCATTGCACTAGTGTGTGCTGAACATTCTGTGAAGCGGTTGCACATGCAGCGAGCTAACAGTCCGTGCATAAAGAAAAAAGAAAGTAATGTTTTGGCTTAGCTCAAATTTGGTGGTTCTCAACTTCATGCTTGAGAATTAAACTGAAGGCTGTCTTGATCTCTATATACTTTATCGTGTTAGCCACCAGTATCTAACAGACTCGTACAAGTTTCTTGTTTGTTTCCTTCTTGTGATCTTGCAACTGATTCCGACACACTCTTGACAGCAACTGGATGACACGAAAGGTGGAGATGCTGCCAATGATCTTCAAGACCTGCAGGACATTCTAGATGTGAGTCGGAAGAAGTTTAGAAATCACCCCATTTACCCATGTATGTGTTGTATAGCCACCACTGTAGAGAAGCAACTTAAACTGTGCCACTGTCGAGACCGGTTATAACGAAGTCAACGGGAATCGGAAATCACTTAGCTATATCCGCTATTTCGTTACAACCGACTTGGGTTATAACGAAGTGTAAAAGGGAATGGGAAATCGTAATCGCTTCGCTGTAGCCGCTATTTCATTATAACCGACTTCATTATAACCGGTCTCAACAGTACGGTTGATGACCTGGGGCTTTTGACGAGTTACTGAATCATTCAAGGAGAATGCTTTTCCTTGGAAGAACAAGTCATCTGACGAATAGAATGCTTTACCCTTGTAGCCTTCAGTCCAAGGGTGAAGGCTGTCACCCTTGGGCTGACAGCCTTCACCTTCACCTTTAGGCTGCCAGCAAAAATTTACTTATGAAGTGCCCAGAGTTTTTTTCTACATATGTACTTATGTGAACTCTAGAAAATCTGTAATAAAATTATTTTTTAAAGTTTTGATAAAATTATGTTTGAAATGACACTTCAGTGTTTGTGTAAGGCGAAATGTACATAAAAATATTTGTGCACTCATTGTTCGAATAAAGGAGCATCCTTTGTTCCAAGCTATATGTGCAAACATTGAGCTACGCTAAAACACAGCTCAATGTTTGCACATATAGCTTGGAAACGTCACATCTCACAGTTTTGCTGGAGAGCCCATTGTGTTCTGTTAGAGTATGTAAATTTTCTACCTGACGCAGGAAGCAGAAGACGATGAGGTGTACCAAACAGTCAGGCAGCAGGTCGCTAACCATCCTCCTATGGTAAGCATTTGTGATTGCAAAGAAGCTGCTTCGAAGCCAACGTAAGATCCTTCTGTGTGTGCTCATATCTGGCTGAAGCATATATACTAAACTGATGCATCCAGTGATCTTCCACTATCTAAAATCCCGAACAAACGTTCACCTGTGGTGCAGAGATAAATGGTAAAAATTGTTGGGTGGGCGATATACGGGGATACAAGAGGAAATCTTTATCAAAAACAAGTGATACACGTGTGGCACCCCACGTGACACTGGAGCCAATACTGTAAATCACAGACAGGGCAATTTCACATTTCACTGTGTGATGAACACTAGGAACCCCCTAATAATTTGCGCATAAAAAAAAACCGACACCGCAGATCGAAATTACGGCAAACTGCGGTTCCACGATGCGATAGGTGCGCGGGAGCCCGCGACGAACTAGCTTAGACTTTTGTCGACATGGCGGTCTGCATTGCTCTCGCCCACTATTTCACTGTTTCATTGCATTAGGGCTATGATTTTATGTGTGGTTAGAACTGTACAATGCATTAGGCTGTCGAGAGGCTGCATCCCGAGATGGAACGCCCATCTTTGCAGAACTTTGTCCGTTGCCTGTCACGAACGTTTTCCGTGCCGGACGAAAGGAGGGCGGCGCCATCTTACGGCACCCGCATGAACGTCTGGGAGGTGGAGTCGCTTCTGGAAGAGTCGGCCCGTGCCAAGAAGCCGCCTAGGGTCACCTTCCAGCTCAAGAGGAGCAAGTCGGAAACTCGGGACACGGTGAGACCTCTCATAGTGCATAGATTTGACCTTGCAAATGCTGCAAAGCCTTTAATCTAGTGATTTTATTTGGATAGATAGGAAGAGCGTTTCCAGGGCTACCTGTTAGATGATGCCAGTGTGCTAGTATGTTTTCTCGTCGTAAGTGGTCATGGGCTGTTGTGGCGCAGTTGATCACACTCAAATGCATATGCTCGAACCAGCCTTTACAGCGTACTGCATTCAATGCCGTCTGCCAGGGTCCGACATTGTACAGTTCAAAGACTTGTTGTTGATCTGAAACATTAGAAGGGTAAATCTGTACTCCCTGTTCAACAACAGTTACGTGTGGTATAAATGTTGTAACCTAGATTGCACAAGCTATTGCCCGATTCAAAGGGCATAGCCACTACCATCTGGAAGTGGGGTCTTATTCAAGTAGCTGTCTACTGTTTTCCCCTTTTCTTTTAGTTGTGTAATCACTGTTGTGCAACATGCATGTTAAAGACCCTGTGTCCTCTACTGCATGAATGAGTTTCACTTTACCTCAAAGGAAGACCAACCTTTCGCTGCCTTGACATTTGTCTAATTTTCTTCTGCTTTTTTGTAAATTGCTAGGTCATGAAGATCGTTTCCTTCCTTCCACATGCTCACTTCTAAGCTCGGTTAATTTTAATCTAAGTATATTTATGAACTGTGACCTGAAAACGTCCAATGCCTACATTAGGGTGGAATGTAAACTACAGTTTTGACATAACGTTATCCCAATACAGATGCCCAGCTATCCTAATTGAGAGGATTTAAAAATCTGCTGGTTATATGCAAATATCCTTTCCTCAATCTCCAATCTGGAAAAAAATACAAGCATGAATTAGTGATGCAGGTTGTCAGAACACAGCTGCCTAACATGTACTATCGCGGACAATATGAGCTGAAACAGCGCTCCGGCCTGCGCACGGTACCACCTGCGCCGCCTGTCGCATTGCTCTGTAAACACGGCGCACCCTGAGGCCGAGATAAATTCTCACTTGCGCTCACTGCGCCGCTGCGCTCTTCCGGCCGTCTGCTTGCGAAATTATTGGTCGACGGAACCACCATCACGATGCTTGTGCCGTGTAGCCCAATGTTCTCGTTTTCAGCTAACGTGCATTTCAGTGCATTTCAAGAAAGCGCCTAAGTGGAACATGCGTTGTCACGCTCGTATCTCCTCGAGGAGCGCTGCCTGACGAAGCTGCCTTGGCTTCCAAAAGGAGCCAATCTAAATATCATCGAAAACATTTGGAGGCGCATCAAGGTAGCCATGTCATGGCGTCCCCTCCACCGCGCCACTGCCCACAAATCGTGGAAAGCAATCAGAGGTGAATGGGAGTGGCTTCGGGCTGAGCCAGACTTTGTGGCCGCGCTCTATGATTTCTTACCAGACAGGATGAGAGCCATGGTCGCGGGTCAGGGGAGAATGACGTGGTATTAAATTATTTTGTAAGTTTTACTACACCTCAGAATCCCCTGCACCGGACTTCTGCCGATTGGAACAAAGCTTGATGCTACGGTTGCGACACACTGTTTAACGCCGTTAACCACGCACACTTTTGTGTGGTGCCTCCTTGCTCCCGATCTTCTTGTATAGTGCAGTTGAACTTCCACGCCGACTATTAATCTTTTGTGTCTTACATTGTCGTCTGGAAATATTCTTTCGATTAAGTTTAAATCTCCTTCTTCGGGGAGATATATATGACTGTTTGTCCCACTTTATTAAGACTAGGAATTCGTAAACAAAAAAACTGGTGTCTTGTCAGCAACTTATTTTGTTTGAAACAAACAGGTGGGCCCAATAATAAAGAAATTATATTTTTGAACCTTTTCATACCAATCAAGGTTTTAAAAAACCTTCTCAGTAACATGCATGCTTACCGTTTTTGTAAATCTCTGTGATCAATGAAAAAGTTAAAAAAACCAAATACCTTCGAGCCGGACTAAATCCGGCATACAGATTATGGCCTATATTTTACGATGTCCTACTTTGTGCATGCCCCTATAATCAAACACGAACAACCTGCAATGCCTTTTGATCTGACTTTCAAAAACGATAATCGCAGCTGAAATTTAAGACACTTCAATATTTTTTCTTCACCAATCAGCGTTTTTTGTACGGGATTCTGCGTGATAAAGTAAAGTCAATCAATTCCAAAAGAGGGACGACAAGTGTAATCTTTTGTTCCCCCCGCCGCCTTACCACACGCACGCCCGCTCTCGCACCCGCCGCCTTGCTGGCAGACGGCCGGAAGAGCGCAGTGGTGCAGCGAGCGAGAACTTGTCTCGGACTCAGGGTGCGTCACGTGTGCGGAGCAATGCGACAGGCGGCGCAGGTAGTACCGTCCGCCGGCCGGAGCGCTATTCCAGCTCATATTGTCCGCGATAGTACTCTTGCATAATGTCCACAGTTCCATTTCGAAACTTTTACTGCGATGTAAATATCAACATCCATAACATTTCCGTTTTTTTTTTTTTAATACATTGGCTCCATGTTTGCATTATCCCACTTGGAAGGTGTACTTTTCTCCTAAGCACACGTCTGAGCTGCGGCGAAGCGAGCTTTGCGGGTATTGCTTCCCCGCAGTGCGTTGGTGCTTGGTGAGAAGCACACTCAATGGGACTAACCCACCCCAATCAACACCTTGAAAAGCATAAATATGGCAGTTTGTTTCGAAGCGAATATCGAATGGCATGTTATTAAGAACTATTATTGGAAAACGCAGATATTCACACAACGCTATACAGTAGCGATTGCACGAACGCCCGCCAGTACAATGTTTGTCTATGGTCAATCACAGGTTAAGAGTTGAGGGGAAGCTCCTCCCACCCTTTTCCACTTTAGCAGAGCAAACGCTGGAGAGGAGGTCCTCCTCTCTAGCGTTCGCTCTGCTAAAGTGGAAAAGGGTGGGAGGAGCTTCCCCTCAACTCTTAACCTGTTGCCGACTGCAAATTGAAGTGGGCAGGGTGGAGGTTGTGCCCAGGAACCCTGGGGTCTGCACCGTGAGCTTCTGCTTCACATGCTTCAACCTGCAGTGCGTCAACAGGCTCGACCATTGTTTCAGGATCCCAAATCGCCTTCGGGACGAGAAAAGAAAGGCCGCAAGGGGCCCGGCTTCTTTCACTTCCGACCGTCGGCCTCGCGATTCGAGGTGTCCAGGGTGGACGAACAGCCAGAGCCGCTTCTACGGAAGATGCGGAGGCTCTACCACAGTACGGGACAGCCTTCCACGACCTCTGCTTGAGTGCCCTTCTTTTTTGCGACCGGGCGTTTGCCGGAAGAGCCACTCGGGTCTCCATTAGAAGTGGAGCCGACCTGGCTCAAGCTAAACTGCGAGCCAGTCGGAGTCGCGTCAAAACTTATGGTGCCCGGAATGTGTCTCCGACCATTGTGTTTACCACGTTCTAGTCTGTGGTCCTTTGACTTCGGGTCAACAATGTCGTGGAAGCATCACGCTTTTGCCTGCTGTGATCCTGGCTGTGGCACTGCAATTGGTGCTAATGAGGCAGACCCTCGCTCAGCCTTGGATCGCTTTTCAGCTTGACGGTCCGCGGCCGTGACGACTGTGTCGCTTGCGTTTGATCGCCTTCTTTGCCGGAACTTTTATGACCATTCGCCAGCAATGCAACATCCGACAGCATGACGTGCCGGCTGCTCGTGTAATGTAATTCGTTACTTTTTTGGGACTGCTTTCAATGCACAGGCAGTGTAGGTTGCTAAACACACCCGTCGAAGAGGCATTTCGGGCACCATAGTCGAAATCAACATTTGACAACCGTAACCACGTAACGGGTATTCAGGCTGCTAAGCAAATGCGGCCTCACATGCAGAATGAGGGGGGGGGGGGGGGGGCGATTCCGGACAGTTCTTTTGTGTACAGAAATGTGTCTGCATTTTTTTTTTTTGTGGTGGAAGTTGAGAGTCAACGGGAGTGCCTGCTTTTGTCTGTCTCGCAGGCTAGACAAAGTATGACAGTGTTTCCGCTGTCTGAACACTTGTCTCTTCCCTAACGGCTTTGCTAACTAACCATTCTGTTGGTGATGGCGTCAGTTTTGTAGAGCATCCAAAACGCGTGTCCCCGACCGAAATCATTCGGTTAAAGCGTGAATTTGGTTTACCAAGAGCTGTATGAGCAGGACGTGCTTTTCGTTTGCAAAAAGGAAAGGGGGTTACGGTGATTTCATGCTCCTTTCCAGGTCTCTTCCTCAATCTGGAGTCATTCTTTATTGGGTAGTGTGCCATTATTTGGGCAAGCAAAAATGCAAGTATAGGTTTTGGGAAAGACCCATTGCCAATTGCTACTTGGGTAGCTCTGTTTATTTTTTTGCCTTCCTTGGCAACTATCCAATGATCACAGGAACCTCTAAACTTTCTGGTGGCCATGTGACTGGTGGCCATGTGATGTCTTTTTTTAATGATTCATACTCTATTGTCTGGTAGAGTTTCTTGCAAATTGAAGCAAGAACTGCTACAACACGATACAATTTGACTTGGAGTGGCCCTTCTCTTTTAGAGCCAGGTTATGTAAGGGACACCGAGCGGCGAGCGGGTGGGAGGAACGACATTTCTTAAACTTCGGTTGTTGACGTCGCCTCTGAACTTATATACCAGTTTGAGCTGGTGTCTTGAATGATCTCCTACAAAGTTTTTAGACATGTCAAGATTTATTTTTCTCTTTATTGACATGATTAAGACAGGATTTGTTGTGGAACAGTTGTGTATGTAATTGGTTTGCTATGGCAGAAAAGTTTTGCTAATGATCTCCTTCACATTGTGGCATGTGTACTTGTATACTGATATAGCATTGAATGGCATTTGGGCATTATTGGGCCTTTCTCTTCATGAGAAAAGTGACTCATCAACCATATGAGCAGATAGGGAGTACATATTTGAGACCACAGCATGCCTGGTACAACAGCATTCTAGTTGGAATATGTGTCGTGGAGTGTTGTAATGCTGCAGAACCCTTGGGAAGCCTGTTTGTACTTGCAGTGTTAGTTTTGAAGTGTTCAAGTATGTGCATGAGCATTACCACTTTATGATCATTGCCATCTAGTAGCTATTCATTGCCATTTTGTGGTTACATGGTCACCAGTGAAATGGGGCAAGAAGCTTTTTGAAGAATTAAGGAACCCTAGCTTGAAAGTAGCTTTGAGATGACTTTGCCTCCCATTGTTCTTATGAGGTGCACTCAGAATAAAATGAGATTACCACAGGTGAATGGCTATATACTGTGATGATACAAACACAACAGAAATGAGACTGTCTAGGCCGATTATGCCCTTTTACCTTAGAGGTGCTGTGGCAGACACATTATTTCCAAAGCTATGATTAATTGTATTTGTGCAAGTTGTAAAAAAATTATCAAGCTCTGGTAGGGCACTAGTTTGCAAAGAGCAAAATATATTGCAAGCAAAAATGTGAAGGTACACACACACTGTTAAGCACGGCAGAGAACATGAAGATGTGTGAAGCTGCTTTTTGACAACCTCCTTAAGGAACAGACATAGACCCTACCCATCAATCTGATTATCTTGTTATATCACGGTGCATTTCGTTACTGTAGTGCCATTCTTTTATCATTTGGGACGATCGCTCCTTTGTGCTAATCTCATTTAATTCTGACCCTACTGTGATTCTTATATATGACCACTCTGCATCCAAGGTTGTGTGCTTTTACAGTATGTGTTTGGTCTTAAACTGATGAAATTGCAGGGCTCGGGGGACTGCAGTACAAAGGGTGCAAAAAGCTTGGGGTAGGTCTAATACCTACAGGTCCTATGATTGCCATTCATAGAAGAATGTTACAACTAGCTCATTGTTTTTCATAATCACAAAGTATTTTTTTTTTACAGTGTAATATGTAGTATACTTTGTTTCTTCTTTGATAGCATGATGAGTAACTACATTTACTCTCTCTTTTGGAGAAGCATGAGCATCTCTGATTTTGGGTTCATTCTAGCTAAAGTTGCTGAATTTGTGTGAATTTGGTTGCACTTTTCTTTTTTTACAGTATCCAGTTTGCTATTTTTGCTGAGGAACAAATTCATGCTTGAACATGCTCCTCAGCTTACAAGTAGGGCAAAACATTATTGAAATGGTCTTTGTGGGAATGACAGTGCAGTTCAATGTTTAGAGGTGAATTGCTTTTCAATAATTAGCTCGTAAAATGGCACCATTGCTGTGACTTCAGTGCCTGCACATCTGGGTTGTGATGAAGGTTGTGCCGTCGTGCTTAAATGTTGCCTCTGTCAACGTGGGTCGCAGTTGCTAAGCTTAGCTTTGGTCTGCTGCGAGTCCAGCGTAACTTGATGGAACAGCAATAGCACCCTTTAATAATGTAATTTTCCTATGCTGGATTGTTTGTGCTATTACTCTCTTTCATACATGGCACAGCGTTTTGGAAGCTTCAAACTGGAGAGAACTCTAGGTGCGCAAGCACTTGTGCAAATGCAGCAGCAACAATTTGTGTCTAGGAAAGGGAGCATAGTGCCGTGCATTTTGTGCTCATATGTTTCAAGATATACGTGTGTACTATTTATTTTAGATAATTTACTCCTGGGTGAAGGTGGTTAAACGGAGGGTCTAGCTACTAGGCGATGACATTGGTGTGTTAATTGTGAAGAGTTTTAGTTACATTGTACAAGCTTCTATATGCCTGTCAAGCACAAAAACAAGAGTTGGTGCTATAGTGTTGCTGTTGGTGTGTTCCAGTGACAAAATGGTAGGCTTCATATCGTGTGATAAATGTTGTACAATATGATTTTCCTACCACTGATTGCCTGAAAGCTTCAAAGTACCGTATGCGGCGTCTGTTTGCCTTCACGAATTTTGCAAATCTGTTGAGGCTGCAGTAATAAAAGGACAGTTACAGGCGTGTGTGAGACTCGGCGTATTGCTGGTAAGGAAGGAGTGTGCAGCATGTATGATAAAAAAGTTTGCACTGATCGCCCCTCTACTGTAGTGAAAGTCTCCCTCAGTCTCGGGCTCAAACCATTGTGCTTATATTTTTTTAAAATTTGCAATTAGCATCGGTGACAAGTTCTGTGAAGTGATGCAAGTGGTAATGAAAACCATTTGTCTTTCCCTGCCCATACAGGACACTCAAAGGACGCGTAAACCGACGCTTCATTTGAAGTGCCACAATCAATTTCCTTCCTTTTTTTTTCCATTTTTTTTCGGGGGGAAAGTTTTCTTTGCCAACGTTCGCTTTTGTCTTTCGCGGAGGCTTAGAGAATGCTCATCACGCAGTTCCGGACATCACACCCTCTGTTGGCTCTCCCGCTGCTCTTGAAGTCCTGAAAACAGGAAAGGGAAGGATACGAGCTGTGGCAGAACAGATGGACAAGCCCATGGCACACCATTGGCAGCTCCCGTCTGACGTGAAGTCTGACGAGCACACTGACGTCGCAGAAAGCAGAGGAGGCGAGGAGGAAAGCCGTTGTAATGTCCCGTTTACGTCGACGTTGACGACGACGTTAACGTTGGCGTCACGCGATGTCAAGACGACGTTAACGTGACGACGACGTCACACAACGTCGGGACGTCATTAATGTGACGTCACAGCGACGTTTGACGTTGCGTGGGGCGTCGACGTCTTCCTCGACGCGGCGCGACGTCACGACCGTGTTACAACTAGAGATGCCGCGAAGTTTTTGCGAACCTGAAGGTCGCAAAATTCAAACGTTGACATTACTAAAAAAAAAAAAAACGATTTTTGAATTTTCGAGTTTTCGGCGTTGAGAAATTCGTTTGCTTTCGAACTCCCGATTTTCGCGCTATGAAATTCGACATTTTCTAACTTATTGCGCTAAGAAATTCGATGGTTTTCGAACTTCTGAGCGAAAGCTCGGCAATGTAATATAAATAACACAAGATGTCATTGTGTGAAGTGGATCGGAGCGTGGAGTGAAAGCTTGCGGTGGGAACCTCTAGGGTTCGATTCCCGCCACCCCGCCCGTTTCGATCTAGATGAGTTTCGTACGGGCACGCTTTCGTGTTATTACTTACTGCGTGATGCACGTTAAAAACCCCAGGTTGGCGGTTGTACTGCACTGGCTAAATTACTCACCTACAGCTAAGAGACCGATTACCCGTTGAGGCGTATCTCCATCAAGGCTGTATAAACATACAGAGCAAACCAACTTTTTTTTTTTTTTTTTTGTGAAGTGGAGTTGAAATTACATTTAGAGTCTTAACGTCAGCTCATTGTGCTATAAACGACGCGCTTGTAAAGCGCTGAATGATCAGCGACGCGCACAACTCTGTAGGTTACCCCGAGGTAAGTGGTAGGCCAACAGATTGAAATTCAGCCGGGGTGCTTCGCTGGGAGCGTCCTTCATAGCATTAGTTGTTTTTGAACGCAAGTCCTTCGATTTCCTCGCGTCAAGGAAAGGCGCGCGCGCGGATAGCGACGCCGATGTGCTGCAGTGAACGCTGAATCATCGCTTACTTCATTATCATTAGTAACTTGCTGCATTCTAGAGCAGCCACTATCTCCATTCGTCGAAGAAGAAAAGTTCCAGGCATCGGCCCTATGGTTAGCCTGATAAGAACCGGTCACGACCTGATTATCTGTATTAGGCCGGGTGGTCCCCTAATTGTTGCATTCTCCTCATCCTGACTTGTGTTCAGTGTTTTCTCCATTCCACGGGTCATCCTGCCGAAACTAAACGCCCAGAGCAACTACACATTATCGGGAAGCCAGGATTTCCTTTATGTGAATGCGTTGACTTGCATATTTAGTCGTCTTATGCCAGCATTGCATTTAGGCGACGTTTGATAGGACTGCTGCTGTAGTTTGCAAATAAGTAGGAAGTACGTTCAGTTGACCACCCCAGGGTTTTTCGATGAACCGTTTAGCCATTTCAACGCTTGTTTCATAAGTTATGACAAATGACGAGTATTACAGGTAGTGCCGTCAGCACCACATCACTGAGAAGGAAGGAGTATATTAACAAACAAAATGTGAGGACGCAAGTTAGCTGGTGCAAGTTTAGAGAGCCTCAAGTAAAAGCCCGTTCACACTCTTGCAACCGAGTACGACCGAGAGAGACCAGACCGGTTTTTAAGCCTCTTGCGACTTCTTAGGGCCGGATGCGCTACAGCGGAGCTGGCCCTAAGAGATCGCAACAGGCTTAAAAACCGGTCTCTCTACTCGGTCGCAAGAGTGTGAACGGGCCTTAAGAGAGTGTTCAACTGCTCACCCGGGGTTACGTGTTTATGGAAACTTTTTCTGCGGGTCTATGGGGCTACGGGTGGTTTTTAAACGTAACTCCGGTTATAAACAGCCCTGGAGAATAAAATAACACTTTAGACACCATTTTTGTTCTAATAGGGTAAGAATTTTTTTTAAACGCGGAAAAGAGTATAATCCGCCATCTCTAACGCCGCCATTAAATTGCAAGCACCCTGCATGGTTTGAGTTGAACACATTCTTACTTGAGGCTCTCCATGTAAGTTCATAATAGGGAGTTGTAGTAAGTCGTTTTTCTCCTCCGCTACGGTATCCCCGAAGAAAACGCCACAGCTGCGCATGCGTGCCGCCAGCCTTGTCTCCATAGTTCAAGGTCTTCTGGCGGATTACGGAGCGCTATCCGGGTGCTTAGTGGGCTGCGGGAACGCTCTACTACAATTCCCTAACAGCCTCGGGTAATTCTACAATTACGAAGGCGTATAATATTCACGACATAATTAATGGGCAACGTTTTTAGTAAAATTTGTAGCACATTTTGCGATTTTTTAGATGAATTCATGAAAACTTAGTTTGAAACTGCGGAATTCGTTTTCCATCATAAAACGATCTTTCAACTTTTTGCTTCTTAGCTTCCCTCCTTAAAAAAAAAAAAAGGGGGGGGGGGGGGTGCAATGATTTTCGGACTTCGGTCAAACATTTGTGGAAGTTGCCCTCTGACAATTCTAAAGTAAAGAACAGAAAACTGATTTCGTCTGCGTGTCCTAAATGTTGTGTAAAAAAGAAAAAAAAAAAAAGAAAGGTAGATATTGGCATTTTTGACACCCCTCAACTCACTCCCAGTCTTCAGGGTCACACTACTTTACTATTATCACAGTACTTACCATTTTTACGATTTATCCCACTAAACCCATTGTGTATTCGCTTTTTGTCAAATAGCTACCTTCCGGTCTGAAACACAGCATTAAACACGGCGACGAGCTTTGTTTGCGGGCGGGCACTTGCTTGTTCCAGCGAGTTCAGCAACAACGTCATTCGCCGTCGGTTTGACGATATTTACTTTCGAGAAAACATCGAAAGCAACATTAACACGTTCAACGATTTCCCCTAAGTAACAGTGCGTATAATTTTTGTTTTAATTTCCAAACTTTTTTTTTTTGTATTGATCGTCAACAAAGTGTTATATTTGTTATATTTGCTTTCACATTACTATGTTAGTGAACGCATCGAACAGACCAACAAGCATGGAGGTTCCCGGACGACGAAAAGAGGGAACCCGTGAGGATACAAAGCATTGTAATAGATCATGTAGGAAAATAGAAATGTCTGGCTCAATGAGGGAGAATATATCTAGAGGAATATGAGGAGAATATGATTAGAAAAGGGAAAATAAATTATTATGAAGCTCAAGGCACTAGGAACTATAATAGATATGAAGTTGTCAGAGGTATATGGAAAGGAGTGATGGTACCGGGACTGTCTTCAGGCAATGCAGTACTGTGCATGAAATCAGAGGTTCAATCAGGTTTGGAAATTCGACAAAGAAGCGTAGGCAGATTGGCACTGGGAGCACATAGAAAATCACCAAATGAGGGAGTACAGGGGGACATGGGATGGTCGTCATTTGAGAGCAGGGAGGCAATTAGTAAGTTGAAATTTGAACAAAGGTTGACTAAAATGGATGATACGCGGTGGGCACGGAACGTATTCAAGTATTTATACGTGAAAAGTTTAAGCACAAAATGGACCAACCGAACCCGGAAGCTTACACTTAAATACCTCCACACTAGTGATGGGGCTGTGGAGACTACTCCAATGGAAAAAGGGAGTGAAAGAGGCAGAGAGGAAAATGTTGGAGGGAAGAATGCAGGGGAAACAGCTCTAACAGTGTACAGGTCACGAAAGCAGGACAAAAGAAAGGCAAATATGTTTGACAATTCACTAGAAAGTTCTTTGCTGTTCGAGGCAAGAACGGGAGTTTTGAGGACGAGGACGTATAGGGCTAAATTTCAGGAGACAGACGCATTATGTGACGCCTGCCATAATGATAGTGAGACACTAGAGCACTTGTTCTTGAAGTGCACGGGGCTTCGCCCTGCCCTCCCTGACGGGGTAACGGATTTGGCCGGGGCCTTGAGTTTTACTGGCGACGATAGAAGGACGAAAGAGAAAAGGATTACAGTGAGAAAGAGGCGATTAGAAGATTGGTGGAAATTATCTAGGGAGAAATGAATGATGGACAACTAACTAGCACAGCTGGGACTCCCTCCCGCGTGGCCACGGCCCAAAGTCTCAACCATGGATCTCCCAGTTGGGTCCGGTGCTGGGGTAACGCCAAAAAGGTTTGACCAGAGGAAAATTGGCGACTCCCTCGCCGGGGGAAAGAGGCGGGGGGTGATGTTTTTAGGCTTTTTTCCCGATACCCCGAAGGTCATCCTGGCGATATCCCACACTTTAGAAGGAGAAAATTGGCCTTAGAAGAGCAGGAGGAATAATATATTTTTTTTTGTGTTTTTAGACTTGCGCTAAGTGGCGCAAGCTACCGCCCGTTACAAAGCGTATAGCCATTAAAATCCATCCATTGATTTAATTGTTTCGATGAAGAGAATGCAGGACCATAGTGTTAAACCTAAAATCCGCTCCATCACATAAAAAAAAAGCCTTTGAAACCTTCGTTTTATATAAA